GAGAAGAGCCACGTTGGATGAGACCAAGTGTTCATCTAGTTCAGTATGCTGTTCACACAGTGACCTACCAGTTGACCACAGTAAGCAGGAAATGACAGCAACAGCAATCAGTGTCTCCCTGTTACATTCACAAGTTTAAAACTGCCAATATTGTTTATTTAAGCATTGCAGCTTCTCTTAGTTCTGTTTTGATTAATTCCATCACATCTTACCCAGTATTCATCATCAAGCCTTGAACTGTCATCGTAACTGTCTTAGTCAACTATGTCCTCAAAATGCTCTCTGACATTACCATTTTAGCTTACCCTGTACAAGATCTAACATATGAATAGTATTAAATCTGTAGGTCCTAGCAACACTGTGACCTTCTTTGCTCACATATAGGATTTTTCTATTTAACACAGGTTGAGACACTCATTCTAGTCTGAACCACTAATGTTTTACTGGCTGGTTGGGGTTCACAAGTACATCAGAATCAACACCACTGTTACCATTTTTATTTGTTAAGGTTCTGTTTCTAATAGATAAAGATAAAAAGAGAGCCACTGGATCAGAAGCGGCCCACGGGTTCCTGTCCCAACAGTTGTACAGCTAAAGCAATTTTAGGAAGCAAAAATTTCATCACTGCTGCATTACAAGCTGCAGCTTCCAAAATCCTATCTTTTACACAATTGTTAAAGACACGGAATACCTGCTACTATTTTCCTTTGCATCAAACCACCACATGTAGGCAACTCCTTAAAGGGGATCTCATATTGCAGGTTTGGCATAAATAGGGTCCTGACCTCGATAAGGCTAAAGATCTACAGTGGATAGGCCTCCTGAGCTTCGACACCGCTTTCCATGTGGAGTCCCACAGGCCCCTACGAGCGATAAGCGGCCCTGTTTTGTCCTTTTCTTTCTGACACACAAGAACCTCCCCCTACAACACATGCAAGATCCATTCTCTCCATACGGACAAGCAGCTTTCTCCACCAGACTCCTGATTTCCAGGCCGGTATGAATTCAATACGCCACCCAGACACCCAAACCCATCAGCATTTCGGAAAAACCCATCACCGGCTCACATGCGGCGGGAGTTTCCTTGGCCACTCCCTTCCCACAACCCTGTGCCGCACCGGTGAGCAGGAGGGAAGCGCCGGCGACCCCTCCGTTTAGCCCGCTCGGGCCTAAGAAGAAGCCAAACCAGGCCCTTCTGTGACGAAAACACAGGCAGACAGGCCTGGCTCACCTGTGAAAAGTGGCATGGCGGTCGAGGAGGCGAACTGGGCGGAAGGCGTGGAGACGGTAGGCGAGGGGCGGAGGCGGCTCAAGACGGAGGACGCGAGAAAGAGCTCTGCTGCCGCGGCACTTCCCTCCCTCGGGGTCTCATTCAAACCAGCCCCTCAGGATGACGCTGCAAGCGGGACAGGGTGCGCGCGCAACTCCGGAAGCGGCGCCCCCTTGCCGCCCGCCGTATCGAAGGAAGCCGAGAGCGCTCATGCTTCTCACGTAGCTGCGGAAGCTGTAGCTCTCCTGCTGCGGAAGGCGGTCTTTGTCCGTTCAGAGGTAGCTTAGCTTCCCTTCGCTGAATTCCACACCCTGGATTCCGGCGCCAGTGCAGTCAGGAGAGAACTTAGAGGCAAAAGTTCAGGGAATTTTTCAGAGAAAGTGGCGAGGAGCGGCAAATGCAGGAGCCGTCCAGGTGTGTTGGACTACAATTCTAGCCATGCTGGCTGGGAATTATGGGAGTTGCAGTCCTATACATTTGGAGGGCGTCAGGTTGCGAAGGGCAGCCTGGCTGCATTTTAAAGGAAGTGAAGTAACACTTGTTGCTAACTCAAGTAGCCTTCCAAAATTTGCTGCCTCATATTTTGGATTAAAATGGCCTAAATAGGCCATTTAGCCATCTAAATAAGCTAGGAGACAACTTCTCATAATCCAGAGGCTTGCAGGGCAGTTCTACCATTGGGCAGAGTGACAAGGCCACCGTAGTTTTCTTAAGTTTCACGAAAAGGCATCAAGGGATGTCAGGCAGCAGAGTACCTTGGGCTGGCCAGCAGGCAAGCACTTTCCAAAATGGTCCCAGAATCCTAGAGAGCCAATCCTATGCTGTATAGGATAACATATCTCTCTTTCATCTGCCCAGTTCCCAAATACGGATATTTCAAATGGGCTTTACTGTACAGGATTGCAGTGCAATATATTTCATACATGTCAAAATAACCAAAATACTGAAAAATATTATTTTAAAATACAATTAAGAGTTTGATCATTCTGCTTCTAGTACCCTCTCAAGCAACCATTAAATCTCCCCATCTAGCTCCAAATGTATTCTCTCAATCCTGTTCTCCCACTATTCTCCATATTTTTAATATTAAGGTTGTCAATACCATCTTCGTCACCCATCCCTATCTTGAAATCTACATAGTCCATGGTGAAAGCAACAAACAGAATGCTAGGCTATTAGTTGAAAGAGAAAAAACCAAAACGGAAGACAGGAATAGAGTATGGACTTCAAGGCTGTCAAGGGCTTGAGCTGTCAATACACTCTTCCTGTCTTATTCTTGATGAAATTTGTCTAATTCCCCTTTAAAGTAATCCAGTTTGGTGGCCCTCACTCTATCTTTTTGGTAGCAAAATCTACAGTTTAACTATGTGCTTATCTCTGGAATGAACATTAGCTCACACAATAGCTGATGGGAGATGAAAAATGAAGGTATAGCACCAAAGGATTCCCACACATGCCTGGCAAACCATAGGTTAATTAACTCACAATTTGCTGTTACATGTAAACTGCAGTAGCTGGTGTGACATATACTTACAGGGCTGTCACTGTCTTCCAGCAAAAACCTCTTTCAATCTACAATCTGAGGACAATGAGCTGTGTTTTCTTTGGAATGTTGAGGACAATGAGCTGTGTTTTCTTTGGAATGTTGATCAGCAAGGTTAGTCTTTTTAAGATGTTTCAATCTAGAAAAGAACCATGATGGAACAGAAACCCTTTTCTTTATTGCCATTTTTGTGGGATGGAATGGACATACCCATTCTGAGTCCTAGCTACATTAAGGGCACAATCCTATGCATCTAGACAGAAAATCGATCTACATCTCTTTGTAAACTCTCACTGATGTCTGTGGGTAGTTTTTTCTTTCAAAATGGAAACATTCAAAAATAACTTCTCAGCACCAACTTGGAAGTGACATAGCCAGAATGTAGTGGTTACTTTTACTATCTTCCATCAATCTTCTAAGTGTCCTCCTGCTCAGCAGCTCTTCTGTTCTCCCTTTTCAGGTGAGGGGTCAACAATATCTTCTCCTTGGCAATGTGAACGTCTGAGTTTTGAGTGCTGAACTGACAGTATTCATTGCCTTGCACCTTTTCAATATTTCATTCTATAGCTACTCCAGAAAGGGTGACACACACACACACACACACACCTTTTTGTGACCATTTCTTGCAGCAGTTATTGCTGTGATTCTCTGACCATTTTTTTTAAAAGGTGTCAGCAGCATGGAACAGAGCAAATGGGACCCCATGGCATGAGGAGGCCAGGTATTAGCACAGCTGTTGTTGTTGCCACACTGGCTCCCTCCCATTTGACCACCCCCAAGGGTTTTTGTTAAACTGATAGGTATATTTACACAATTTTTGGAACAGGAAGTAATTGGAAGGGAAATGCACACAAATGCTATAGTTGTGAAGTAGATGGAAACAACATTTTTATAAATTTAATGGCTTGGAAACAAGTGGATGTGAATACTGCAATAATGACACAGTTGATGCAGTCATACAAATTTCTCTTCCATTTATTTTCAAGCCATTGTATTTGCCGATGTGCTTCCCAGTCCAAAATAATTGCTGATATTCCAAAACAAAACAACCAACTGCTTAGAGTAAATGGGCCAACAGGAGTTCTTACATCTACCTACATCCCACACATGCCCTCCCCACATTACTTCATCCCATGGAGTCACCAATTTAGCATTTAAAAAAAAATGTCAGGGAACTGCCAGTACCCTACAATGGGATATGTTTCTCTTGCTTTTATTAGATCTTTCCAGGGAAGATCTGTAACTGCAGCAGTAAGTGCTTGAAAAAGGAGTCTTGAAAATGTGGGAATTAATATCTTCAATTTCTGGAGTGGCTGTGCACTTGGGAAAATGCTGAAAAGATGGAGGACACAGAACTTTCAGTTCAGCACATAATCTAAAAAATATATTACTAAGTTGAAGATGCTGTTCCTTTTGGTGCATCCACACTTGTACATGTGTGCAAGCCTGACAAAAGAAATGTGTTTTTGCACAATTATTTATTTATTTATTTATTTATTAAAACATTTTTATGCCGCCCCATTCGCCAAAGCCTCGGGGCGGCTTACAACAATAAATTAAAAAAAAATAATTATAATATTAGATTAAAAATGCAAAAATACAATATAAAATATTAGGACAAAAAATGTAAGAAACCAGTGATGCTTGTTTTGAAGTGTTATTTTGGCACTGATGGAGTCCCTAGTAGTGGCACAGGTAATAAGCAAAAAGTTGTGGGGGTTCATGTTGTTGCTAATGAGAAGTTCTGCAGCCAGTCTCAGCAACCCATGATGAAACTGCCCTCCTGGCTTTGGATGACATGATAGTTCACTGAGGTATGAACAACCTTCAAACGTGTGTTGGCAGGTGCTTTTTTGTTTAAAAAAAAAGCCACCCTGTGAAAGGTGGTCTGAATTCATAAAACTGACAACTCTTTCAGCAGCTACACACTGATCTGTGCATGATGAGTTGGCATGTCATGTGAACTAGATCATTGTGACAGACTCCTGCCAAATAGACCATACTGAATATTTATGAATAGCAGAAATTCTAATTTCTTTCAATTCTGGGTTTTCTCTAAAATCAAAAACAAAACTTTAATATAAGAAATAAGTAGATCTTGCAGATATTTGTTGTACTGACTGTCAAAAGCGCACTTCAGGCAAGTAGTCATGACACTGAAACAACAAGAAATAACTTCTTTGGCACTTTAAGGACTCAGTTCTTTATTGCAGCATAATGTTTTACAGGCAACAGCTACTCCACGATTCATGAAGTGGTAGATATATACATATGGGTTGAGGAACACCAGAGAACAAATCCACAAAGTGAAAACAAGCACTATTTGGAATACAGAACGTCTTGATACGATGCATTAAAAAAACAACAACATACTGACATTGCATGGAGGAGGCCTGACACAAAATCCAAAACTAGGCAGAATCACATTTTACCAGTGAATTTGCTTGCCCACCACAGGAATATTTTTGAATATTACATAATAGTCCCTGGAGAAGAAACATATTGGGCACCTGAAATTTAGGATTTAGGCATAGTTCTCCAGAATGCAGCAGCAGAAAACTCTGAAAGCCACATGACAGTATTTCATGAAAGGGCCAGTACTGTTCTGCATCAACATTTCTCTTCCTAAATTACCAAATGTGTCAATTCTGGTGCTATTCATCTACCATATGGAGTTTGTTTCCATTCTCATTCTAGGTGCCCCTCATCCCCATTAGCAAAATTTTGAATTTCTAGTAAGAAGGTTGTAAATTGCACATGTACAGGTAATGCTTATACCATTTGTAAATAAGCATTTACTTTTTATTAATCTTCATGCAAACAGTGTACAATTCATTGCACAATTTTAATAAAATACAATTAAAAACATTACCTTTTGTATCAAGGGAAGCAAATGCTAAAATAGTTAAAGTATATGCTTGCTGACCTTCCTTGTTTCCTTTCCTTAAGGTCATTTCTGCACTATGGCCATATCAGGCCCTTTTTAATTCCCCATGTTTACTCCTTGAAATGCCCTGAATCAGTTTCATGTCCTTAAAGTTTGTCATCTCTCTGCCACACATTGTCTTGCTTGTTCCCCTTTATATCATTTCTCATTCAGCAGCTATCACAAGTTCACCTACCATTTTCCTCTTTTTGTCTCTTCCTCCCACTTGCTGCTTTTTGTTCCTTATGCCATGCTCCCCATTCCAACAACAGTCTTTCCTTCTTCCTAACTCAAATCACTTCCCCTCCCTTTCTCATCACCAAATCATTACCAAATAATTCCAGCCTTCCTTCTGGTTTTCCTTCTGCTCTCCCGTCCCCAGTTTAACTCCTTTTTAATTATTTTATACCACCCATTCTCAGTCTTTTCTTGCCATCCTTTCTAATCTTCATGAGTCCATGTTACTTTTGTATAGTGATGGAGCCATATGACTGATTTCCAGCATGCTGAATAAGCTTGACATATTTTCTTCTATTAAACATGATTTAAGTATAAATTAAAATACATGTAAAGATCATCTTTTAAGAGCTGTGTACCTGCTATAATTTCCTTTTGATGAAAATAATTATGTGCTTAGTAAATGGGATTTAACAATTCACATATCAAAACAGATTCTTCAAAATCCTATGAGAATTTTGCTACTTTACCCTGTATTAAAATGTAATATGGCATTATAAAAATGTAATTTAAAAATGTATCAAGTTTGTATCAGATTTAAATATGTTAACAGTTGTTCATCTGTTTGTAAAGCTTAATAATTTCCAAAACTTCCTAGGAAGTGTATTCTGGAGAAAAATACCACAGTCATTTTCAAAATAGTTATTCCATAAGTTAGTTTTATTTTGTATTAAATGAGCACGAGTCATTATCATATTAATAACAGATATGTTTAATACATATCCATTAGTGCAGGTTTCAACACCACTTGAAACATACAAATCATCCAGAAGACGAATTACTTTTCCAGTGCTTCTTATTTAATACACAACTGCAAAGCCATTATAAATTACTGAAGAGGTATTTGGTTAAAAAATAAAATAAACCGTACTGTTCATACCACAATAATATTCCTGCTATAAAGCAAGAATTTAAATGTATTCAATTCCTGTATTATATGGAATTTTAAAGTGTTGTAGGTTTTTATTTGTTTTCATAGTAAAAGTATTTATTACTTTTTGTATTATGATTAAAATATATCTTGGTAACAGGCTGTTCCATTCAAAATTGTACACTTGAAAATGAAACTTTTTCCTACAATAAAACCACGGACACAATAATAGGCATTTGAGATTTCTACACTTATTTGACATGGCAGTAAAACAAATCTCAGAATAAGGCACTAAAAGGGCAACACCCATTAAAAGTGTTCTTAGAATAATTTACATTGCAAACAGTGCATACTGTATGTGAGCTTGTGTGTGTATGCTTACTGTAATTTGCACTTCAGATTTTTAATGCAGTATGTTACAAAAAATATAGAAAATTATGTATCAAAATATGTTTCCAAACTTGGTTTAACTGTTAGTTCTAATGCCTCTAGAAGTACAATTATGTATGGCTTAGCAACAATGCATAGATTACATGTAATTACTCATTTACTCCCCCTTTATAAATCTGCAAAGTTAGCATGTTGTAAAGCAAAATATTTAACACTTTCAGCTGTTTCATGATGAATTATTAGCATTAATAACAATGCAGAAAAGGCACTGAAGTTCAAGTGATTAATATATTGCTAAGTTTTCAAGCAATTCTTGTTTTCTTCAGCACAACTTCGAGCCTTAAAAGAAAATTCAGTTCTTCTCAGTTTGAGATACTTTCTTTCTATTCTCGACACTGTGTGCTCATCCAACTATAAATACCCCCTCCCGCAGGGTAAATAGTCCTCTTATTCTCATCAATATGAGAATAGCTCACCACATTCCACCAAGATCGACAGGGTTTTTAATTTTTTTTGAAATCCAAAATCCAGCACTTTAACCTTATACCTAGCTAAGCTTTATTTGCTTTTACTTGCATTACACAGTAATAATTAATCTAATCTACCTTAAGGCAAACCCGCAATAAGACGCCATCAGCGTGCTTTTTATGCCAAAGCAAGGAGGAGATAGTAATAGCAGTCTTAGCCCCAAACTCAGTGAAACTTGCATTAGAAGGAACACCAGTCTGCTTTGCTCTGTATGGTGAAGGAAGCCCAGCTTTCTCAGACTGCACCATGCCACAGATTCCACTGAGCACTGCATATATTGTTAACTGGAATAATGAAGGAGAGGGAAAAACAATATTAGAATTGCCTTGATCATTTTGCATTACTTCATATAGTTTAACAGTTCAACAATATATTAGCTCTTGTAAATTATTGATGCCACTAAGGAGTTCAGCAGCTGTTCGAAATATTTGTACTTTTTTTTCATACTCTACATATTTTCACCAATTATAGGGAAAGTTAACCTGTGTTGTTCCATCCCCTTTGCCCCTTCCTGTCCATATTTTAAAAGCATATTTAACTTACAAAGCTATCAGAATTATCACTTGCCTAGTGAAATGAATGGTGGGAAAGTGAACTTACTGAACTATCCCAATCATCTTCTGAATTCAAGAGTACTGTTTTTTCCTTTTTTAAACAATCTATTTTCTTTAGGTTACCAAAAATCAACCTGCCAACCTGCTTATAGTGCAAACTTGCTACATTAATTTATTTCATTATTTACCGTGAGGTCCCTATTTTGCCTATGTATTTAAGGGTTCTGTTTTGTTTTTTATTCTACTTTCTAGGACTTCCTGACAGCCCAATTTGGAATTCATGGAGTCCTACATTAACAGAGTTGAAAGAGTGTTAAGTCCATTGGGTCTAAACCCCAACTCAATGAAGGACCCCAACTTAAAAAAAAATTGTCCAGTTACTAGATTGTAACGTTTCATTTTCAAATTATATCAATTTTTTATTTCCAGCTAGGGCTCCAATAGCAAATTAGTGATATCAATGTAAGTGATGGAGAAGAATTAAATATTATTACAGAATTTGCAGTGTTCCAAAGGCATATTAGAGACCTGACAAATTAGATATTTTGCATACAAGGCTGCATTTACAGACAGTTTATATAATTTCCACAACTTTCTGAGTCTGTGTATCTTAAAATGAAAATGTTAATTTTGCCATAATAACCCCAAAATATGCTAATAAGTTCTACAATCGATGCTTTGCTAGATTTTCAAATTACAAACAGAATGTGGGACTATAACCTGGTTGCTTAAGGCATGCTGTAATTTTTAGCTTTTGCTTTCTGAGAATATAAACACTGGTCCATTTCCCATGATCAAACAAGCCATAGTGGCTTAGTTAAGCAATTGTGACTTGTTTTAATGCATGTCAGGCACAATTTTCCTAATTATCCACCTTTGTGTGGCTTGTTGTATCATCTGAGCCCAAGTAGCATGACTTATTTGAGCAGGAAACAATTATCAAATAACCCATGGCTTTTTGTTCATTCATCTGAGGGTTGCTTCCTCTTAAATAAACCATGTGAGTAATCAGGTAAATGGAGCTATGCATGTGCTAGTATGCACCAGGGATTAAAACAAGCCACAGTGGCTTCTTTTGATCACGTCAGCCAGGTCATTAACTAGATACTTTAGTTTTCTCCAAATGTTTATGAATTTTTTAAAGCATGGAAGTAGCATAACACACTTTAATACTGGCCTATGAATCATCCAAAATCAAAACTTTGTAAAATAAGGAGGTTCCTTATCTGTTTATAGATTTACTTTGTATCCTAATTAAAGTTTTCCCTATTTTTCAGAATATATTAAAACCTTGGCCAATTTATGTCAGCTGATTTATGGCAAAAGCTTACACTCAAAGTCAAGTTTCATTTAAAAAACTAAAACAGTTCTTTATAGCATCAAGCTCTGAGTGTGACTGAACTGTATTCCAGAAGATGAAGAAAATCTGCTTATATATTTAGTGTAAAATAATTTATTTTGTGAGTCATCGTAAGCAAGACTAATTACTTATTGACCATAAGAAAATATATTAATTTTTTAAAGACATATGGGAAGGCTCCAGCTCAAATTATATTTCCTGTAGCTTAGAATGTGTTGGAGCTTCAAGCAGAGAAAATAAAAAAGGCAAACATTTGCTTGCCAATTTACTCTGCCCCAAAAGACACACCCAGTTTCTCAAGCCGCATTCGCATTAGTGTTGGTTGATGTATAATTTTTGGTTGATGTATAATTTCTCATACTATAGTTACAAAACACCCTGACTAGAACATGTTTGCTGTTATACACTTCTATGTTTACCTCCTGAGCAGCATGAAGCTGCAGTGGAACTCCTGTGAGATGCTTGTTTTTAGCTACAAAGGCTATTACATAGGTGAATGTAGGATAAAATTCTTAATACCTTCTCCATATTTCTTGCAGAAGCCTCCCTCAAAAAATCACAACTCCCATTTAAAGATAGAAGAGAAAAAAGAAATGACAAATGAACATTCTTCTGATAGCATGCACTAGTTAAAAGACATGACTAGCATGTCTTTTAGTCATAAAAGACAATGACTAAGCATTCACCTTAACTTAGGTGAATGACTAGCTGTCAAAAAGACCAGAGAGATGGCACAAAGGGGAAGGCTGTTCCCATCACTGGAGTGTCATGACAGAAGACACCCTCTCTTTAGCAGACATGCAATTCACATCAATTGGCAGAAGCATTCAGAGCAGGCCCTGTGAAGACGTTCTTAAGGTTCAGGTAGGTGCATATAGGAGAAAGCAGGTAAGCTGATCCTAGACCATACAAGGCTTTAAAAGTTAAAACAGCACTTTAAATTGGGAACACACCAGATACAGTGTCAGTGCAGCTTACAAAGCATGGGTACAATGTCAAAACACCCAGTTCTAATTAATAACCTAGCAGCATTCTTTTGGACCAATTGCAATTTCTGAAGTATTTTAAAGCTAAGAGTATAGTTCCTAGATAGCTAAATACCTAGCATTCTCATGTGAGCTCTACGGAAAGAGTGGGGTAAGTGAGAAACACTGACAAATAACTCCCCCCCCCCCTCAAAAAGAGCTAGTAATCCTGTTCTCTAACTCTCTGGAAACTATTATTAAGACAGAACAATTAAAAGCATTACAAATATTTTGCAGCTGACAATGAGAATATTTTCACCACTCCTGACTCGGACATTTAAATTACTCAAGAAACGTACCCACTATTTAGCAACTTTGCTATTAAGGTTGGTCAGACCTTTCTCAGAATAGAACACCTTCACCATAAGATTAGGGTTAGAAAGTACAGCAAGGAAATGTACTTTCCTCAAGAATGGGGTCCATCACCATGGTATATTCTAGGTAGTAGAACCGACTTAAGAAGATATGCAGACTGCTTTTTTATAAACAAGAGGTGAAAGGAATGAAGCTAACAAAGGTTGAGCAAATGATCTGTAAGGATCATAGTAAAAGAAAACAGGTCCCTCCAAAGAACCACAGTTTAAGAAATAATATTAGTTTTCTTATACTAAGAAAAATCCATTACTGGAAGAAAGCACCTCTGCTTTCTTACTACTGTCACATGACACAAGTGCCAGTGGGTTTCAAAGCAAGTGCTACTCACCAGTAACTTGAATTTTCATTATGGGTAATGTCCCCCACAGATCCATAGTCCTTTGACCTATTGAAATTTTAGAAATTAACATTTCACGACGATGCTCTTATGCGCTGACTGTTGACTGTACACTCTGAATGAAAAAATGGTAGCCTAGAGAATTGATCTGAATGCTAATACTTGAATAAACCAGACAAGACCTATCTAGCCTAAAATTTCAGCTCTTGGGTGGTAGAAAAAGGAAAGGAGTTGTCTGGCAAGAAGATTTCTCTTCCCATTTGAACTGAGGTTTCATGGCTCCCAATTGATAAACAGACTACATTAAAATAAAAGTTGGCAATTTTAAATTGCCCAGAACATAATTAATGAGAATCACAGATGTAGGATCTAAGAATTGGATGTAAAGAAACCTAAAAGAAGCAAGTATTTCTAAACACTATAGACCATGGTAGTGAGTTTTGTTTTTGTAGAAAAACAGATTTTCTCAGCCAACTGATGTATTGCATAAGGCCTATTAGGATATATGTATTTCTGATAAAGAAAAATCATCTGGAAAGTCATTAAAATAACCCCAAGAAGTTAAAATTAATTCTAATATACAACTAATATTTATTAACTAGTTGTAAATAGTATTTTATTTCTACCCCAACTCTCCAAATGTTCAAGGAATAATCAAATTTTAAAAACAGAAACAAAAATACACTGCCAATCAAATTAACTTTATCCTACTATAACTTTGAATGTTCAGAAGGAACAATCACTAAAAAAATCCCTTAGAGGCCATAGATAGATAGTTCAATATATCAGAGAAATGTTTTGACCTGAAATTCTAGTATTTGTGACTCTTGGTTCTCAAGTCCCATTTTAGAGGACCCTCTAAGCAAATCACAATCTCACACCAATCAACTTCATAGGATGATCCCAGATTCTAGTATTGACTAAAAAAGGAAAGTATCTATCTACAACATGCACAATTCTACCATTATCATAATTATCCTTACTTGCTTTTCGCTATGCTAAGCAACCTCAGATAACCTTTCCTTATTGGGAGTTGCCTTGGCCCCTGCAGCATTTTAGTTGTTCCATTTTGTACTTCAACTCATAACATCATTTCTTGGGTGTGATGACCAGAACTAAACATACTTTGGTGTCACCATCGAGTGCAAGGTGATATTGGCAGTTATATGAGAGTTAAATAACCCACACTTGCAAGGTTTACAGGATAACCCCTGAATGCCCACTGCAATAATCTTTGATGAGCTGTGGCATGTTGTTCTGAACCCAAAGAAAGAGGGTTAACAACCTTCACAGAACCCTAAAACAGACGGTACTTGCTGGACTCACATGACACAACAACTTCTAAATAGATATCTTTGTGAAATGGCAGCCACACACACTCTTGTGTCACTGTGGATTGCAACCACAGTGGTCTGTAGTGTCACTCAGACAGCCACTGTCTACTTTATGCTGACAGTCAGAAAATACAGCTTCTATCAGTATTTTGTACTTAAAAGAGGGTAACTACTTTTTTTAATAATGGAGTGACTATGCCATGCAGGAAAAAAGATGATAGAGATGTGTTAACTGAAAGATGCAAAACAGCAAGGGTGGTATGGTACAATATAAGTAAAGAAGTCTTTTTATTAATACAGCATTATAAAATGTTTATAACCATGTGTCAAAACAGATATATGACAGAGGGAGAAATCCATAGACCATAAGATAATCTATATTCCCAGATCTGATGTTACAGACAGTGCTCCGCAACACTAAAGCTGGAAATCAGAGCTCTGAATCCTGTTTCCTACACAGCCAGTACAGAAAGAACCACACCATCAATTCTCTGAGTAGAAAAAGGCAGAATTTTGAATGATGCAAAATGGTGAGGCCAGTGTATGAGCTACCCTGATGACTCTCCAGCTTCCTTTCCTTTCCCTTTAAGACACTCCAGGTAGATGCACAAAAAGATCCTCTAGCGAAAACAAAGGGCAGGAGGATGGGGAGGCAGAGATAGCCATCTCTGCTTCTCAAGCTCTGCCCTGGATGACTATAACTCTCCAAGCTTGGGGGCTCATGGCTATCATCAGAAAATTGTGCCTGGCTTTGGGTTTAAATCATTTGAAGCTTAAAAGGAACTGTTAAAATGTAACTTACAATGAAATTTATATGATTTCTTGGGTTTTGATGGAAAACTGAATAAGCAAGAATGACAAGAACTGATGTTCAGTAAGATCTGCATAAGCCACAAATGAAGCAAAACTAATAGAATGATGACTAGAATAAAGGAATTATATAAAATAGTGGTACTATCTTAAATAAGTCCAAGAACAAAGAAGTGGAAGTCAGTACTTTAACACAAAGTATGATAGCCATGGGCTGATTGTACTACTGAGTGTTGTTAACATACAAGCTAAGATGATGCTGTTAAGGAAATTAAAATTATTACAGGAATATTTTGTATTTATTACAAAGAATTCATGTAGTTCACAGGAGAACAGCTTAAAGGAGAGATTTGTCAATTTTTAAATATGTTGTTTATCCTCTAGTACAGGGCTACTACCATGTTATTTTTTCTGAAAAGTAATTTCATTTGAATATCCCACAGAGAACTAAAGGCCTTAAGTTACATCACAGAGGAATGGACAACTTTCTTTGAAGAGAAGGCTGATTTTCATTCTATTATATTCTGATTATTTTTTGCCATTTATCAGTAAATGTTCACATATTACTATTTTAGATGTATTCTGGTGGATTTAAAAGTCTGTAAAATATATTTTCCTTTCAAAATGGGCAAAACTAATAAAGACCAAAAAGTACTTTTCATTATAAACATTCTTAATTAATGCTTTACATGAAGAATAACATGAAGTCTATAATGGTTTATATTTACCAACATCAATTGTAAGTGAGTAATCACATGTAATGAGTACAGGATTGTTTAGCAAATAAATAATCCAGAAATCACCTCCAAACAAACCCTAAACAACTCACCATTTTGGGTTCATACCATGCCCACAATCCAGGACCTGGGCAATTCTAGGCCATTGATTAAAAGCAGAACTGGGCAGTAAATGGAAGGCAGTGAAGTTACTCACTTCCATTCTTGCATGGCAAGTCATGGGTTAAGTAATAAATGACTGTCTGAACTAGGCCACTGAACAGGCCACTTTGTTGAAAATGCTGTCCAATATACTGAACATTGCAACAAAGAGGGCACACAGAATTATATTTGAAGCTGAAACATCCTTTAGCAAGCAGGCTTTATTTTAAAAATTAGCAACAATAAGGAAAAACCCACCTTAAACTAGTGCGAACAAATTCTTATAACACAAAGAATTAATGGGAAGGTTTGCATGAAATGGTAACACCACTAGAAACACTCTTTGCAGTAGAAGGTTTGAGGGTGTAGGAAGGGTTTTGTGTGATCCTGGATTGACTTTGCTTTCCTAAGTCTGGATAATAAAAGCCAAAATCCTAGAAAAAAGGGTATTTGGGGCAGCCCCAGAGTTTGGGGAGTTGCTTCTTGGTTTTTCCATTTATCCTGAGTAGATAACACTTCCAGAAGTGGCAACCCAGTAGGAATTCTCCATGCTGAAGGGGCATGAAGTTTCATTTAAATGGAAAAACCTACCTTCCCACACAGATGTTTCCCCAAGTTCTGTCAACACTTTGGTAATACCTGAGACAGCAGATCACACCAGGGAAACCAGGGGAAACTGTGAAAGGTGGGAAACAGCCCCTTTATATGAAGTATGTTCTCATGAGTGATTGCATGGATCCTTGCCATCATACTTTAACAGTAAGTTCTGTGCAAATAGGAGAGAATGGAAAAGGTACTGGGCTGGCTGCATGCTGGATTTGGGAAGAAGACCCACAATCTCTTCACTGTTTACCAGTCTGACCATGCTGCACTAAGGAGATCATTCCAAGTGGTCCTATCAAGAGTCTCCTCAGAGCAAATGACAGCTCAAGTTAACACCCTCTGATACTAAGTGCATCCAATCATGCTTAGGATCAGATTGTAATATGCCTTTTAACAGCAGCTTTCACAATCTGAAAAAAAGCTTTGTTTTTAAAAGTAAGGTCTCAGCTACAGCAAAATGGCTTGCCATGGCTGCAGATGTGGGTGGGTGGGAACCTTTCCCAGCTTTCCCCAAGTGCTGCTTTGGAACTTTGGACTGACTGAGAAAGATGGCTGCCCATTAGCTCCTTGGTTTGACTTCAGCTTATTTTGTTGCCTGGGTATGGCCAAGACAATAAGCCACTGTGGGTTCATTAAACTCTAGAACAAACTATGGGTAACTGGAGTGATTCATAAGCCATACCCCGAAAAAAGTGCTGGTTGTGGACAACAGGGTAACCATTCCTAACTTATAAAGCATGGTGTTCTATCATGCTGTGTGAACCCAGTCACTCAAGCAACTCCAATTCTCAACAAGTTTTGACTATATCTTATTAGGGGAAATATGTTTAAAAATAAACATTTTATACTGTATACTGAAAGGTAGGGTGCCTTTCTTGGAAAGAGTGGTAAAAGACCTTTCTTAATTTGTTGAGTCAAGCCAGTTTAAGGCATACTAAACTGGGGTAGATGGAGAAATAGAATAGACTAAGTTTATTTTAGAGGAGTATAAGTTCTTTTAAAAAACTGTCCATAAAATAAAACATAATTCAAACAGAGAAAATAGAATATTTACATACAAAAAGTTTATCCTTAAATTTGTACAACACGAAGAACAATTTGTTTAAAGTGTACTAGGATTTTAAAATCAGTTCAACAGCTTCTATATCCACAGCAGCTGTTTCTGCTTAAGTCAGCCTAAAGGAAGATTTAAATGAATTACAAAAACAAGGTCACTAGTTACAAAAAACCTTTAAGTCACAATCAGATTTAAACAAGTAACTTTATTTGTATGTGGTGTATAATCAATGCAGCACTGTTTAGATATGCCAATTATCTTGCATACAAATTTCCCTGTTTAAAAAGGATTAAAACTTAGCCCGTTCACTTCTCACCTAGCTTTTCCTGAAGGATTCTTAACTTTTCTGAATGACTGATTTGCTGAGGATCTTGAAGAAAGAGTTCTTGGAGAAGCACGGACAAAAGTGGATGGTGGTGTTTTAGGAATCTTCTTTACTAAATGAGAAACCCATTTCTTTTGATCTTCTTGACATGATGCCAGTAACAACATATCTCTTGCTGAAGTTACATCATAACTCACTGTGAATGAGAAAAAGAATATTGAAACTAAAATCAAGGGATGCCAATAAAATCATTTATAATCACTGACTTGCTTATGGAAGTATAACGTAGGAACACAAAACATAAAAAAGCCATGCTGGATCAGACCAACAGTCCATCAGGTTCAGCACTCTATTCACATGATGCCAACCAGCTATGTCCACAGAATTCCTCAAGCAGAATAGGTACAAGACCTACAGCTGCCCTAGTCCCTAGCAACTGGTGTATGCAGGCATGCCACTCTGGTAATGGAGGAAGAACAAAACCAACAGGTCTAAATAGTCACTGTTCCTCCATGATTTTTCTCCGATACCCCTTTAAAGCCATCCAAATTGGTGAATATCACTATTTCCTGTGGTTGTGATTTCAACAATTTTAACTATAAGCTGTGTGAAACACTACTTTTTATCTGTTGTAAATCTCCCACTGATCAGCTTCATGGGATGATCCCAGGTTCTAGTATTATGGGCGAAGAAGTAAAATGCCTTCCTCTCCACTTTCTCCACACTATGCATAATTTTAAAACATCTCTGTCTTGCCCCGTTATTCACCATTTTTCTAGACTAAACAGTCCCATTTGTTGTAGCTGTTCCTCATACAGATAGATGTTCCAGCCCCTTGAGCATTTTCACTGTCCTCTGCACTTTTTCTAATTCAGTTATGTTCCTGTTCAGGTAAGGTGACCAGAACTGTACATAATATCCTAAATGCGGATGCACCAAATATTGTATAAGGGGAGTTTGATCTTGGTAGTTCTATTTTAATTTCTGTTCTAATTATGCCTTCCTTATATGGACTTGACCTTTTTCACAGCAGCAGTGCACTGGGCTGACATTTTAACTGACCTGTCCACCCCACTCTAAGATCCCTTTCTTGGTCAGTTACTGCTAGCTCAGACTCCATCAACCTATACTTCACATTTGGATTTTTTTTTGCCTCAATATGGATTACTTAACATTTGTTTGCATTATATTGCATTTTCTGAGGGAAGTCAACAACATGGCCCTGTCAATCAGGACCCCTTCCCACAGTGCAGTTTATTGGCATTAAAAGCCTTGTCAGCCAAACCATTTGAAGCAATGGCTACATTAGACATCCATCCACTTACATGAAAGGTTGCTTTTTAAGTAACAATCACTTCAGCTAGCTGTTCATGTGAACTCTGTGCTCTTAGGATCAATCCCCCTAACATAGTCTTTTACAAAGTCTTCCTTCTGAAGGCTGTTAATGATTTTCACCTGACCCAAGATATTGTGATGCCAACCCTTTTTTCAAACCCAGAATCACCAGCAGAAAAGCCTCTCTCTGCACTTGATGTCTGCAAAACCATGACTTTCTAGATGTCTCACACAGGGTCTTTCCATCAGACTCCTTGTTTGTTCCTTTGCTATAGAGAAAAATAGAAAGGGCAACCAATCTTTTCACAAAGACTGTCATTTTGCATTGTCCAGATGGTAAAGCTAGCATAGAAATTAACTGGTTTACAGGTATCTGTGAGTCTAATGTCACACTCTAGGAGGGAAATAGCTACTTCAATAGCACACAGCAGAGCAATCACCTTGACAGACATTTGCTGCATAGCATCTTGGTTTGATGAAAATAGTTTGTTCTGACATTACTGCCTTGATCTTCAGCAGTCTCAGGAGATTCAGTTCAATTTAATTTAGTCTGGATTCAACCCACAATTAGTTCAAGATACAAATAGAGTCAAACAGTCCCTTACCTTTACATGGCGCAATTAATTCTTCTTTTTTATCCAAATGATCTTTATGGCACTTAACATGACATCGCCGGCATTCCACAGCAGGGGGTGGCTTAAATACATGCCAGAGAGGCTTTGCACAAGCCTCACAGTTGGCTGGAAAGTGGTATAATGTTGGGATAAATTCATGACCCTTATGATTCAAAAAATTTGTCTTCTCTGCTGGCTGCACTGGTTCTACTTCCAAATCTTTTCGGCATTCACCCTCATTGGCATACAGAATCTGAACAAAAAAATAAACATACAGTAGTATGTATATATACAGATACACACACACATACACACTTCAATGAAGATGGTCAAATTGTTTAAGAAATTTTTTCAGAATCAATACAAGGAAGTTGTTACCTGGAATATTTTGGGAATTTCTTCAGTTTCTGCTCTATATACATCTCCTTGAGTTACTGGACGAACATGGAATAATTTACTGAAATAAATATTGTACTATTTTAATAAAAATTATTACAATGAATCAAGCAAGATACACATTAAATTATCTATTTTATTTGAATATTCTTTATTCATTTAGATGAGGAAGCACCCTATGTAACACCTGCACATATTACACCAATGATTCCCACAACAAACAAAAATATGACTGAAAACTCCACATCCCTCAACAGTACTGTTCACACAAGTAAAGAGGATGGAACTGAGTCACTGGTGTTTGGGGATGCTCATTTTTTTCACCTTTACAGAAGATACTGGTGACACATGTCAGCATATATATTTATGTAAAATATGGAACCATTTCCACCATAAGAAATAGTAACGTAAGGCATGCAGGAGCTAACCAAAGGTCCAACTAGTCCAGCACTCTGCACACATGGCAGTAAACCAGCTGCCTGCAGAATTGCTCAAGCAGGATAGATGCAAGACCTCCTCAGGAACTGGAATATGCACACATACCAACTCTAGTAAAGAAGGTAGCATATATCCAGCAAGGCTAATAGCCACTGATAGCTTCTTTCTTCATGAATCTGTCCAATCCTCTTTTAAACCCATCAAAATTGGTGTCAATTTCTAATTCCTATGACAACAAATTCCACAGTTTTAACTATGCATTGTGTGAAGTACTTCCTTTTATCTGTCCAAAGCCTCCTACCAATCAGCTTCATGGGATGACCTTGTGTTCTAGTGTTGTGAGAGGAGAAGAAAAATATCTCCCCTTTCACACCATGCATTATCTTAAAACTGCTATAATTTTAACCCTTGCTTGCCATTTTTCAAAACTAAACATTCTTGGTTGTTCCAGTCCCTGGATCATTTTTGTTGTCTTTCTCTGTACTTTTTCCAATTCAATAATGTCCTTTCTCAGGTAAGGTAACCAGAACACAACATTCTAAGTGTGATTGTATCAAACATTTGTATATGGGGAATAAGATCTTGGTAGTTCTATTTTCTATTCTGTTCCTAATTATGCCTACCATGGAGTTTGCCTTTTTCACAACTACACACTGGGTTGACATTTTCATTAAGCTGTCCATCACTACCACCAGATCCTTTTCTTGCTCAGTTACTGCCAGCTCAGATCCCATCAACCTATACTTAAGGTTAGGATTTTTTTTTTGCCATTATTTTTTGCCATGCATTATTTTACACTTTCTTACATTGAATTGCATTTGCCATGGAGCTCCAGGAGATCCCTCTGGAGCTCTTCATATTCCCTTTTGGTTTCAACCATCCTAAATAATTTGATGTCATCAGCAAACCTGGTCACGTCACTGTGTACTTCTAATTCCAAATCATTTATGAATAGGCTGAAAAGGATTGGTCCTTATGCAGAACCCCATGGGATTTCACTGATGACATCACTCCATTAGGAGAAATTGCCATTTAGTCCTACTCTCTGTCTTTAACCAGTTACTGCTCCATAAGAGAACAGGGCTTATCCTTCTAGGTGCTTAATGATTCTATCTTTAATTCTATCTTTCAGTTCTTTGAGGCATCTAGGATAGATACCGTCCTGACTGATTTACTGACTTTCAGTTTGTCAATAAGAATCAACATACTCAAATGAAATACTCAGAAGGATATTTGAACTCATGTAGCAACAAAAACTAAAAAAAAAAAAAAATCTTCCATTCCATTACATGTCACTCCCCAGCTAATATTTATTATTGAATATGAATATAAAGGTGCATTTTAAAAATACTGGTATTGATTGTATGGCATGAACTGGAATATATAGTATATTGATTGAATCATCTCTTTGGGAAGCGGTTTTGAGGTTCTACTCTGAGAGAACTTGTTCTAGGAGATCAACTTCCTATTACATTCTCCCCACTATAGCTTCCCTACATAAGTTTCTGAGCTGCTGCTAGGAAACCCCCAGGAGCTATGTGGAATAATGTAAAGAAAAGGAAGTATAGAAGGGGATGACCTTAGGTGGAGTGATATGGCATTCAGCTTACACAAGACATCTTGGAATCTGGACTGGAGTACTTACAAATTAAGAAAGTGCAGATACCATTAGAATTTAAGTTAATGTACATTATTTTATACTGATGAAGTAAAGAATTTCTAGCATTCTACAATATTAACCTTACAGCTTATTATAGCAAATGTGTAGCCCATAATTGCTTCTGCTCAGCACATGGAAATAAATTAAGATGCATACATGACTTTCCTGAAGAATTTTCACCTGGTTAACCTTTTGTATGTAAGGGTAACCAAACATTCAACAGGTTTGTATGTAAGGGTAACCAAACATTCAACAACTCGTGCTCAACCCATACTATGGGTAATTAGTATGTGTGAACCAGGTGAAACCCAGGAATACTAAGTGCAATCAAAACTTGTAATAAATAAAACCACCTCAAACTCTGCACGACACAAAGAAAGTCAGGTTACTTACCTGTAACTGTCGTTCTTCGAGTGGTCATCTGTGCAGTCGCACATAATGGGTACTGCGCCTGCGCAGTGCCTGTTGCCAGCCAGAATACCCAAGCTGCAACAGTTTTTGGCTGGAACTCCGCACCCTTCCCCGCTAGTGCTATATAAGGTGGAGTGCCCGCCATTTTCCTCAGTGCCTGGAGACTGGCAGATCGCCCCCTAGTGGAGCGTGCCACAGAGAAGTCAATAACAGAGATTACCATCCCATCCCTTGACACTGAGTGGGGCTGGAGGGCGGGTTGTGTGACTGCACAGATGACCACTCGAAGAAAGACAGTTACAGGTAAGTAACCTGACTTTCTTCTTCTTGGTCTCTGTGCATCACACATAATGGGTGATTAGCAAGCTTCACTCACCGGAGGTGGGTCGGTGTCATCAGTGAAGAATGGATGATAGGACAGCCTGTCCAAAGGAACAATCCTTCCTGGCCCTGACATCTAGCCTGTAGTGCTTGGTGAAGGTACAGGGAGTTGTCCATGTGGCTGATTTACAGATGTCCAGCAATGGAATGCCTGAGGAGAAGGCTGAGGAGGCTACCATGGCCCTGGTGTAGTGACCCTTGGGCGGAATGAGGAGATCTATCTTGGCCAGTTGGTAAGCTAGTTCAATAGTCTGTACTATCCATTTTGACAGTCTTTGTGCAGAGAGAGGTGCACCCTTATCGGGTTTGGAGTATTTGATGAACAAGAGCTTGGTTTTCCTGAAGCTTTCCATATGCGACCGGTAGAAAGCTAAACATCGGCGCACATCAAGGGAATGAAGAGATCTCTCTATTGGGATGGATGGGGATGGGAAGAATGCTGGAAGCACGATATCCCGGTTAACGTGGAATAGTGTGGCCACCTTGGAGAGGAATGCCGGATCAGTACGTAGAACCACTTTTTCCTTGTGAAAATTAAGGTATGGTGGGTCCACACATAGGGCAGAAAGTTCGCTTGCTCTTCTCACTGAAGTTATAGCAACCAAAACGGCTACTTTCCAAGATAGCAGTCTTAACTCCGTCATTGCGAGGGGTTCAAAAGGAGCTTCGGTGAGCGCATGCAGAACTACAGATAGACTCCACGTCAGTACCAATGGACGGACCGGAGGATGGAGATTTTGTAGTCCCTTCAGGAAATGCCGGATGAGTGCATGGGAAAATACAGATAAGCCCAAGACAGGGCCTCGGAAATGCGATATAGCTGCAATACAGACCTTGACAGAAGTAGGTTTAAGTCCAGACTGATGCAATGAAAGCAAGAAGGACAGGATATTATCGATGGAAACTGATTCCGGAGTAAAATGGTTAGCTCCCGCAAACGTGGTGAAACGCTTCCATTTCGCCTCATACGATCGACGAGTGGATGGATGAAGAGCAGACTGTAGGATAAAATCGATTTTCTGTCCCGATGATGTAGCTTCTGAGGATAGTCGGGTGAGATCTCTCGGTACTGACTGGCATTCTGGCGTCAGGACCGAGCAATTTTGTTGAAGCCTGCAGGGATCGGCAGAGTTAGATAGCGCAGGAGCCACACGGTGAGCTTGAGAGTGCCGAGGTCGGGGTGAAGAATTGTTCCCCTCCTCTGTGTGATCAGGTGAGGGATTTGTGGCAGATGAAAGAACGTGCGTCTTGATAGTCTGAGTGCAGTCAAGAACCAGGGTTGGCAGGGCCACCACGGTGTAATGAGAATTAGCTGTGCTTGGTCCCGGGCAGCCTTCTCCAGAGTACGGGTGATCAACGGGATCGGTGGAAAGACGTATAGGAATGAATCCAACCAACTCACCATTAAGGCATCCCCTAGTGAGTTCAGACCCGTTCCTGCCCTGGAGCAGTAGGTCACACACTTCGAGTTCGATGCTGTCGCGAACAGGTCCAGAGCTGGTGTACCCCACCGGGTAAACAAGTCTCTGCAAACTTGATTGTCCAATTCCCACTCGTTGATTGACGACACTTTCCTGCTCAAGGTGTCTGCCTCTTGGTTGTTCATTCCCGCCAGATGGTTTGCCGTTAGCGAAATTCCTCTGGGGATACACCAGTCCCAAATCTGCATGGATAGCTGAGCCAACAGTACCGATTTCGTACCGCCCTGCTTGTTCAGGTAAAACACGGTAACCGTGTTGTCGGATGCTACCTATACCGAACGGTTCCGTAACACAGGTTTGAAAGATCGCAGTGCTTTGAAGACTGCCAGCAGCTTGAGAAAGTTGATGTGATTGAGCCTCTCATGTGCTTGCCAGGTGCCCTGTGTTCATAGGTTGGAACAGTGTTCTCCCCATCCCATGAGAGACGCATCAGTATGGAGAGAGATGGAGGGCTGTCGCTGGTGAAATGGAACGCCAACTGTGAGACTGTCCAGGTATATCCACCAAGTCAGTGTTTGACGAACTGAAGCGGAGGGAAGAAGTCGTCGTCTTGGGGAATCGCGGAGGGGCTGGAAAACTGCGTTGAACCATAACTGGAGTGGCCACATCCGTAGTCTGGCATTCGGAACTACTACGATAGTTGATGCCATATGGCCCAACAGTTTTTGTATGAGCAGTGCCTTGATTCGCCTGCTTCTCTGGACCCAACGGGCTACAGAGCAAAGTCTGTCCATACGGGTCTGTGGCAAAAATGCCCGTGCTTGAACTGAATTGAGTTGTGCTCTGATGAACTCGATGACCTGTGAAGGAGTGAGACAGGATTTTTCGGTATTAATAAGGAGACCCAAGTCCTCTAGAAGAGTGCATGTAATGCCAACATCTGTAATTAGTCGGTCCCGAAAGGAGGAGACAATAAGCCAATCATCCAAATATGGGTAAATTTGAATACCTCGTTGGCGAAGGTGGGCACATATCGGAGCCATACACTTTGTAAATACCCTGGGGGCTGTGGCAAGTCCAAAAGGGAGCACATTATATTCGAAAATGTCAGAACCAACTGTAAACCGGAGGAACCTCCTATAAAACGGGTGGATGCCGATATGGAAGTAGGCACCCTTCAGGTCAATGGATGAGAACCAATCTTCTCTCTCTAGCAGGGAAAGGATATTTTGTAAGGTAGTCATACGGAATTTCTTAGCCGTAATAAAGGCATTGACGCCCCTTAAATCGAGTTTGGGGCGTAAGCCACCATCTCTCTTCAGTACCGTGAAATATCTCGAGTAGAAACCACAAGGTCTGTTGGAATGGGAGACTTGGCGGATGGCTCCTTTCTAGAGTAACTGAGATACTTTTGCTCTAAGAATTTCTGATGGGGCAGTGTATAACATCAGACCCAAAGGAGGAATGATATCGAACTCGATTCTGTATTCAGATTCAACTATAGAAAGGACTCATTTATCAGATGTGATGGTCTCCCAAAGAGGGTGTTGGCTTTGCAGCCGGCCCCCATAGGGAAGGGGGAAGGGTATAGGAGAGAGAGGATCGGTTTGCAGTGCCCGTCAATATTGCCTCTTATCAGCGGGTTGGCAGCGGCGGCTCTGCTGATATTGGACCGCCAGTTGTGTACGGTTCCGCTGTTGTCGTTGCGGGAATTGTTGTTGACGTGGCTGGTACCAATGGTAAGGCTGGCATCTAGGGTATCGAGATTGCTGCCACTTATAACGGTTTGAGCCTGGGATCTCCATCTTCCTGGCGGTAGCTCCAGCATTATAGATATGCTTGAGCTTGTGGTCCATCCGATCGTGGAAGAGGCCCAATCCGTCAAATGGCATCCCCTTGATCCTTTTCTTGGTCTCTTCTGGGAAGTTACACGAGCGTAGCCAGGCGGGTCTTCTGAGAGCAACTGAGCCAACCAGAGTGCAGGAATCGCAGTCGACATGATGGCGGACCGTGGTGAGCTGCTGGATCGCCAGCTGCATCGTCACTCCAATGAAAACTCGAGCGAGATCATGTTGTTGCTCTGGGATGGACGAGGTAATCCCATCTAGCTGCTGCATCAGAAAGTACTGATACCTCACCATCGTCGCCTTGTAATTAGAAATTCTCAAGCCTAGACCCATCGCCGCATAAATTCTCCTCACCATAAGGTCGATCTTTCTTCCTTCCTTGTCCCTAGGTGTCGTGCCTGACATCTCGACAGAGACGGCACCTCACGAGAAAGAGTCAAACGTTCAAAATGAGAACCAGACATTAGAGCAGGGTGACTTATGCTTGGAGCCCAGTAACCAAATGACCCCTCCCCAGCCTGACTTAGAAACTACTGAACAAATAGCTCCCCCACATACTGACCCTTTGCTCCCTGAACAAACAGCCCCGTCTCAGTCTAGTCATGAGGCTTCTGAGCGGGGGATTTCTCCCCATTCTGAATCTGAGAAGCGTGAACCAGATACCCCCCCCACACTCTGATGCTGTGGCTCCTGGACTGGCTCCAGAAGATAAAGGTGAACTGTCCTTAGTCCACGCTAGTCTTAGACGTAGCTTACAACGATTGGAACAAAAAAGACAAGACAAAGCTTTGTCCCTCCCAAGAGTGGAAAGACATGAGAAGAAAAGCTAATCCCACATGGTCTCCCTGGAGGCGTCACAAAGAGAGAGGCAACTGACTGGTTTAGACCTTTGCAGTAGAGCTTATCTGTAGTATCGTAAATCTTGTAGAAAGTAGCAATAAAAGACTTTAGTTTTATTGCAGGCTGCAGTGTGAGTTAATTAACCCCCCGTGAGTTACGGCCTCACGACACTAGGGGCCGAGTGTTCCCTATTGTCTCGCCCCTGGGATGATTCAACCACGATGGGGTTGGGCTTTGGGTGTCTTAAGAGGAAGGGAATGTCTTGCTCTCTGACTTTATATATGGACTCGTATCTCCATGATGTCGATTGCGGTTGATTGGGAGAGGTCCATGTATCCTCTATATCCTCCCGCAGGGTTGTAATCAGCGGGATGGTGATTGTGGATGACTGTTCCTTCCGGACAATATGGTAGAAATTGTCCTCATTAATGTTGGGTTGATGCTCAACCTCGATCTCCAAGGCCCTTGTCAGTCAACCCATAAGCTCACTGAAGGTAGCATAGGACTCTTCGGGTGACCCAGGTCCCTGGGTGGAAATGACTGCCGCAGGAGATGTAGAATAGTCATCCGAGTCCTCAGAGTCTGAGTCATATGGGTAAGGTGGGTTTGAGAATGAATGTGTCGGGGAAGGAGGATGGCGAGAGGTCGTCGGCGCTGAAGTAGACAGGGCCTCCGCCCTTGATTGTCGGGACCGACGGCTGTCATCCCTTGGCATGTAGTAGCCGTATGGGGGTGGTTCCCAGTATTGAGGCTGCAGTGCCTCCGGTCCTTCGTATGGCATCGGTACCCATGACCTGGTGGATTGTCCCAATGAGCGACGCTGCTGGTCGGGTTCAACCACCATAGTCCTCCTGGAAGCTCTGGGGAGGATGGCATCGGGGTCGGTGAACGGGCCGGCTGATGGCACGGCAAGGACCTTGGGGGAGAGTCACGTATCTCTCCGTCCGACAGCGACCCATGAACGATCGGTTTGGGTGGATGTAACATAACCAGGTCCACAAGCTCAACTCTGTGGGGATCCCGGCGGCGTGACCTGCATCATCTCCCTTGGTGTCGGTGCCGAGGCTGTCGGGACTGATGGCGCCATCTGGACCGACAATGCGGTCGAATCCGAGTCCCGGGGCGGGCCTATGTTTCTTAGTAGTCTTGCCCAACTTATCCTTTTTGGCCTTCTTCAGGACCGACGAATCCCCATTGTCAGAATGCTTCCGTTTCTCCTTTTGAGTAAGGAGTGGGAGGAGTGAGAGGTCTCCTCGGAAGCAACTCCCCCAGATGGTCGAGGGAAGGTTACCATGGAAAGCCCAGCCGACATAGGCTGAGTAGCGAGCTTGTCATAGGCTAGTAAGGCCTGATCCCAAAGGATCTTTCTCAGCCTATTCTCTCAATTCTTCCTAGCCTGTTTGGTAAAGGCCAGGCAATGCCTACACTTGTCGGTGCAATGCCCTTCTCCTAGACAAAGGAGGCAGAGCTCGCGTGGGTCTGCTGGGGGCATTTTAGCCCCACATTTTGAACACTTTCGAAATGCCGCACGCTGAGCCATTGAGATGAGAAGGAAAATAGTGAAGGTAAGAGAAAAAAGAAGAAAAACACTAACATACATACATACATACATATATATAAACAGTAAAGAAGAAAGAAGTAACCGGCAAAACAAGGGAAAAGAACTTGGATTCAATGGGTAAGAATGATTCTAGAACAAACAAGTAAGTACAAGAAGACAAGGTAATGGCTCGAGGCAATGCGATCGGTGGTCAAAAGAAGACTGAGGAAAATGGTGGGTGCTCCGCCTTATATAGCACCAGGGGGGAGGGGTGCGGAGTTCCCACCAAAAACCGTTGCAGCTTGGGTATTCTGGCCAGCAACAGGCACTGAGCAGGCGCAGTACCCATTATGTGTGATGCACAGAGATCACGAAGAACCTGAATTTCTAGCAACGCAATAGGATGGGGAAAAATGCATTCAATATGACATAGCAGCAGTGCATACACTCATTAAATTCCATTTTTGTAACCACCATCAAAGTTTTAATTCTGTCCTATGTAGATATTATAATTAAAATGCTATTTTTGGAAACACAAATTTTGGCAATTTGTGTGTGTGTACAAATTTGGGGTGCAGCTTCTGCTTCAAGTTTCCAAAACAGTAAGGCTGATACTGTGTAGAAGCACTGATTAATTCCCAAAAATAGTCAGCAGCAACCAAAAACTGTTCCTTTTAGACACCTATTATATACAGTAACTTTTTCTGCTTTTGTCTTGTGATTTTCTTGATAAAGTAATAATTTAAAATCTGTATATGAAAGACAAATCTCAGATGCATTGTCCAGGTTTCACACAGTCTAAGAGTATTTTGAATCACTAGATTGGAAACAAACTATGATAACTAGCTGAACCATGGGATATAGGGATTGTGTCCAAATAGCGGGAACAGAGGCGAACATTCTCTCAGAGCTTTAGTGGTTAGAATTCTCACCATCCACAAGCTAGCTTTTTCTCCCATGTGTTGAAGTTAACAGATTGGATTCACAGCACCGATTAAAGGAGATACCCTCATACTGGAGGAAGTAGGCAATTTTCATGGTTTCTCTTTCTACCTGCAACCCCCTGAAAAATTGTTAAGAAATGCTAGGGAACCCACTAGAAAGCATGAGAAAATTCATGGGGAAGGTTGTGTTTTCGCTTCATCCAGTGAGAAGTCTCCACTGCATTCCCATTGTCTTCTGAAAATGGAAGGAGCCATTCCATTCACAGAACAGCAAATCTGGATCTAATCAGAGTTTATTGTATTCATGTACATTTTGTTAAAATATAGAAATTTGGGAACTAGCATTTTACATCTGGAAAAAGACCAAGAAAAACATTTTATTTATAAAACAGGTAAGAGGAAACTAAAATCACTGCACTGTTAAGTTTTCAAATCTATCATCTGCCATCAAAGTTTTGTTTATTTTTTAGAAGTTGCTAATTTACTATCCCAAACTGTTAATAGAAGAACGTACTCTATATCTAATACCATGGATGGATTAGATTGTTCTTTGTCCTGTTCATCGTTATAGAACAAAATCTTTCTGCTGCTTACCACAACATACTAGAAAAAAGGGAAAGGAAAGAAACCATTAATATAAATATATATATATACACACACACACACAAATATTCTAATGGCATGTAATACAAATCAGTTCTATCCACCTTCTATTCTTCTTGGCACAAAGGAACAGCAAACCTTGATTTGGCATTAGAGGCATAGCCAGGAACAAGCCATGGCTTCACAACTTCCCTCCTCCCCCTTATATGTCAAGGTTAGAGACTTCTGATCGTGGATTGAATTTAAGCACAATTTCCATATTTTGTTCAGACCCAATAAACTATAACTTGCACATGAAAGAAGGAGAAAGAGGGAGTGTGTAAGCCTCAAGTATGATCTGAAGTAGCCTCTGAGGCTTTGTAAATTAATCAACTGCAAATTAGAGAGACAGTGTAGTGATTAAAGCCTTGACCTCAGACTGAGACAGTTAAGTTTGCTACAGTTCTTTGAGTGGTCATCTCTGCATTCACACACATGGGTTCTGCACCTGTGCGTGGCCTGTTCTTGAGAAGATTTTCCTAGCTACACTCATTCTGGTGGGAGCTCTGCCCCTCCTATATATACCGGGGGAGGGAAGGGCAGGGCTCCTGACATTTTCCCCAGGTCTTAAGAGACTGATGTTGTGACACTGTAACTGGGGAAGAAAGCCAGTAATGGCCCAACCTGCCCCATCCCGAAATGGGTCCTGATGGGAAAGGAAACTACTGGAACCAAAGCTGTTAACACTGACATGGGGCTGGAGGACGGGTTGTGTCCTCAGGCATCCTGCTTACGGTATTTGCCATGACGTCAGTCCCAGCCAGGTGGTTGGCCATGATGGTACTATCCCTTTGCAAACACCACTCCAAGATATGCAGTGTGAGGCAGGTTACGGATTCAGATCGCATGCTGCTTTGCTTTTCAGGCAGAACACCACCGTAGTGTTTTCCAAGGTGACGTGAACATCCATGTCCCTGAGGAATTGGAACACAACCAGCATCTTCTGGACTGTGAGGAGCTTAAGGTAGTTGATATGCTTCCTCCAGTCCCAATTGTTCCATATTCCCTTAGTCCTGCTGCTGGTACAGTGCACTTCTCATTCCAGCTCAGATCAGATCCAGTTCCTTAAATGCAAGGTGACCCCAACCATCTGTCAGGTTGTGTCACCAGGACCGCTTGCACAAGGCTTGCACAAACTGAATGTGGGAACACCAGCAGCTTCTCGACTGAGGCATGTTGAGGCTGGTAGGCATGCATGGACCAGAGCTGCAGCAGCTGCATCCCCTGGCTTGGCAAACCAGACTACTGTGACTGTCACGGCTGTGAACACCAGGAGCCATTGTACCTGCTCTACTATCACCCTGGAATTGACCTGGACTGTGAAGCAATGTTGACCAGTGTTGCTGCCCTATCACTTGGAAAGTATACCCATGCTGTCATGGACTCCAGCCTTGCCCCAATGTGAAGAATGGACTGGGAGGGAAGAAGAACAGATTTTTTCAGTATGAATGCACAGCGCCAGTGCCTCTAAGAGGTCACATGTGGCCTGGATTGAGCACCAAGAGATCTTAGGACAAGGCAACCAACAGCCAGTCACCCAGGTACAGGAAGACCTGGATTCCCTGTAGCCGTAGGTGGGTGCATACCATGGCCATGTATTTGGTGAAAACCCAGGGGTCTATGAAGAGGCTGAATGGGAGTACAGAACACTGGAATGCATCAGGTCCAAGCTGGAACCAGAGGATATGCCAGTAGTCCTGCTGGATGGTGGCATGGGAATACACATCAGATTAAATGAGAACCAGTCTCCTTGGAGCAGTAATGGCAAGAAGTTTCTGCATGGAGACCATATAGAACTTCTTGTGGGGAATGAAAAAGTTCACGTTTTGCAGGTCTAGGATGGTACAAAGGCCTCCATCCTTCTTTGGTATGGTAAAGTACTGCAACCATAATCTATAATGGAAATCAGATGGAGGAACAGGGCAGATTGTTCCCTTCAACAGCAGCATGGAAACCTCCTCTGCCACATGACAGACAACGGTTTTGTGCACATGCTCCCAAGAGGTGGAATAGTGTCAAATTCTATGTGATATTCACTATCCATAATGGAGAGACCCCACCGAGCCAATGTTACAGAATCTCAGGTGAGAAGGCAGTTGGTCACTGGCCTTTGAATCATATCTCTGCAGCTGGGGGGAGAGGGGATTCATTGCAGCTGTCAGCAGCATTGCCTTTCAGTGAACAGCTTCTTCTCTTACAAGTGCTGGAACCAACAGGTGAAGTCCCTCTGGTGTGGCTGGGCAGACTACTGTTAGCACGTGGCTTAGTGCTACTAAACCTGGGGCTGGTATGAAGATGAGGTCCCAGTCCACTTATATAACCTCAGTAGCTGTGGGGTGTGAAACCCAAGGTTCCTCCTGGGGACAGACTGAGGGGCCCCACTGGGCTCCTCTCCCATGGATAACTACAGAGCTCTGGTGGTGGCAGTGGCACTCAATAGGGTTCTTGGTCCCAGAACAACAGTGGAGACCTGGACAGTTCCCTCAGCTGGTGGCTGGAGGCTTGCAATGGCACTGGAGAAAAAGCACCACATCTAAGGCCCAGTGGCTAGTCTCACTGCTGGTATCAGAGTCTGCTGCTCCTGGTACAGGGAGAACAGCAGCCTTGGTAGAGAAAACAGCAGCAGGTAGGCTAGAAAGTTGGGTGGCAAGTCCCATATCTCCCCTTCAGAGAAGGAGAGTGTCACAGCTGGTATAGCCCAGATTATAGTCCAGACAATGGAGCCCTCAACAGAGGCACCATTGCAGGAACTGGTGAAGGATCATGTGTGGGCACCTGTGTAGACGATGCAAATGGTGAATGGCCTCTACCATTTTATGGGCTTTCTTGGTTCACTTCTTCACCCTCTACTTCTCCACAGCTGTGCACCCAAATGCAGGTGGCACAAGCAGACCAATTGGTGGAACCCTAGTGGCCACTGATGGAAGATGAGAAGCAGAAGTTATATGAGAGGTGGACGGGTACTCAAGCAGCAGCACCACCATGACTGAGTCAACAGTCATAAGGGCACAGCTCCACATCTCTGACTTGAGCTGGCTCATTTGGTTCTTCCGAGCCTACCACATGAATGCTTGGCAGTATGGACAGGTGTTCATGCGGTGGTCTTTGCTGAGGCAGAAAAGCACAATGAGTGCCTGTCTGTTGTGGGCCAACAGCTCCCACACTGAACACATTTCCTGAAGGTTGCTTTGAGTGCCACAGAGGGAAAGAAAAAGAGTGAGTGGAGAAAATCTGAAAAGACAACAGGAAGGAATTTTGGTTGTTTTGTTTTGTTTTTTGGTGCAAAGCTAAAGAAAAAGCAGGGGTTTTGAAAAAGTGAAGTGAGTGGATGATAGAGAAGAAAGATCAGAGAAGTAGAAGATCAGAGAACATTCTAGAAGGTAATTCAAATAGAAGTGTTAGGAAAGACCCAAGGCTCCCAAAACAGCTGTTGAAAAAGAACTAGAAAAAATAGCAGGAGTGTCTCCCACATATATTGGGGAGAGAGGGGCAGGGCTCCTGCCAGAGTGAGTTTAGCTAGGAAAACCTTCCTGACAACTGGTTCCATGCAGGCTCAGAGCCCATGTGTGTGATACACAAAAACCATGAATAAGAAATCTAGGTTCCGACTGCCCCCCCACTCAACCATGAAGCACCCTAGCTGACCTTGGGCCAGTCAAAAACAATCCATCTAACCTATCTCACAGGATTACTCTAAAATGAAGTATGGGAGATAGAAAGGCAGGATATGAGGAATGATGAATAACAACAACAACACAATACAAAACTCAATGAAGTGTATGAACTGATTTCTACTCAGTACAGTCAGTAAAAGAGCTGATTATATTTTTATGAATAATTAGGGAGCATAGTTAGCTCCCAAAAGGTTAGAATAACAATATGTAACTATCTTTACATCTGTGCTAAGATATTTTAAAGGTTTGCATGAATATGTAAATAGAAGACATAAAGAACAGAAAATGCAAGTTTTTAAACTGAATTATTAGTTTAATTAGTAGTATGTATTTTCTGTCTTTCTTTCTTAGAGAAATGGTAGTCTTCTACTTCGAATGTATGACTTCCCCAGTAAGTACCAAATATTCTCCAACGCTTAGTATAAGTAGAAATTAATTTTATTTTGCTTAAGTTTCAACAGAAAATAGAATTTTACAATACCTGCTTCTTCCATCCATGACGTTTTATGTTTCCTTTGTTTGGTATTGAAAGCCATCCCTCCATTCTTGATTCTAAGTAAAAAATAACACATATTAACTAACATAGATAAATACAAGAAAAAAAGATTTTAACCTTCATGCAGCCATAAGATATTATCAAACAGATAAAGCAGAAAGAAAAGGCATAGCTAAACAAGAAAAGGGTTGAGACATTCTTCATGCTTAAGCACAAATTTATTCACCATGGCAATGCAAGTATTGCAGGATGAATGGCAAATAATTTTAAAAGGGAAATATCTACTACAGTTTCACAGAAATGTTTTGAACCAGCCAGACAAGACTTAGGCCTGAAAATTGTGTTGCAGCATGAACAATACTTCTAACACCGGGGAAAGGACAAATGAATTACTTTGCATAACAATTTAGTAACTGAAAGCCACAGTTCACAATGAAAGCAGGAGAGCAAGCAAGAAGTACCCTCTTGTCCCATTACTCACAGAAGATAAGAATAGAAGAGAAATAAATAGGGATGCAGGAAGAATCAGCTAAGTATAAAGAATAAAAGAAAAGCCATTTATTCAGGGTTGAAATGACAGTTTTTAAGTCAATTATAAGAATCCTCCATAATCACTGGAAGACAGCCTTTATCCACATGTTTATCAAAACAGCATATGTTTACAACAGCATAATTAATTGCACCCAAGTAGCAAGTCCTGATTATTGAATCTGACCTATGACATATATCCAAAATTTAGTTTATTTTTTCATAATAACAGGCTAATTAAAAGAAAAGTGGCTTCAGTTAGAATTAATTATGAGTATATAAAATAATACCATTTGATACAATTTGGGTGTATCCATGTTTTTAAACGGGGGTGGAAATCCATTGGATTCTCTGGGCTTGGCTGTCCAGACTTGTGGTGGCCCTGCATCCATGCAAGTGCACCCAGTGTTCATTGATCACCCAGGAATCCAGCCCCACACACTACAGAAGCAGTGTTTCCTCTTTTGAATCAGATGCAGCAGCACAAACAGTAGCTACACATGACGTGGAAGAAAGAAGCTGCTAATGGCTGAGTGTAACTGCTAGCAACCTTCCTCTTCTACACCACATATAGCTGTCTGGGCTGCTGTATCTGACATGAAATAAGACAAGTTGTGTGGTGCTCACCAGGAACGGGGACCTGTGCAAGCAGTGTCCCTCTGCTATGCCACCTGCAGCAGCCTGTGACAAAGCTACAGCTGAGATTCGGAAGGTTATGCTACTCGTATCAACAATTAGAAAATAATTGCTTTTGAAATATATAAGGCTTTTAACAAATCAAATGAAATGCAGTATTAACAGACCTGATATAATTTTTTTCACTACAAACATATCTGAATGTCAGTAGGATTTCCAGTGATTTTTAGAATATATAATCTATGGTAAATCTCCACTAAAAAAAACAATGATGACAAGTACAGAGGCCAGACTTTTGCATTCACTACATATATAAAAAGATTTTTAATTATATAACAAGAGCGATTATTTAACTGGAAGCTCAAGCTTCCATATTTCCTCTTTACAGAGAGATAAGCACAGAATTCCACATCCTGCTTTTAGGATTAAAAACTTAAAGCTGCATTATTTTCTATCCACATTCACCATAAATTAAGACCAAAAAAGAAAAATATAAAGCTTTTTTTTTTTCTTTGTACAAGGTGGCATCATGACTTAAAACAGAAGGCAGGCTTGAAGAGGAAGACAGACAAACAGAAAGCCTCTTACCTATAATATTTCCATCAGTTTCATCTGCCTGAAGACTGGCAACACTGGTAGAGTCCATGCCTTGTTGTAGGTCCAAAATTTTACTGCGCAATTGTTCTATATCACTTTCCTTACTATCTAGCTGCATCTGAAGTTCATTTTTACATGTAGACTCATCCACAATTTGCTGCATACAATAGAAAATATGAGGAAATGGTTTTCCAGTAACTATATTAATTAATGTAATAATAAAATGTGGTAGTATTCTTATTGTATGAAAACAAAATGCTAAGTATTTGCAGACACATTACTGGAAGGAAATGATTTTATTGTACAACATTAGTGTTAAATAACACTAAATGTTATTCCTATTAATTATACAGCATGCAAGGAAAATTTTATCACAAAGTGTATATAAGCAGAGGCACATTTTAGGAATGGCATGCCCACTTATGGCAGTAGATAAATACTGATGACTTTGATCCTGGCAGAATGTTGAATTGTTTGGTGGAGAGAAAGGAGGATCAGAAAGAAGAAAGGAGATGAAAGAAAGCAGGTCCATGAAACATGGTAGGAGAGGCAGAGCTAAGGGAAGGATAAGAAATGGGAGATAATTGGCCAAAAAGAAAACAAATTACGCCACGGAAGAAATTGGAAGATGGGGGTTGGGGTGTTGGATGAATGGGATACATTCTTATGGTTGGTTATGGCATGGGGTACAACTATGTAAAGAATAAGAGTTCTGAAGGACTTCTTCTAAAATGCTAATAAACCATGGAAATGGTTAGCTTATAAAGTAAAGAAGGAAAGGAAGAAGAGACTAATACGTAAACTGAAAGATGGAGAAGGACGACTGCAGGTACAAACTATACATATTAAGAAAATAGCGGAAGATTTTTTTGCAAAGCTGTATCAGAATGATGAGATTCCAACTAAGAAAGTAAATGAATATATCCAAAAGTGAGACCTGCCAAAGTTACTGGAGAAATACCAAAAAGTATTGAATCAAGAAGTAACAATCACAAAAGTAATAGAGGCAATTAAGAGACAAAAGAATGACAAAACTCCAGCCCCAGATGGGCTACCAGCAGAGTTTTATAAATCCTTTGAAGGAATTTTCGCTACGCTTCTTAAGGATATATGTAATACAGCATTGTTAGATGCTAAAATACCAAGTACTTGGACAGAGGCAAATATTACATTAATACCGAAAGAAGACACGGACTTAGACGCAGATTCAAAACTATAGACCTATATCACTATTAAATGTGGATTACAAAATTTTTGCCTCCATAATGGCAGAAAGATTGAAGAAGTATTTAACAGACTTTATTCATTCAGATCAAAATGGTTTTTTACCTAAAAGACAAATGAGGAATAATATGAGAACTATCTTAGAGTATTATGAGATGCATATGGAAAAACCAATGGCACTGTTATTCACAGTGGATGCACAGAAGGCTTTTGACAATGTTAACTGGCAATTTATGAAGCAACAATCAGTTCAAATGGAGTTTGGTGAAAAGTTCATTAACGTGATATTAAGCATCTATCAAAAACAGTCTGCTAGGATTATAATCAATGGAGAATTTACAAATACTATAGATATACAAAAGGGTACAAGACAAGGATGCCTGCTATCACCACTGTTGTTTATATTGATACTAGAAGTGTTAAACAGAAATATCAGGGACGATATGGACATTAAAGGTACTAGAATTAGAGATGAAAGCTATAAACTGCAAGCATTTGCAGATGATCTAGTTTTCATAACGGAGGAACCCTTAGTAACAATGCCTAAACTCCTACAAAGGATTGAAGAGTATGGCGAGGTTACTGGGATGAAAATAAACAGAGAAAAGACGAAATTGTTAGTAAAAAATCTTACACAGGAGCAGAAAAAAACTCTGGTGGAACAAGTAGACTTTCAGACTGTTAAAAAGGTTAAATACTTGGGCATTTATCTTACAGCTAAGTATACCACTCTGAAAGAAGACAATTATGATAAACTATTTAAGAAAATTAAGAGTGATTTGGAAAAATGGGCTAATTTGCAATTATCCTTGCTGGGAAGAATAGCGCTAACTAAAATGAATATATGTTTCTAAAGCTTTTGTTTCTATTCCAAATGATACCCATAAAAGTTGATAGAAAATTTTTTGATGATTTAAATGTTCAAATCTCGAGATTTATATGGAGAAAGAAGAAACCGAGGATTAAACTAAAAATACTTCAGGAGGCTAAAGAGAATGGGGGTTTTGGTCTTCCTGATTGGATGCTGTATATCAAGCTTCTGTTTTAACAGGGCTAAAAGAATGGATAACTTTAAGAAATAAGAGAATCTTGTATTTCAAAGGGCATGATTTGCAAATGGGCTGGCACGCTTATATGTGGTATGACAAGGCTAAGTCACATGGCTCTTTTTTAAGTCACTATATTAGAAAATCATTTATGTCGGTGTGGGAAAAGTTAAAGACAAAACTGTATAATAAATTACCAAGATGGCTTTCACCTATGGAAGCTCTTGTATATCCAAAAGCACTGAATTTTGAAGCGATTGTAAGATATGACATTTTGGATAATGATGGAGGACTGAAATTGAATCAAGAAATACAAGAACAAGGATCTAATATTTCTTGGTGGCATAAGGTGCAGATACAATTGAGATATGCTAAAGACTATAGAATGTGGGGCTTTTATAAGGATTTAACAGCATTTGATCAGGTGATGCTTAAATCAGATGAGAAAATGATTAAAAGATTATATAATTTCTTATTAGATAGGAGAATGAAAGATGAACAGGTTAAGGAAACTATGATAATGTGGGCCCAAAACTTTGGATATAATATTGAATTAAAAAATGGCAAAAGCTGTGTGAGAGAAATATTAAGGTAACATTAGCAACTTCATATAAAGAAAACTTGTATAAAATGTTTTATAGATGGTATCTGTCGCCAAATAGACTAGCCAAGATTTTTCCAAATATGTCAAATGGATGTTGGAAATGTAAACATAAATTGGGTACCTTCTATCATATGTGGTGGACTTGCGATAAAGCAAAAAAGTATTGGATTAAAATACATAAATGGCTTGAGGAAATGTTACAAAAATCTTTAGCTTTTAAACCTGAAGTTTTCTTATTAGGCATTATACCTGATGGTATTAGTAAACAAGCAATGTATTTGACTCTGCATGTAACTACTGCGGTGAGGATTGCATTTGCCCAACACTGGAAGAGTGAAGAGCCACCCACCAATGAACTGATCCTAAAAAAGATCTTGGATTGTGCAGAAATGGACAGATTGACTTTGTCACTGAAGGAGAAAGAAGATACTGACTTCTATCAAATTTGGGACTCTTTTTATTATTGGCTAGAGAAACAGGGCTTCACATAGATTTAAATATGTTCATAAGTTAACATAAAAAGAAAAAATGTGGGGGGCTGACCCAGTAGTAGGTCCGATGTTTCCGATGATTGATGTTTTTAGATTTTCTTTGTATTACATTTATTTAGAATAAAACTTATTTTTAAAAAAAAGTGTTCTGAAGGATAAAGTGCTTTGCCTTCTGGGTGCTCTGCTAGGGCAGAAAATGCACAAAATTAATTTTGACTGAAGCATGAGCGGAGCCAGCTGGAGCCAGGGGTAAGACTAGATGGTCCAGGAGACCCCTTCTGACTCACTCTGTTTCTGTGTTTCTATGTTTCTAAAATTATGAGAGCAAAAGTAGGTTTTGTATTCTGAGGTCCCCAACTGTGCCTTGTATTAAGTTTCTTGAGCAAATTTCTTGTCTTTCGTGGCTTTATTTCTCCAACAAGATTTGTCTCACCAGTTTGTCTTTTTTGAATTGGATTTTCCAGTTTCAGTAGAAAAGGAGAAGTTTTGTGTTCTAAGGTTCAGACCCTAGACTTACACCCAATATCTTGGGCAAATTATTTGTCCTTTATGATTAATCAGATGTTCATGGCAGCCACTTTGTGGAAACCTCTGGAAGCATCCTACTCTCAAGTCATAACTGCAAAGGGTTCGAAAAGGAAGAACAAGCAATCCAACAAAGCAATATGGAAATTTCCTATCAAATGGGACTGAAAAGGAAGGGGGCTATCTCAGTAGTTAGAGCAGACAGGAAAGTCATCACGTAAGATGGAAATCTTCCTCATTCCAGTTATGTGTACAGTGACATTCTGCCTCTGGGCAGAGCTATGGATCTAGAAATGAACTCACAGAAATCAAGAATAGACCAAACAAATTCTGATGCCTTCTGTGAACCTACTGGCTTAAGTCTCTCTAATGTACTCTGTAGTGCCTAACAGGTTCCCATGACCCCTTCATGGATTATTTCAGTTGTTTTAATACCACTTTGGTTATATAATAGAGTTCAACTGCAATTGTACAAATAGAGGCAAAATGAACATTTCACTCTTATTAGTTCTAAAATATAAGTTAGTTTTTAAGGGTACCTCCAGTAACTGTGTTTGATAGGACCATATAGAACCAAAATGAAACAATGCCTTACCGCTTGCATTTCATTAAGCTCCTTCTGATATTTTATTACCATCTGATTAAATTTTTCCTTTTCTTGGTTAAGTTCCAATTGTAACTTTCTGTTTTCCTTTTCTTTTTTCTTGTAATCTTGCATATTTACTTTTTTTCTATCTAGTTTAAAATCTTTTCGATTCATAATCTCAGCCAATTTGTTGACAGCCTATAATAAATCAAATTAATATAAACACATTTGAAAAAATAAAGCACTTCACACAATTATGCTACAATAGTGAAAATCAATAGCAGATAATTTTATTTTCAGAATTCAAAGGTAGATACTTTACAATTGAAATATCTTGCTGAAGACACTGTATGTTTACTGGCTCTGTGTTCCACTGATAATACAATACGCAATGAATAGCTTTTTCAATGTTATTTATGTATCAGCCCTTGGAAATTATTTCCAATATTAAGAACATCTGAGTCTTCTTTATAATACAAAAATTCATAAAATAAGTGAAATAAATATATGGATCTCATACTGTACAATGAACATATATTTTAAGGGCCCTAGGTGAATCATTAAGAAAAGTACTATTAGCCAGAATCTGTGCAGATTTAAGACTTACAAACACATATGAAGCAACTTGATACTGAATTAGATCATTGGTCCAACTAGCCTAGCCTTATCTATTTTACCAAGCACTACTCAGCTCTGCTACTTGAGATTTTTTCATTGCCATTATAAGTTGCAAATCAGCCCTGCATGAGCTGTGTGCTACAGCACAAGTTTTACCTTGCTATGAAGCAACCAATCCTATCTTCCACTCTGCATTCTTTTTTGTAAAACCTTGCAAAAGGGGGGCTTATGATCTACTGAGGTACAGCACGATCCCCATATCCACTGTCTCAGTTACCGCAGTTTCACTTATCCACATTCTCAGGGGTTAGAGCGGTAGAACCCCCATGAAAGTGGAAATATTGCAAATATCTTTAGAGAAAAACTGTGACTATCTCTAGGGAACTACACAATCTGTTTGGGGATGCCACATTCTTTGTCTCAGCACTAGCTAGCCTTACGTGTTTTGTCTCTCAGCAGGCACAAAGACTCCAAAGATTATTTTCAGTTTTTCTACTTTTGCAGGGTTCTGTGGCCCTATTCGACCCCCTCCCCCCTGCAAATGTAGTACCTGCAACTGTCCCCTGTGGAACTTGGAGCTCATCCCCACAGATATAGGGGTCCTGTCCTATATTTGATATTTCATGTTTCTGCTATTTTATTGTGAATTTTACATAATATATTTTTTAAATTTTGAAAGGATGTTTAAACCTTTTAAAAAGAAAATGTATATAATTATTAATTCAAAGCTTTTAGTAACATGCTTCGTGTAATCACAGCTGTAAGGAATGGGAAAGGGGATGCATATTGCTGGTCTAACAACATAAACAAAACTTTTTCCCCACTGTAATAACAACGCTAGTATGAAAATGTATCTCAACAAGAAAACACATTTACTATATAAAGAAAGGAAGATCTACTCCATTCAGAAGAAAAAACTCAACAAAGCATCATAAGAGTAGATAAATACCTGTGTTTTAAGAGTCCTTTCATTGTTCAGGTTCTTTTCGTACTGCATTTTAATACTGTTAATTTCCTCTTGTTTCTTCAATTTATAGTCTGTTTAAAAAAAAGACAATGTAACATTTTCTGACATCAATATCAATTGCACACTGTGTGATTTTCCTCATTCATCCAGTATGCATTATTTAATCAAAATAACACAACCACAAGGCTATACTATTTGATCTAGAGTCTGGTACTTCTAGTATTATATAAACTGTTGTAAAAGAATCAAGTATCTTTCATAAAATCATTTATACTAAAAACATTACATACCTTCTTCCAGCTTCTTGATCTTTTCATTTAGTTCAGCATTTTCTTTTGTCAGAAATGCCACATCTTTAGTTAATGTATTATTTGTTTCTTCAAGCTAAGCAAAACAAAAACGTATTTTGTTAAAGCATTTACATCAATAATTTTTAAAGTACCTTAAATAATATAAACTGTTGTTTTGAAGCTATGTTTTTGACAGATTTACTGAAATGCACATCTCCCTCTACCATTATTCCAAAATATAGAACGGGCAAACTCAACCATCTGACTAATATCCATTTATCATTCCTTAGCTTATCATTTATCATTCCTCTAATCATTAATGGGAGCTCCAGCATGTGATGGTCACTTGCCCAGAATGGCTTCTCCTTTAACTTCCCCTAGAGCAGCAGTGTCCAACCTTAAGGCTTCTCTGGACCACATTGGAAAAAGATAAATTGTCTTGGACCACACATTAAATAGAGAAGCACTAACGAAAGCTGATAAGCCAAAAGGGGGGGGGGGCAGGTATGTGCATTATTTTCATGGTATCTACCACCACAGATAAGTAAAAAAGCCCTCACATAATAATCTTAATTATGCAGCACCGTTTGGAGAGTCTTTTAAATTCGTGGAGCAGGTCCCATGTTTGCAATCACTAATATAGAAAATGGACATATCTAAGTAATTAAATTTCATTGATTTATTGATATTTTTATTATAAAAGAAAAAGAAAAGAATGCAACATAAAACTAGTGGGATATCTGACATTGCATTTGAGAAACTAATGCATCAATATCTGGTTAGATGGAAGTAGTTGCCATTTTCAGTGAATTCTCAAGGTGCTCATTAGATATTCTGGTTCTAAGTTTACTCTTAGTGTGCTTCATTCTTGAAATTATTGATAATAGCTGCATTTCACTTGCAAAGTCACCATGAGCACATGTAACATCTGATACTATCAATTCAACTGTCTATGCCTGGAAGATAAAACACTGGAAGCCACACACCACTATAAAACTGAAGCCATGCACGAGTATAAATAATGAGAACATACATACATTTATTTTATGTGACACTCCAACACGACATTGTCATGTACAAAGTTCATGCTCAATAACTGCACAATCAACTTACAAAACAAAATCACAAAAAAAATCTTATAATGTATTAAGTAAGTTTACAATTTTGTGTTAGGCTGCATTCATAGCCATCCTGGGCTGCATGCAGCCCATGAACCGCAGGTTGGACACCCCTGCTCTAGAAGAATCCGTTTAAATATGAAGTTATACATATCTACCTGCATCGGTGTCCTCCACTGAAACAAAAATTCTTGGGTAAGAAATAAATGTGCATGAGTAGCATGCATCTCTACCACAACACTGTAAGACACAAAAGATATTGTTTACAAGATAATGAACTCAATTTTAATGCTTCTAAAAAGTAACTTACCCGGCTTATGATATTGTCCTTATCAGCAATTTCTTGTTTATTTCGTGATGCCACTTTCTTGCTCTCCTGAGTTAGTTCAAAGTACTGCTCTTCAAGGAGTGCTCTGGCCAACTGCTCAGATTCAGCTTTTGTTTCAGCAAGATCTAATTGTGCAGCAAGAGTTTCTCTGAAACAAGAGTTAATGCTATTTCTAATGAAATAGTTCTGTGCAGTTTTTAAAATGCTGGATTAGGCTGGAAAGACCCAAATTTAATTCCCCACTCAGCCATGAAGCTCACTGTGTGATCTTTGAACAATCACTAGTTGTATTTCCACAAAACAATATGGCAGCATGCTGCAAAATCAAGTCTTGTCATTCACAAACCAGTGTGCTGGTACAGGTTCCTAATCATTTGTATTTATTTATTTCATTTGTATACTTCTCAATAGTTGAGGCTCTCTGGGTGGTTAACGAAAGTTAAAAACACACAAACAACAAAAAAATTAACATTCTTCCTTTGTTCCTTCCACTAGCAGTATCTTTGTTTCACCAACAATAAAAAACTCACCACTGCATCCAAACCAAGTTTCTGAACTTGTCATTTCCAATAATCCAGGAATTGTTAGGCAACTGCAAACAATGGGCCCACATTCTGAATTTTTAGTAGCGAAAACAACCCTGACTATTTTTTAGAAGGACAGATACTGAAGCTGAAGCTCAAATACTTTGGCCACCTAGTGAGAAAGACAGGTTGCTTACCTGTAACTGTCGTTCTTCGAGTGGCCATCTGTGCATTCACACATATGGGTGCTGCACCTGCGCAGTGCCTAAGGCCAGAAAGATTACAAAGCTAACAGGTTTTGACGGGAAAAGCTCCGCTCCCCTCCCCCTCAATGATATAAATGGAGCGAAGTGTCCGCCATTTTCTCAGTCTACTGAAGACCAGACGTTCTCCCCCTCGCGGGAGTGAGAGAGATTGCAAAAAATTTGCAAGGGGCCATGATACCAAGATAAAAACATGGTACTGAATAAAAATCCACTCACCGACACTGAGCGGGTGGGTTGTGTGAATGCACAGATGGCCACTCGAAGAACGACAGTTACAGATAAGCAACCTGCCTTTCTTCATCGTGGCCTCTGTGCGTCACACATATGAGTGACTAACAAGCTTAACAGACTCAGAGGAGGGTGGTGTCGTCATCGAAAAACAGCGGAGAGGACTGCCCGGCTGAAGGAGCAGTCCTGTCTGGCACGTACGTCAAGGCGGTAATGCTTGGCAAAAGTGCATGGGGCAGCCCATGTTGGAGCTTTACAGATTGTATTGGGATTGGGATTCCCGCAGCAAAGGTGGAGGAAGCTGCTACCGCTCTCGGAACAACAGGTAAGTCAATTTTGGCAAGTTGATATGCCAACTCAATTGTCTGTACAATCCATTTTGAAAGCCTCTGTGAAGTCACAGGGGAGCCTCTGTCATGGTCAGAATACTTCACAAAGAGGCGGATAGATTTTCGAAGAGATTCTGTACACAATCTGTAAAAGGCTAAGCAATGGCGCACATCGAGGGCATGCAGTGATCTTTCAATCAGAGTCGAGGGTGATGGAAAAAAGGCAGGCAGAACAATGTCCTGATTGATATGGAATGGAGTAACTACTTTGGGCAAAAACGTTGAATCAGTGTGAAGAACAACTTTCTCTTTATGGAAGTTCAAATAAGGAGGGTCTACTCGAAGAGCACAAAGCTCACTAGCTCTTCAAGCTGATGTGATGGCTACAAGGAAGGCAGTCTTCCAGGACAGAAGACGCAAGTCGATAGTTACCAGTGGTTCGAAGGGGGCTCTGGTGAGTGCATGAAGTACAACTGAGAGGCTCCAAGTAGGCATGACAGGATGGATTGGTGGATGGAGATTCGGTAGCCCTTTGATGAATCTTCTAATAACGGGTTGAGAAAAGACTGATACGCTGTGCACTGAACCATGGTAGTGGGAGATCGCAGCTGTATAGACCTTGATGGAAGAAGGTTTAAGCCCCAATTGATGTAGCGCTAGAAGAAACTGTAGGATGTTCTCAATAGAAGCCGAAGAGGCGACAAACAAATTGGATTCTGCAAAAGAGGGAATCGACGCCACTTTGTTGCATTACAATCTTCGCGTTGATGGTCTTAAAGCAGATTTGAGAATGCGCTGGGTATCTAGAAACTACTCGACCCCGAGGCATGGTCTGTTGGATCCGTATGAACGAGTGATGTATCATTTCTGTAACTGGCAAGTCCAGCAGGCCGTGGAATCGTCAATACCGAATCAGAATCGTTAAAGTCGCTAGGCTGTGAGGTTCAATGAAGTCAAGTCCGGGTAGCGAACAGCTCTGTCTTGTTGCGTTATCAAGTGAAGTATGAGTGGTAAGCGGAGAAAAGTGTTGTCGGACAGTTGGAAGAGAGTGGAGAACCATGGTTGACAGGGCCACCAAGGTGTGACCAGGATCCCCATAGCATTATCATGCACGATCTTGTAGATAACCTTCGTTATCAGCAGAATTGGAGGGAAGGCATAAAAAGGGATGTTGGACCACGGAATCATCAGGGTGTCCCCCGTCGATCCCGCTCCAATGCCAGTCCGAGAGCAGTATGTGTCGCGTACCCTGTTCTTGTGGGTAGCGAACAAGTCTATGTCTGGGTGTCCCCACTGGAGGAAAAGCTGATTGCAAATTTGTCGATCCAGCTCCCATTCGTGAGTCGTTGACATTCATCTGCTCAACAGATCGGCTTCCTTGCTTGTCGGTACCGGCTAGGTGAACCGCCAGAAGAGTTATGTCTTTCAAAATGCACCAGTCCCAAATCTTCATCGCCAGATGAGCTAGAGAAGTGGATTTCGTGCCGCCCTGTTTGTTCACATAAAACACAGCAACAACGTTGTCGGATGCAACTTGAACCACGTGTCACTGGACAGTGTCCTCGAAAGAGTGGAGGGCTTTGAAAACTGCCAGAAGTTTGAGATAGTTGATGTGTTTGGCAGATTCTTGTCGGTCCCAAGTGCTCTGTGTTCGAAGTCCTGCACATACGGCTCCCCAGCCGATCAGAGATGTTTGGGTATAGAGTCAGAGTTGGATGAGGTGGACAGGACGGAACACGCACATTCAGATTGTTTGGAACTGTCCACCATTGAATTCCTGGAATAAGCTCAAACTAAGTGCCTCTTAACTCAAGGAATTCAACTGTGCGTCACTAAGTGTTGTGTTATCAAGAAATGGAACATGGTGATGGAGAACGGGCCGCAGGCGGAGAATCACAAAACTCCCCATCGGAGATGGATTCATGCAATTGCACATTGGGTCGCATGGGAGCCGAATGGGCCGAGTGTGCGACCCATCTAGGGGACCCCGGTGGAGTCACCTGCATGGCAATCTGCAAGGTCAGACCCGTAGGCTTTGGTACCGTAGCGGCAGTTGGGACCGATGGTATGGACAAACCCGACTCATGGTGTCATGCTTGATTGGGTTTCCTAGGCTTGTGGGCCGTCTTATCCGACTTATCCTTTTTTGGCTTTTTATGGCCAGAGGATTTGTCAGATCTGCCATGTTTTCTCTTCTCCTTTTGCTTATAAGAAGAAGAAGGTTGTTGAACCTCCATAACTGGGGCACCATCAGCCGATGGGTGTGGCGGAGGAGGCAGAAGCAGGGTAAGTGGCCAGTTGGTCAGACTGCATGAGGGCCTTGTCCCACAGCATTTTCCTCAGGCGGTTCTCACAGTTTTTCCATGCCTGTTTAGTACAGGCCTGACAATGGCCGCATTTGTCGGTTCTGTGTCCCTCGCCCAAGCAGAGGAGACACAGATCGTGTGGGCCGGTAGGAGACATCTTCGACCCACATTGCGAACATTTGCGGAAAGCCGCCCACTGCGCCATCAGGAGAGAGAAATAAGAAGGGGAAGATAGTAAAGAGGGAAAGAGATTTTTTTTTCTTTTAGAAAGTTGGAGAGTAGTCCGGAAAACTCGAATGGGAAGAAAAAACTTGGAGATATAGGATAACAACTAGCAACAAGGAACAAGTGATAACAAGGAAGATCAATACAGGTCGAGAGATAAAGGCTCGAGGCACAGCAAACGACGGTCGCAAAAGACTGAGAAAATGGCAGACACTCCGCTCCATTAATATCGTTGAGGGGGAAGAGAGCGGACTTTTTCCCACCAAAAACCGTTAACTTTGTAATCTTTCTGGCCTTAGGCACTGCGCAGGTGCAGCACCCATATGTGTGATGCATAGAGGCCACGACGAAGAAGGAAGGACTCACTGGAAAAAACCCTGATGCTGGAAATGATTGAAGGCAAAAGGAGAAGGGGATGGCAGAGGTTGAGGTGGCTGGATGGGGTCACTGGGGAGGTGGGTGGGGATTGGGTGCACTCCAGGGGATGGTGGAGGATAGGAGAACCTGGAGGAATGTTGTCCATGGGATCATGAAGAGTCGGACATAACTTTGCAACAACAACAACGAAGTCAGGAGTTCCTGGGAATTGGGCAGCATGCACCAGGGTTGCTTATGAACTGTAATCCAGGATTCTCTAAAATTCTGCCTTATTGTTCTGTTTCCTTCAGCTTAACCTACCTTGTGGAGTTATTGTGAATACAAAATAGAAAAGAGAGCTATGTTTGCTACTATGAGTTCTTTAGAGGAAAGGCAATATATAAATAAAATGCATGGACAACAGAAATATAAAAAATTTACCAAATAAAATGTGAATCCATTATAGCCTTTTTATTAAGCTATATTGCAAAAACTAATCAGCGTCTAATCCTTGTGCAAGACAAGAAAAAGAAATCCAGTTAAAGAAGACTGAAAATGTATATAAAAGATTAAAAGAGTCTCTTCTATATAATCCGATAAAAATTGTTATTCGTAATGGAAATATCGGCTGCATCTAGGATTCAACTGTACAGTTTATATATTAAGCATCTCACTGGATACATATTTTCTCTTGTCTGACACGTCTTTCAGACACATTTTTAACACATTACTTTGTGATACGTTTCATTTTTAATGTAAGGTCAAAACATTGGCTAGTAGCCAATACTCGTCCTGCTTAGAGCAAAACCATTAAAATGAATATGACTTAAGGCAGATCAATACTAGATATAACCCATTATGTGCTTCTACGTTAAGATCCTAATTTGTTTTGCTATAAATACAGAGCACAGTCCCAAAGTTAAGTCACAATGTTCAGGTAAGTCCCTTTGGTTTCCAGGGGATATTTTTATTTTATACTTAGGGAAATCAATGGGGCCCAGAAGAGCTCAATTTCTGAGGGACTTACTTTTCATTTTGTAATTCTTGTATTTTTTTCTGAGTTTCTTTATTCTTTTCATCAATTTCTTCTTTAAGTTCTTTAACCTGAGTTTTGTAAAGTGTCTGCAAACAAAACCAAAAAGGTATACTGTTTTCAAAAATGTCTAATCATAAACAATCTATTCGAGATATTTAGATATAAGATTAAAACAAACCATCACTTTAAATGTCAGGGGTATTTTTTTACCAGAAGCAAATTCTCTGCAGTCCTGTATTGGTACTTAATTGTTCAATTGTAACAGAAGCTACAGTCAATGACCATGTGCCCTCTTTGTGCTCAAGTATCATGCCTTCCCTGGAAATTTCCTCTTGTGAAGAGGAAGAGAATTTACCTTAAGGCTAGAAATTTGGTTCAGCAGGTGAAGAGAACCTTTTTTGGCTTAGGAGATTTCCTCCCTTAGGAAATTTCAATACCCAGTCGGTCAGACATAGGCAATGGAGCTGTGGGATCCACCCAGCTGACCCTTAATGTTTCAATACCACAGCAGAAGAGCCTGTCATCAGAGCTGAAGGAATAATTACCTCCTAGCCCTCCAGAGAGATGTTGGCTCAAGCAGAAGATCCAGGTACTTCCTTGAAGGAGTACTCAACTGCAAGCCAAAGCCTAAATAGATTAAAGAGCTCTACTCAGGAGCAAGGCATTGTAAGTATCTCCTGAATTACCTGAGTGAGTGCATGGTGCAAACAAACCAGCATGATAGGCTTGCTTTGGAGAATTGACACTGGAAACAATGTATCAGCCTTCTGATGTAAGGTGATTGGCACTCTGAAACACTGAACTCTTGCTTACTGACTATTCTACTACTTATTTCCTTCCTCAACAGATTTATGGCAATGACCATGGCCCTCTTATGGTAAACAATTCTTTGCTTATCTCAATTCCTGGTTTAGGATCCCCTGGTAACCGGGATCCCCTTGGATTGTTTAATTATTTTTGACTGATACTGCCCTTTGAAGCAGCACACCAAATTTGCACATCATTTGCCCTCTTCTTCCCCAACCCCACTTCTCCATTTCCTCCCATTCTGGGCATACCACTCTATGAAACACAAATAGAACCTCATTATTTTATGAATGTTTTACATGGTAACATCATCATTTAAAAAATTACTTGTGTAATATACACAAAGAAGCTTACAGAAAAATACTGTTCAGCTTCTAGTTGATCTTGCAGTTCACGCATCTGGCCTTCATTCCCTCTGTACTGCCTTGGAAAGAAAAAAATAGATAAAAACTACATGTAATGAAATAATGGGTGTGAACGTATTTATTGGTAAATTCCAGCCCACACAACTCTTTCCTTTTTCCCCATCTACATCTTAGCCAGTCAGTCAGCCGGTTGTGCTCATGCCTGCCCTCACCCTCTCCTACCTCATCTTTGACACACCATTGAATTCCTGGAATAAGCTCAAACTAAGTGCCTCTTAACTCAAGGAATTCAACTGTGAGTCACTAAGTGTTGTGTTATCAAGAAATGGAACATGTAAATCAGATGGAGGGTGCCTTTATTGTGCTAAGGGCCACATTCTCTCAGGGGTAATTTGTCACAGGCTGTATGTTAGTATGGCAGGATCACAGGTAAACATCTATGGAGCCTCTTTCTTTCTTTCTTTCTTTCTTTCTTTCTTTCTTTCTTTCTTTCTTTCTTTGACATCTCCTCTACATTAGGCTGCTACAGAGGAACAGGTTTCTCTATGAAGATAAAGGGGAAACAGAAGCAGACCTCAGATTCAGAGTTCTGAACTGATCTTTTGCTCAGGAATTTTGAATTACGCCTCAGATTGCCAAAGCCTGTTTTAAGTTGTGCGGAGGATGCAAAATTTATTCTTAGATAATTTAAACTAATAAAGAGCAGTATCTGATGCCTTCACCAGTTACACTGCTACCACAGACCCTGCTACTAGTGCAACAGGAACTAGCACTTTCTCTAAAGCAGGGGTCCTCAAATTTTTTAACCAGGGAGCCAGCTGAAAGGTGCCGGTGCTGGGCGCGGGCCAGAAAGGTGGTGCCGGCGGTGCATGTGGGCCGGCGTAGGGGTGGCACATGCCGCGAGGCGGGCGCACGAGGCAACGGCTTGCCAGCTTGGAGATCGTTTTCTCTGAGTGAGCAAACCGCTGCCTCCCCGTGCACCAGGCGAGGTGGGCAGCGGCGGGTGCGCGTGTGGGCAGGTGCATTCATGCAGCAGGTCCAAATGGGCATGGTGGGCCAGATTCGGCCCCCAGGCCATAATTTGAGAACCCATGCTCTAAAGCAACACTTGAAATGACCAGGAATGTTTGTCTTTGAAATTGGACAGGTCAACAAAGACCAGGAAGTTCTATTGATCTGGCCCATTTCAGAAATGAGAGCTTCTGTTCTTTCTAGCAGTTCCTGGAACTGCTAGCATGTTGTGTAAGCAGTGGGTCATGCTAGAATGAAGAAAGGATTGAATTCTATCTATGCATCACTCTGAAGGTTTAAATCTAAAAGTCTATGCTGCTAAAAATAAGTATTAGTAGACATTTGTTCCAATTAGCTCCTTATAAAAATACAGAATGTTCTGCCTTTAAGACTAGAAACAAATCTTATGGGATTTTTTTTTTTATACCAAGTAATACAGAATGGACTTAAATCAGGCCCTCTGTATCAAAGAGAGAGGGAACTGTAAATATGAATTACATTTCCATGAGTTCTTATAAAAGACAGATAAACCAAAATATGTTACTAAACAAATATGTATATGCACTGAAATATATTAATTATTGCATACAAAAATTCTTATTAATATTTGCACATTATGGGACAACTCAATTGTAAATTCAATTTACTTACTTAGCCAACTGAGCCAATTCGAACTCTGCTAATCTCTTTGCTTCCAACAATGTATTGATCTCCTGTTTTAGCTGCTTCTCAGACCCTTTTAAGCTATCTGCTTCTATAGCATGCATCTTCAGTTCATTTTGGATCACCAATCTCCTATTTATCTCATGCTCCAGCTGAAGAGTCAGATTCTTAACCTAAGCACACAGTAAATGATTTTAGCAAATACTTTCAATTTTCTAAAACAAAGTTGATATATATACATTGTACATTAATTAGCACTATATCCACATTAAAATATTTAAAATTTTCTAGATTAAATTATGGCTAGAATTGATTATTGATCTCTAGGCAAATTTTTGATTTTGCAAGTTTTGTTGCAAAAAAGTTAATAGAGGGAAAAATAATTATATTTCCTTTTACTTCCCAGTTTTGAAACCTATGTATGTTTCCCCTGAATTTACTTTCCATCCTTGAAATATACTTATGTTTCCTGGCCAAATTTCCCAGATTTTTTTTTTAACATGCATCTTAGAGGTGCCATAATAGAACAGATCAAATGGTGCCATCTTCACAGGGATTTTTTTGACAGCTGCCATGAAACCATACTAAGGACTCCTAAAAAGATCAGTTAAACATGATGACTTTAAGATCTCCCCTTTCTGAACTAGCTAGGAATTCAGGGAATTATCAAAATGCTGGAAAGTACTGACAAGTATACTAGAAATCAAGAGGATTACACTATTAAGGGGAAGATCCTAAACCCACCCTTTTGGTGGTCTACTGCTTTTTTCCCTTTATAAGTCCTTTACAACTGACAGTTACACAACTGACAGGCATGAACTGTTCACAATTCAGTCTGCATTCAGTCTCACCTTGTCAATCTCTTAGCATTTGACGGTAGAAACTGACAATTACATTTGAGCACATTTGTGCAACTGCAAAAGACTGACATTACTTTGTTTTAAAACATTTATGCACATTCTTTGGCTGAACATATCATATTACTCCAACCGCACTTATTTTAACCTAGCAAAGACATGAAAAAGTAAAAGTGAACAAAAACAGATGCAGATGGAGTGGGGACAGGGGATACAAGACTAATTATGGCACAAGTATCACTAGGAAGCCAGCTAGTGTATTGAGGCGGGGAAACAACCTACACTGAGTAGTTTATTTGCAGTGGGTTGTCATGCTGTACAAATATGCCCACAGGGTATGAAACTCAAAATTACCAGTATTTGGAAAAGATTGCTACTTTTTGTGTTAAATGCATTTTGAACCATTTAATTTGATTTGCAGCTGTATTCCAAAAGGGGTTGTTTAGATTAGTTTAAAATTTCTTTAAGTACCTTAAATTCATTTTCACTTTGCTATAAAAGTAATAAACAATGCACTTCTTATTACCTCATCTTCTAGTCTCTCTTTCTGTTCATTAAGGTGCTCCAGCTTCTGCTGAGACTGCTTCAGGTCAAAGTCTAACATGGAACATTGCTTTTCAATCTGAACTATTCGATTTTCTGCCTTTTCTCTTGCAGCTCGTTCTTCCTTTACCTTTTTTTCAATTTCTAAAGGACCAAAGATAAGCATGTCTTAAAACAAACGTAAACAGAATTTTTTAATCCAGGCTTCTCTGTCTATTGATGGTTATGGTATAGCAGCCATAGCAGGCACAAAAATGTCTAGGTATTCACATATATTTGATTTTTTGTGTAGTTCAGTTTAATCCACTCAAGTATAATCTACGCTGGGAGACTGGGAAAATAATGACTAGACCTGTCATTGGGTAAATAATGACTATATCTCATCCTGGAAGTTTTCCCCTCATTGTTCATCACCACCTTTTCACTGCTTTGCCACCCAAAATTCTTTGCAACTCAAGTAAGAATCACTAATAGGCTCATTTCAAAGACTCAGGAGAGTGTGTCTCCTAAAGAAATTATAACAACGAGTGTATCTATACTGACAAGATGAATGAATGTAACATGTTTAAGAATAAGAGAAGACCTGCTAAATTAGACAGATGGTCCATTTACTGCAGAGCTGTGTACTCCAGAGTTACCAACCAGTTGCCTTGGGGCAGCAGGACATGATGGAAATATCTCTCTCCTGATCATGTTCCCCAGCAACTGCCCCTAATCCAGAATGTTAGCATACATGACTGCAACTCAATTTTAGCCATGAATCTGTCCAATCTTCTTTTAATCCATCAAGACTGGTAGATGTGACCAGTGATGAGGGTGTTCCAGAAAAAGCAGAACTGGAAAAATGTCCTGTGCTCTAAATACTGTTATTTGATAGCATGCTTGACTCCTTTTTACTCCTCAAATGCTCATTTCCCTTCTATAAGTGAACAATAATTCACATTTATTAATCAGAGATAAAAATGAAATCCATTTTTGGCGTATAAATATATCAAATATTTTCTGAATTTCCATAAGTATTTGTACTGAAATATTTGCTTGGGGGGAAATTAAATTAGCCGTACAATATAATTTAAATATTATCTTGAAACACAGTCAAAGCTTTATGTAGAAAAAGCTTTACTGACGTATCTGTAGAAATGTAAAGCATATACTTCCAACACATTTGTTTTAAGACAGAATGCTGGATTTGATGGATCCTTGGTCTGACCAAGCATGGATCTTGTTCTTAAGTGAAACAAACATAGTTTCAGTTTGTTATAGATGAATACTTGCAATAGAGTGCAATGCGCAATGCACCATGTATATGGCTGCTGCAGACTCAGGCAGGAACCAAGAACATTGTACAAAGGAAGCGGTCATCATACTTTATTTTTCAGTTCCCTTTTAGCAATGGAATATTAGGGTTTGTCAGTGCTTGACTTAGAAAAATAACTTATAGAAATTCATATCCTATATATAGCCCATCAAACATAAATTAATTATAGTACAGGCACTCAGATAATAATGACAAATGTAGACATAATATGCTGTGGAAAAAAGATTCCATGGAAAAATACAGCAATGGGAAATTTTTCATTTTGGAAAATTTCTACCCCACATCATTGGTTGTCAGAACATTGTAGAAATGTAAATTTCATAGTTTTAACTTTCATAAGATTCATTATATATTTTATTTCTGGTATTGTTTATCTATTCACAGATATCTTGCATAGATAAAACAGTGAAATTGAACAAATAAAATAACTGAGTCAGACTATTTCTGCAAGTATACTTGTCCATTATAGTACTGTATGTTAAACTTTATGCTATGCTTCCATGATATTTAGTTTTGATTTGCATTAGATGGAGGAAATACATATTTGAAGGCTCACAGGTCTAATTTATTATTTCCTACTGACTTTATGCAACATTTACCTGCCTTTCCGTCATTTGGAAAGGAAATGGTCCATTAACCAACTGGGAAAATATCAACTGAAGGAAAAATATGAGTAAGCACTAACAGTATTTTAATTTCATGTATCACTCAGAATTGTAAGAACTTACCACACATTGCAGCTGACTTGGCCTCTTCAATTGATTGATGCTTGTCAGTTAATCGAGCCTTATTTATGTTATGTTCATTTATTTCTTGCTCTAAATGCTGTTGTAACATTTTGAGTTTGTAGTTTAGATCAATTTCTAAATTATTCTTTTCCTGAAAGATATTTTTATAAATGTAAATCAGATTAAAAATACCATACCATACTAGGTCTGGCAAATCTTCAAATTTCAAGATACTCTTCAATGACTTTTTCTCTTTCTTCTAAATCTTTTTTATTCACTGCATATATATTGGTTTATGGTATATAGTCTGTTACAATAATGATGTATTACATTGTGTGACAAAACAGAAAACAAGCTGATACTCTGCACTTCACAGCTCTGTCCTGCACAAATTGCCTATCCTGAAGAATGTCTATGTGTGTTAAACTACAAATTGCCTGTTTCTTCAAACCTTCAAACAAAATAATAAAATGTAAGCCCCTCAGGGTAACAATCCGTCTTTTTTGCTTATAATATTCAGTGTAAAAATGCATACGTTGCTATCCTAACAAAAACAGTAATTACTGTATTTCAACAGCTTGATCCAAACTGAGCTAAATTCATATATAATGACAAATAACTTGTCACAAACTGAGCTAAATTTATATATAGTGGATTAGCTGACTATAAATTAGGATAGAAGTGGCTGCTTTTTTAGTTTTGTCACTGTTCAATACTCACCAATCTAACACAAATCACCAGATATCTATCAGATAGATCCTAATCTATGTTTAATCCAGACCTCATCATAAATATTATAGAATCATCCTATCACTTTCACATGCTGATCCACACCCACAGTATCCCAAGAAGCAACACCTCCTGTACACAGTGATTTATGCCTCACTATCTACAGTACCTTTTCAGAATGATTAAGCATGTCCTGGGCCTGTTTTCTTTCTTCTTCTACTCTTTCAAGATTGTTCTTTAAACTTTTGATTTCTTCTTGTAATGATGTAAGTCGAGCTAAATTAACAATTACATAGTTTTATTTTCTGTGCAATCATAAATACTATTTACCTACATAAAATTTCCAATATACAATTGAAATTGTATTAATTTTTAAAAAAAACTATTTTTAAAAGCATAATGGTTAAAGATTACGTCGATGCTTTCAACCACCACTAAAATTTAGTTTTGAAGAAAACTAAATTGATACACACAAGGCCAGTATTAGCTATGCTCTAATTTCATACAACTTATACATAATGTGCCTCAGGCTACATAGTTTGCACTTTTTCCCCAGAACTCCAGTCAAACATTCATTCCTCCCTTTTTTCTTAGAAAATGGTGCTTTGAGAGTTACCTGTCAAAATTCTGGGTCTTTTTTTAAATTGAGTTTTAACAGGTAGTGGATCTTCCCCCTTTCCCCATTTCATTTTTGGACTGTGGCAAAATATTTCCTTTATTGCCCTGTCAAAACTGCCTTTTTAAAGAAGACTCAGACTTTTGATAACTAGCTGTCAAAACTCCTTGTCCTCAGAAAAGCAAGAAGGAGAAGCTTTTCCCAAGCAAGTCTCAGGAAAAACTGCAAAATGTACAGAATTCTGAAAAAAAAAATAACTGAAGGACTTTCCCAAAGGTGGTGTAAATCACACTACATCCTTTCATTTGCATTTCACAGCTTGCATTTTGACATCTGTCAAGAGAAAGAAAGGGGCGAAAAGAAAGAAAGCCTCTTTGTTAGTATCTGCCGTTGCTGCACCATGGAAGCAACTATCCCTCCAGGACATAGCCTCAGTCAGTTGAGGCTGTGTGTGTGACGGAGAGGAAGAGGGAGATTTGTACTGTTTCAAATATAGTTTCTGCCAAACACTAACAACTCCTCCACATTGCTGCTCGGTGTCAAACTGGGGGGGGGGTGTGAAACCCAGCTGTCAAACCAGAAAAAAATGTTTAAAAAGATACAAGGATCTAGTTCAGTTCTCAGTTTAGATAAGCAGAGATGACTTGATTTTGCTGTGGTGTCTTTTGGGATATGGAGCACTGAGTGAGCATCCATGTGAGGTATGGAACATCTTATTTTATCTAGACAGTCCATTTTCAGCTCTCCGGAGAAGCACTGAAGAAAGAGTTTTGGGTTCCAACAGGAACTGGCATAAATCTGTGGCCCAAATCTTTTCCCCTTTCCATCACCCAGTATATCCCTTTTTCCTGCTCCAACTGAGACTCCCAGGTGTGCAACCAATATGGTTATTTTCATGTTGGCTAGAAAGAGGGCAGGATGCGGCAAATAAAGAAAGCTATGGCTTCCTATATAGTGATAGTGACATTGCATTTATATCCTGCCTTTTTCTCTTTTGTGAAGAAACCAAGACAGCTTATACAGTCCTGCTCTGCTCCATTTTATCCTCACAATAACAACCCTGTGAAGTGGATTAGAATGAGAGTGAGTGACTGCCCCTAAGTCACCCAGTGAACTTCATGGCTGAGATAGGACTAGAAGCCAGATGTCCCAGGTCCCCAGTGTAACACTAACCACCAAACCATATTGGCTCTCTGATGTCAAAAAGCCATAGGATTGTACCCTGAAGCTATGATTTTTATTCTAAATATTTTTAAAATACCAGTGTATATTATTACCTTGTAGCTCTCCAATAATTTCTGATTCATGACTCCTATCCCTTCGTTCTACTTCCAGTGCTGCTTGCAGTTGGTAATAATCCTTTTCCACTTGTATTTTTGTACTCTCTAGGATTCTGCATCGCTCTTGCAGTTCCCTGTTTAAGGATTCAAACTGACTTACTGACTTGCCCATTTCTGTATGACTCTTTCTTAAACGTGCTGCAGTATCTGACTCTGTCCTCAGTAAATCATTGGCTTCTTCAAGCTATTGAGAGTAAAAGAGGATTTTAAAAAATAACAATAGGGTACAATGAGAATGACCAGTTTTGTTGAATTTATCATAAACCTATGTATTTATTGAGGTAAAGCTAATATAGAAACAGTTAATAACTTACTTGCTTTTGCAACTGAGCTATTTTTTCATTTGTAATATGTGAATGTTGGCTAATTTTTTTTAAGTCTTCCAACTGATCTTTTAATGTTGACACTAGAAACAAAGAAAAAACATTTATTTATTTATTTATTAAAACATTTCTATGCCGCCCCTTGCCGAAGCCTCGGGGCGGCTTACAACACAATAAAATACAATAAAATACAAAAATAACAATATAAAATTAAAATTAACAATATAAAATAAATAAACAATATAAAAGAAAAGAAGTCGCCCTGGCCAGATAAATAAGCAAATATTGTTAACAATTAAAATTGTTAAGGGCCTCTCCCGCAGATCTCAAGGGGGGGTCGGGCATATATGGATGTAAGCGCTCCTTCAGGTAACCAGGACCCAAGCTGTTTAGGGCTTTATAGGTCATCACCAACACCTTGAATTGGGCCTGGATTTCAATGGGAAGCCAGTGAAGCTGACGGAGGACTGGAGTCATGTGAACATAACGCCCCGCCCCCGTCAGCAACCTGGCAGCTCTATTTTGAACCAATTGAAGTATCCGGACCGTCTTCAAGGGAAGCCCCACGTAAAGTGCGTTACAGAAGTCAAGGCGGGAAGTCACCAGCGCGTGTGTCACCGTCGCCAGGCAGTCGTACTCCAGGTAGGGGTGCAGCTGATTAATCAGCCGAAGCTGAAGGAAAGCGCTCCTCGCCACCGCTGTCACCTGAGCTTCCAATGAAAGCTCCGCGTCTAGGAGTACTCCTAAGCTGCGGACCTTGTGCCTAAGAGGGAGCGCAACCCCATTCAGGACCAGGTCAAATCCACCCTCTCCGAAGCCCGATCCGCCAACCAACAGGACCTCCGTCTTGTCTGGATTGAGCTTCAGTTTATTGGCCCTCATCCAGCCCATTACCTAGGCCAAGCACCGGTTCAGCACAGCCATTGCCTCACCTGGATTAGTGGAAAATGAGAGGTAGAGCTGGGTATCAGCAGCGTACTGATGATTCCGCTGCCCACACCTCCTGATGACCTCTCCCAGCGGTTTCATGTAGATGTTAAACAGCAAAGGGGACAAAATGGAGCCCTGTGGTACTCCATAGCATAGCTGCCATGGCGCAGAGCCATAGTCCCCCAGCACTACCTTCTGGAATCGGCCGTTGAGATAGGAGTGGAACCACTGCAAAGCAGTGCCTCCGACCCCCAATCCCGCTAGCCTATCCAGAAGGATACCATGGTCAATGGTATCGAAAGCCACTGAGAGGTCCAGAAGAACCAACAGGGACGCACTCCCCCTGTCCTTCTCCCTGCACAGGTCATCGTACAGGGCGACCAAGGCAGATTCAGTACCATAACCGGGTCTGAAGCCAGACTGAAATGGGTCCAGATAATCAGTTTCATCCAAGAGTGCTTGGAGTTGTCCCGCCACTACCCGCTCTAACACCTTGACCAGAAACGGGATGTTGGCCACAGGTCTATAGTTAGTGGCCATCTCTGGATCCAGTGACGCTTTCTTCAGGACCGGTCGGACTTATCCTCAAGTTTTAACTTTATTTTTAATTAAAAACAGCCCAGAAAAAGCAAGCAACTATACTGAGTTCACTCAATCTAACAACCTACATGGCCACATAGTGTGGATTGTTTGTCCTGGACTCACAATGTACCCAACAGGCAATCATCAGGCATATCAAGGATTCCTGATCATCCTTTGGTCCTCTCATATGTATCTCAAAGTTTATCCTCCTTCTCAACTACTGCCAAAAGCCATTTTCACATCATCCTGGCTTGATTTTCACTTTAAATTTGTAGAACCATAGAATAGTAGAACTGGAAGGAGTCAGAGGGCCATCAGGTCTAACCCCTTGCTCAGTGCAGGGCTCCAGGTTAAACCATCCCTATTAGATGGCAGTCTATTTGCATATTGAATGTGTCTAGTGTCGCTGGTTCCACTCTCAAACTGCTCTGTCAGGAAATCCTCCCCACCACACTTTTGAGTTTATGAACGCAGTTTCTCAAGCTGACTTTCATAATTTCAGTTTAGCCATTTCAAGCTGTCCCTTCAATGTGGTACCTCAGGTGGCTAAATTTATATTTTATTTTTCCTCTAATTTTCAGAAATATTTGCAAAATTATTTTGTAACTTTTTTATTACTGACATGAATTGTTGCAGTCTGCCCCTGCTAGAAGAAAACTTTGTAGCCCCTTCCAAATCTGCTGAAGAAACTAGGGTGTAAGGGGAAAAAACCCTTAAAAACACAAATGATTGAAAAATGAAGCGACACTTGGAAACATGGGTTTTCATAAAAAATCCCATGAGTATTGCTGTGGAAAAAGGAGTGTTAGTTCCCCTTTTCACAAACACAATCTCTCCAGGCTTTGGAAGCATCTGATAGTTTAGTTTGACAGATATCAATGCTTCATAGGGATAGGTAGGTGGAAGATCCTTGCCTGGGAGCAATGCAGAGCACTGGTACCTGCTGTCAAACCTGGATCCCCACTGCCACTTACACATAACTGCAATTTCCTACAGTTGCACACGGGTGGCAATAATTTTCAAAAATTCATTTAAGGTTTTTAAAATTAGCCATTCCGGGCAGCCCTTCCAAGATATCACTGGAGTACTTTGGAGGGAGCTTGGGGGAGGCTAAACTGAGACTGCAAAAGCCAGAAGAGGCTTTCACCATCTCAAAATACAACTGAAAAGCCACAGTGAGCTGAAAACAGTTAACAGCAGCAGCGGAAGCCTTTGCCAGCTGCCTCAACTTGTGCACTTTGAGGATAGCTGACACTGGTAGTCACCCAGTAGCAGATTACTAAATGCTGGCAAAGGGGGTTTTGCTGCTTTTGCCAAGTAGTTCACAGATGGCTCATATCGTTTGGCTTCAGACCGTCCCAGGTGGATGAAACAACCCCAGTTACAAGCTATGGCTCAACAAGATGACTTTTAAGGCAAACTTAAGTCAATCTGGATTGTTGTGTCATGTGAACCTAGTCATTGTCTATGATTTTTACATAGTTAAACAAGTAAACTATAAGAGGAAAATACAGCTTACCTTCATTTTCTACATTCCGACGTTTCTCATTCTCCTGTTCAACTTTTCTTTGATATTCATTTATTTTGTGTTGTAAAAGCATATTTTCCTTCTCAACCTGAGTAACTGTTGATTCCAAGTTTCTTCTTTGATTGCCCTGTAATGTGTACATGTTTTAAAAATACTGAGCATCAGTTGACATGCATTATCTACATAGAGCCTTTTTTCGCACTCACTAGACAAATCATTTTAAGATGCACAAGCAGGCTACATTTGGTTATGTATGGCGGAGATTATCCGTTCCTCAATAATGCAAGTGCTATAACTGCAAGGGAGTCCCCTCATTGGTAATTTTCTTCTTAAATTCTTCCTGATGTTGTGATGACAGTAGCTCTCAAGAAAAGCTAACCAACTGTTGTAGGAAGTGAGACAAGATGATTAAAGCCTAGCAAAAAGGTCTAGGCACCCACCCATCATGATACAAACATTCCCCCTAAAAACACAAGAAGCCTTCATCTAGAAACACAGGAAAGAAATGCTAGTTTCTAAGCATTTGCACAGAAGTTCTGGAATGTAAGACAGTGGGATGTAAGAGACTTCCTCTTATCCATTATGTGTTCCCATCTTTTTCCTTTCCAGCAGTCTTCCCCATAGAAAAGGTAGCCAGGAAGAAATAAATCTGTTTGATGGCTAGCCATTTTATCCATCAGGGCTAGTGTGCTTGCCCAAGGGAATATGGTATGGCTCTGTGGTATGTGGGTAGATGTCTTGCTTGTTCTGTAAGCAACACCAGTCTTCTGTGGAATGATGTTGCCTGGGGACAATTATGTAACTTTTCACTTGGGCTCAAACCTTGTTTGTTCATAAGTTCTTGGGTAAATTTCTTTTGGCCTCACTAATTTGCCCTCTGGAAAAATGCTGTTTTGTGACTGGCCAGGCTCACCATGGCAGTCATTTTGTGAGAAAACTCATGACACTCATTCAAGATTCAAATGTGAACACTGACTCAAAAGGTTGGGGAACCTTGAACTGAACTTACAGGGTGCCTTTCAGCCAGTCACACATTTTCAGCCAAACCCAGCTCACAGGGTTGATATGAGGACAAAAAAGTCACCAAGGGTTCCCCAGGAGTGGGAGAAACACAGGCTATAAATGCAATGTGATGCTGCTGTTAAACAGACCTGTTTTGTAATCCAGCAAGACTTTTCAGTTCTCTTTCACCTCATGGTCTCTCACTCAGAGAAATCCCCCATTTTAACCTTCAACACTGCATTTTCTTTAAGTGATAACTGAATTTAAACAGTAAATAAGATAATTTGATGGAACTGATCCTAGACTGTATACACTGCATTGCTTTGGAGGAGTCAAAGAGTAGAAATCTTGCAAGCAGCGAACCAGCATATCAGGAAAAGAAAAGTTCTATCAAGTTCCCTTCCTGAAATATATAAAGCAAGCAAGCTAGCTAGCTAGCTATAAAATTAAAAATCCAGTCTCCCCACTACCTGCTTTATGAAATAACACCACATCAGAAGTCATTGGCTGTATTTGGACATAAACCACCATGAGATTTTTTAATGAATGACTGTATAGAAAAACCAAATCATTTAATTAATTAGTTAAGGCTGAAACCTATTTTATTGTGATATGAGTAAGCCTAGCTTACCTTGGCTTCATATGTTTCTCTGTCCTTCTCCCTATATTTTATTCTTAGCCTCTTACACAATCTTATAAAATAAGCAATATACCAGAAGGTGCACATTCACCTCTACTCAGTTTTGTGTGAAAATCATTTAATAAAACATTAAACAAGCAAAGCTAATTCTAATCAAAACAACCACCCACTTACCTCTTCATCTAATTCCTTCATTATCTTGTCTAGTTTAATGTTGGATGTTCTGTAACAAAAAATCAAATCGTGTTAAAACAGACTCTTAATTTTTGTTTCTGGTTAATATTCTTTTCATATGTGAGCAGACAACATAGCCAAGGCCTCAACCAGATAGACAAGATGTAAACAATTATCACAAGTAGGCACTCTGTTCTCAAAATGACTAGTTTAGCTCAACTATACTGCAGTAATACACATCAGCAAGGCTACATATTTCACATTTAAAACCCTGCAGCAGCAATGCTCTATGTCCCTCATCCTATTTTGCCTATGTCCTTTGATACATTTAAGAACATCTTAAACATGAGACCTTGTGGAATAGCAGGTTTTCCTTACACATGCTGCCAAAGTGTATCTGAAAATCCCAATGTAAGTTTGTTGAAAATCCTAATGTAAGTTTGTTTGTTTACATGTGCTTACACCTGGATTCCTCAGACAAACCAGATTAAATATGCAACATCAAGTCCAAATATTACTTGTGAAAAGCTTCTTCCTCTTCAGTACATTGCAATTTAATATTTGAAGGGGTCAGTAAAAATCTGAAATATCTTATGATGACACCATATCTTATGATGACACCATATGTAGTTTTGTAAAAAATCAAAACACAGTTTGACAAGGAGTATGGTAAGTTCTAACCAGGAATGGAAATCGATACAAGTGGCAGCACAAAGGGAATTAATTTCTCTCTATCACATTATAAGGGATCTAATCATAATCCTGAACTTTCTCACTGTTTCTTCCTAAAGTGCACAATGTCCCTAAAGTGTAAAATTTCATGAAGCCCCTTTGTCTTTCTCATCATAATACCAGGAGACAAATTCTTCTCCACTGTTACCATCAACTCCTACTACTACTTCCAAAACTGTTGCCCTTAAACAATCGTAAGCTCAATACCCAATTCTTGTATGGGAACAGAGAAATATATTTTGGGCAACACTGATTGATCACCTGAACAATGCCAGCCTCACCAATTCTGTTCTGCAAACCCACCACTTGTAGAAAAGAAATTTAGCAGTTCTGGGGCAACCTGAAATGAGTGGAACCATATAGGAACTTTGCTGATCTTCAACATTCCAGAAGCAAGCCTTTTGTTCATTCTGAGGCTTATCCCCCAGAAAGAGCTAAATCTGCTCAATCAACAAGTGGTCACTGTTTATGAAATGGAACTGGCAGGCCTAGAACACATGAAATTAAAGTGGTATCTGGCTCTATTCATAAACCACAGCACTGAATAATGCCCTCTACTACTAGTGTGAACAAAAATAAAAATAAAAATTGATGAGCCCTATTGCCTCGGTATGCACTTATACAATGTTAACACCATCATTACCCCTTGATAATGACTGCTTACTGCAACCATCATTCTTTGAGTAGCTGTGCATTCACAAATATGGGCTGTGTGCCTGTGTGAACCCTGTTGTTGAAAAGTTTTTATGGCTAAGCATTCGTTTGGGCAGGAGCTTGTCCCTTTCCAATTCCCTGCATCCATGGGAAAGGCTCCCTCCCACTCCCTCAGTTCCACTGACACCACCTATAGCTCTCACGACTAAGAAAGGAATGTTATACCACCCTGGTCAGGTCCCTGTGCCCCCTGCAGAGGAGTGAGTAGTTGTCTCCAGTTCAGCACCAAGAGGGGCCAGTGAGCACACTGTGTGAGCACAGAGAGCTTTCAAAAGTTTTCTTGGTACACAATGGTCAATCAGGATTGAACAGCTAGTAGTGTTGCTGGTTGATGAGGGCTTTCTCTTGGTAACTAACAATCTCTCAGTAACAAATGGTTTGGGAATGAGTGGCTCTTGGCGTCAATGGGGACTCTCCCTCGGTATATGAATGCTCTGTCAGGCTCAAACAGCCCTCAGTGTCGAAGGCTGATGGGGACTCTTACGTCGTAATGAACAGTCTCTCAGGTCCAAACACTCTTGGAATCAAACAGTCCCTTGGTGTCAAAAGCAGATGGAGAATCCCTCTGGGAATTAAATATCTTGTGTCCAAGCACTCTCTTGGGACCCGCTGGGTCTGTGATGTCGATGAGAGTCACAGGTTCCTTCTTGGGACAGAACTATCTTTTGAGTCCAAGCCCAATCTGGGGATTGATTGGGCCTTCCACATCAATGATGGACGGGGTTTTCATGGTGTCTGCATTTCTGCTTGGCAGCAGTGGCCATCTTTTTTGCAAGCTTGGGTGCTTTCCTGGTCATGCAGTCAAGTATCTGGAATCCACAGCTTGCAGGGGCCTGGCTCTCAGAGACTGGCCCTTTATTTCCAGGCTTGTTTATGAAGGCCTGGCAATGAAGGGATGATTCAATGATGTAATTCTCACCCAAACGAAAAAGACAGAGGGAGTGTCTGTCCGTGGGGAAGGGAGTTAACTCACACAACAGACAGATTTTCAAAAGAGTGGCTTTGATGCCATCACAGTTGACCGGGAAGGCAGAGAGTGGAGAGTGAAGAATGGAGAAAGGACGCAAAAGATCAGAGAGAATGTAGGTAGGAAAAAAGCAGGTTGCTTACCTGTAACTGATGTTCTTCGAGTGGCCATCTGTGCATTCACACATATGGGTGCTGCGCCTGTGCAGTGCCTAAGGCCGGGAAGATTAGCAAGCTAACAGGTTTTGGCAGGAAAACTCCGATCCCCTCCCCCCCAGTACTATATATAGAGTGGAGTGTCCACCATTTTCTCCAGTCTTTGAAAGACCAATCATTCGCCCCCATTCGGGAGAGAAATAAGTTTGTTTGTTTGGTACCATGAACACTAATGCATTGTACAGATAAAAAAAAAATTCACTCACCGACACTGAATGGGGTCGGCAGGTGGGTTGTGTGAATGCACAGATGGCCACTAGAAGAACATCAGTTACAGGTAAGCAATCTGTTTTTCTTCGTCATGGCCTCTGTGCATCACGCATATGGGTGAGTAGCAAGCTTACCAGACTCGGAGGAGGGCGGTTTCGTCACTGAAGAACTGCAGAGAGGACAGCCCTACCGAAGAAGCGGTGCTGTCTGGCATGCACATCAAGGCAGTAATGTCTGGCGAAGGTGCACGGAGCAGCCCAAGTCGCAGCTTTGCAGATGTCTTGGATCGGGATTCCTGCAGCAAAGGCAGAAGAAGCTGCTACTGCTCTCGTGGAATGACCCCTCGGAACAACAGGTAAGTCTATTTTGGCAAGTTGATATGCCAATACAATGGTCTGAACTATCCACTTCGACAGTCTTTGCGATGAAACCGGAGATCCTCTGTCATGCTCAGAATACTTAACAAAGGGTCTGTTGGAAAGGCGAAGGGATTCCGTGCACGATCTGTAAAAGGCCAAACAATGACGCACATTGAGTGTATGCAAGGATCTCTCGATCGGGTTCTATGGCGATGGGAAAAAGGCCGGTAGAACAATTTCCTGATTCAGATGGAATGGTGTGGTTACCTTGGGTAAAAATGTGGAGTCCATTTGAAGAACCACCTTCTCCTTATGCAAGTTCAAATAAGGTGGATCTACTCACAACGCGCAAAGTTCACTAGCTCTACGAGCTGATGTGACAGCTACAAGAAAGGCTGTCTTCCAGGATACAAGACGCAGATCAACCGTCGCCAAAGGCTCAAAAGGGGGTCTTGTTAGCGCTTGAAGAACAACTGAAAGACTCCAAGTAGGCATGACAGGTCGGATTGAAGGATGGAGGTTCTGTAGTCCTTTAAGGAACCTCCTAATAAGAGGCTGCGAAAACACCGATGAGCCCTGTATTGTACCACGGTAGTGTGATATCGCTGCTGCGTAAACTTTGATAGATGAAGGCTTAAGTCCCAAACGATGTAGCTTTAGAAGAAACTGAAGTACATTCTCAATCGAGCCTGACTCCGGAGCAAAGGAATGTGAATCAGCGAAAGATGAGAACCGGCGCCACTTTGCTGCATAAGACTTCCGAGTTGACGGTCGTAGAGCAGACTCGAGAATTCTCTGAATGTCCAGGTCTAGAGTACTCGATGTAGTAGGAAAGTCTATCGGAACCGAGGGGGCAAGCAGCACCTCGGGTTCATGAGTAGAGGTACCGAGAGTCCGAGTAGCCCTCGGTACCAAGTCAGTCCCATCAGTCAGTGAATTCGCCATGCCGTGAGATTCAATGAAGCTAAGTATGGACGGCGGACTGCGCCGTCTTGTTGAGTTATCAAGTATGGTATTGACAGGAGGCAAAGAAAGGTGTTGTCCGAGATCCAAAGAAGGGTGGAAAACCATGCTTGGTGGGGCCACCAAGGTGTAATCAGGATTCCCGTGGCACCGTCGTGTATGATTTTCGAAACGATTCTCGTTAACAGAGGAATAGGAGGGAAGGCATAAATTCTGATGCCGGACCAAGAGATCATGAGGGCGTCTCCCAATGACCCCAGACTCATGCCCGCTCTGGAACAGATTATCTCCCATACCTTGTTCCTGTGAGTGGCAAACAAGTCGATATCTGGGTGCCCCCAGAGTTGGAAAAGTTGACTGCAGACTTGTCGATCTAACTCCCACTCATGGGTCATTGACATGTGTTTGCTCAATACATCGGCTTCCTCGTTGTCGGTCCCGGCCAGATGGACCGCCAAAAGAATTATACCCCTCAGGATGCACCATTCCCAAATGTCCACGGACAGACGAGCTAGGGCTACGGATTTTGTCCCGCCCTGTTTGTTGATGTAAAACACCGCGACCATGCTGTCGGATGTGATCTGAATAACTTGCTGACGAACAGTGTCCTCGAAAGATCGAAGAGCTTTGAAAATGGCTAAGAGTTCGAGGTAGTTGATGTGTATCGACAACTCTTGTCGGTTCCAAGTGCCCTGGGACCGAAGTCCCGCATATACGGCATCCCACCCGATCAGCGAAGCATCGGTATAAAGAGTCAGTGTTGGGTGAGGCGTCTGGAATGGGGTACCCGTATTTAAATTGTTCGGAACAGTCCACCAAGTCAACGTCTGTAGAACAGATTGAGGCAGTCGAATTGGCTTGTCAGGCGAATCTCGTTGTGGATGGAAATGAACCATAGTTGAAGAGGACGTAGTCGGAGTCTGGCGTGGGGGACAATGGCTACAGTGGCGGTCATGTGACCCAAAAGCTTCTGAACAGAGAATGCCGGGATGATCTTGGTTTGTCGACTCCGATGAATACAGGACCAAAGGCTGTCCTGACGGACTGGAGGGAGAAAGGCCCTAGTTAGAGTGGAATCGAGAGGGCTCTGATGAAGTCGATTACCTGTGCAGGGATAAAGGACGATTTTTCACGGTTAAGGCACAGTCCTAAATCGCCCAGCAAAGAATAAGTTTTCTCAACAGCTGAAAGGCGACCTTCACAGGTCTGGGAGACTATAAGCCAGTCATCCAGGTAGGCGTATACTTGGATGCCTTGGTGCGCACACACTGGGGCCATACATTTTGTAAAGACCCTCGGGGCTGTAGCTAATCCAAACGGAAGGACATTGAATTCATATATGTCAGTCCCAATGGTAAAACGCAGAAGACGTCTATGACCTGGGTGAATCGATATGTGGAAACAGGCGTCCTTCAAATTCAGTGAGGCGAACCAATCCTCTCTCCTCAGCAACGGAAGGATATTTTGAAGGGTAGTCATCTGAAATTTCTTAGGTTTGATAAATTTGTTAACGTTTCGGAGATCCAATATTGGACGAAGACCACCATCCTGTTTAGGGACTGTAAAATGTCTAGAACAGAATCCATGAAGCCCTTCAGAGCTGGAGAGCCATCCAGTGGCACTTCGTCCTCTAACACCTGCGAGCATGGTGTAAGCCAGCTCGGCGGAGGGACAGTATCAAATTCTATTCTGTATCTGAGCTGAATGATGGATAAAACACACCGATCAGATGTGATGAACTCCCAAATGGGGGGTCAGCCTTGCAGCTGCTCCCCAAAAGGGAGGGGGAAAGGTGGGTGTTGAGAGGGAGGAGAGGTTCGCCTGCCCTGTCGGTGCTGGCACTTCTCATTGTCAAACCAGTGGCGGCCTTGCTGAACCGTTGTTGAGGTTGCTGCCTCCTGCACTGCTGTCATTGGTAGTACTGTTGTCTCGGAGGGGGTTGGTACCGATAGGATGGACGCGACCAAGCCCACTTACGTTTCTGCTGTGCTGGCAGCTTCATCTGTCTGGCCGTCATGCGAGACTCATGAATGGACTTAAGCTTGTGGTCCGTTTGCAAGTGGAAGAGTCCCGAGCCATCAAAAGGCATTTCCTCGATGCGCCTCTTCATTTCATTGAGGAAATTGCAATTTCTCAGCCAGGCATGTCTCCGCAGCGAAATGGCACTGACTAGGGCTCTAGAATCAGTGTCTACATGGTGGCAGACTGTCGACAACTGCTGAATTGCCACCTGCATGCCCTCCTTAATGATGGTCCTGGCCAAATCTCGTTGTTGATCTGGCAGGGAAGCGGCGACATTGTTCAGTTTTTGCATGATGAAAAACTGATACCTGGCAAGGGTGGCTTCATAACTGGACATATGAAGGCCAAGTCCAGCGGCCACATAGACCTGGCATGCCAAGGTATCAATTTTTCTTCCCTCCTTGTCCTGGGGGGTGGTAAGTCCCAGATTTTGCAGCAAGCTGGTCCGACTGCATTAATTCCTGATCCCAGAGGAGTTTCTGTAAGCAATTCTCCCTGTTTTTCTGGGTCTGCTTGGTGAAGGCGAGGCAATGGCGGCACTTATCTGTTCTGTGCCCCTCGCTGAGGCAAAGGAGGCACAAGTCATGAGGGACATCTTGGACCCACATTCCGCACATATGCGAAAAGCCGCTCACTGCGCCATCGAAGAAGAAATAAAGGATAGTAAAGAGGGTAAGATAATATTTTGGGTTTTGGGTTTTTTTTAAGAGATGAGAAAAAAAGAGAAAAGATATAACAAGGGAACAATAACTTGGAGGAATAGCAATGAAGAGTAACAAGAACGATTTGAATAAAAGAGCAAATACAGAGTCAAAGTGAGAGATGAACAGGCACGAGGCACAGCGAATGGCGGTCGCAAAAGACTGGAGAAAATGGCGGACACTCTGCTCTATATATAGTACTGGGGGGGAGGGGAGCGGAATTTTCCCACCAAAAACCGTTAGCTTTCTAATCTTTCCGGCCTTAGGCACTGCGCAGGCACAGCACACATATGTATGATGCACAGAGGCCATGACGAAGAAGGTTCTTTTAATGGGCTTTACAAGTAAAGAGTAAAAACAAAGTTCATGAGGACATGAGTGAAGAGGTGGCTGTGCAGGAAGTCAAGGAAGAGAAAGCAGTAGAGAGAAAAAAGGTCATAAATGCGTAAAAGAAAATTAAGTTGAGGATAGAAACATTTCCCAATCTAGGCATGGAAGTGGCTGAAAAGGAACCGAGGGAATGGGTGGCAGCTCCTCCCACAGATGCAAGGAACAGGAAGAGGTGCGGCTCATGCCCAAATCAATACTTAGCTGTAGAAACATCCCAACGACAGGCTCTACGCAGGTGCAGAACCCATGTATATGACCCACAGAGACCATGAAGAAGATACAAGTTATACAAGTGAGGTTTCCAACATTCAGAACACATGAAATGTGTCACCTGAATTTTTGTTCCATTTCATCTTTCAGTTGCATTTCATTATGTAGCTGTTCTTCAAGCTGATAGATAGTTTTTTGCAAGGATTCCAGCTTCAAATATAAAAAATAGAGTAAGTTGAAAAGCAATGTTTTACAGGAGCCTCAAATAATGACATAAATTTAATTTGTTTTACAACAGTAAAATAAAATTGTTTCAAACAGTTTTCACTACCTTTGCAGATACTCTTACTGGGAAGGAAAATGTCAAATGACATATTATGTAATAGTTAAATTGGTTGGTCAGCATAGGCAACCAACCATTTTAATCAGTGGTACAACATGTTAAGGATACATTCACTTAATTTTTGAGATAATTTTGTTTCAGCTATGTTGCTGTAACAGGTAAGGTGAAATGGAAAAATAATAGTTTAATGCTTCAGTTAGTGGAACTTTATTTTTTTAAAATTCTTATCTTACACATTCTTCAATACTTTGAAAATACATCTATATAGATATTATAGTTATTTAAAATTAATTCATTGAAATGCAAAAGATTTATCAACCCCCCCCCCCACCCAAAAAAACCCTTTTACCAGCTAGCTGGGGTGTTTTGAAAACAAAACCTAATTACAATTTTTTTTAATGAAACATACCAAACTTTTATCTACATTGGTGCTTGCCCTGTTGTCATTAGAATTTGCTGTACAGCTGGATAAATACCTGTAAACACAATTTGGAAATGTTTAAAGATGTAAATGAACAGAAGCCCAAGCATTCTCAAAAGCATGAAAAGTTAAATGCATACTCCTATATATAAAAATGATAGCTCTGTGTTTTCAAAGTTAAAAGAACATGCAGCACAGCTGATTCTAGACACAGAAAAACATGCTACCTATCTACAGACATTTCCAGAAGACTTAAGTATTTGTTCAGTGCTGTTTACAGCTGGATTTATAAAGGAGAAAATCCTAACACAGGAAAAGAACTAAGAGTGGACTTGGTAGATCAGACAAAAGCTCTACTTTGACCATAATTTTATATACACTTACTTAGATGTAAGTCCTATTTAACTAAAGGTTCCTTAGAATACGGTCTAATATCTCTCATTATTGATGTGCATAGGCCTCCAAACTTGGAAGTTTACATACATCTAAAGCAGACTGTGAGGTTAAATAGCAATTATCTCCTGAGCCTTGTGCCTTCTGTTTATCTTGATGGCTGTTTTAGTAAGTCATCAACCTCATCCTCCTGCCCTGCTGGAATGCCCTTTTGGGCCTCTCCAAGGCTGATTTCTGACTCTTGAGAGGCAGCTAATACAGTTCCTTCCACACTAGCTGAAGGGCAATGGGCAGAGGCTCTGCATTCATACCTCAGAGATGGAACTGCAATAATCCTATGGTCTTCCACACAAGGTCATGTAGTCATAGGATTATGGCCTTACTCTTTTCCAGCAGTGGGCAGCTAGATGCATCCACAAGAATGGCTTTAATGGCCATTTCCATTATCATTCACTACTTAACTGGCATTTAGTGTCATACTGGGTTCTGTAATAGCTGTGTTTATATATTATTTTGTGCATGGATAGGTCTAATCACCTTTAAGAGCCTTTTAAGCTAGCAGCCATCACCACATCACATGACGATTAGCTCTGCAAGGGTACAACCCTGTGCATAGCTAGCTGAGGCATGCAAGTTGTAGGACATTTTTCTGTCTAAACGTGCACCCTAAATTATTATGTCTTATGGAAAGAAGAACTTTATTTTGCCCACAGTTTAAATGGACTGGATTTATGAAGAAAGTAGGAAAATACTATTTACCTGCTTTCTGCACACCATGTATTATAAGCCTGTATCATTACTTCCTTTAGTCACCATTTTTCCCACAGAACTAAAAAGCTGTATTTTAGCTTTTCTTATATACAAGGTACTCCAGGTCTCTGATCACTTTGGCTACACGTTTCTGGACCATGTACACATAAATCTTGAATGTCTGCATTAGATACAAAGCTAAGACTTCTGAACTCGCTATGGGCAAAATTCATATTTTGAGACGTTGCCTCTAACTACTGAAATGAACAGCATGAAAGTAAGTATCACAGAAAAAAGCAAAACAAATGCCCCTATTAGACAGTTTGCCCTCAAACTTCACATACAGTTTTGCTTAGGAACATACATTTTAGAATGCTAAAAAAAGGGAGGAACAACACCTGGCAGGAGACCGCGCCCGAAGACCGCGCCGCGCCCAAAGACCGCGCCGCGCACGCGCCCAAAGACCGCGCCGCGCACGCGCCCGAAGACCGTGCAAAGACCGTGCCGCGCCGCCGACTCCGCCCCTACCTGACTGCCCTGCCACGCCCCTGCACGCGTGGCAGGTGTGCCCGGACGGGGTGGGGCATCGGGCGGCCGGCGGCTACAAAGCACCGGCAGCGGCCGGGGCCGGCGGCTGAAGGGCGTCGGCCAAAGGGCGGTCGCCGCCGTTTGGGGGGGCCGTTCGGGGGGGGCTAGGCTGGCCAGGGGACTTGCTCTTTTGTTGTGGCAGTCCCTTCTGTTGAACGGCCAATTTTAAATGTTTTATAATTTTAAAGTGTTTTAACTTGTTTTTATGGAGTCGTCCCTGGCCATGTTGCCGCCTGAGTTTCCTGGGGAGCGCACTGGCGCCGCCATTGGTGTGGTGATGGGCAATGGACGTAATAGCGGTGGGGGCTTAACGTGTCCGCATAGAAGAAGGAGGGACAGATGGCTGACACCTGTCCCTACTTCTGGTTTCGCTCCCAGCCAGAAGGTGCCAGGGAGTCTCGTCAGTCGCCCGTCGGGCCTGACGGTGCTGTTGTTTAATGCCAGGTCAGCCAATAACAAATCTGCCCTCATCCATGACTTGATTGTGGATGAGGGGGCCGACCTGGCCTGTATAACGGAGACCTGGGCGGGAGGGGGGGGGATGTTGCCCTCTCCCAATTGTGCCCGCCCGGGTATATGGTCCAGCACTGTTCACGGCCGGAGGGGAGGGGAGGGGGGGTCGCTTTGGTTTACCGAGCCTCCATCACTCTCACGGGACTTCCTGTCCCTTCGAGACCAGGGCTGGAGTGTCTCTACTTGGTGTTGGGCGACCGAGACAGATTGGGGATTCTGTTGGTGTACCGTGCACCCTTCTGCCCAACAGTCTCCCTGCCTGAGCTGACGGAAACTGTCTCAGACCTGGTGTTGAGGACCCCCAGGACCAGCATCCTGGGGGACTTCAATATCCATGCCGAGGCTAGTCTGACCGGGGCGGCTCAGGACTTCATGGCTTCCATGATGGCCATGGGGCTGTCTCAACATGTCACCGGCCCGACCCATGAACGTGGACACACTCTGGACCTGGTTTTCTCGACGGGGCAGGAAGAGGGTGGTCTGAGGGTGAGGAATTTATGCTTGACTCCCCTGTCATGGTCAGATCACTTCCTAGTGAGGTTTGTGCTCGAGAGCGACATCTCCCTCTGTAAGGGTGCAGACCCGATTGTGTGGGTCCGCCCCCGGAGCCGGATGGATCCGGAAGGATTCCTGAAGGCTCTGGGGGAGTTTCCGGCTGACAAGACGGGTGCTCCTGTCGAGGCTCTGGTTGAACTGTGGAATGGGGAGATGACCAGGGCTATAGACACGATCACTTCTAAGCGTCCTCTCCCACCGGGCAGAGCCCGCTCTTCCCCTTGGTACACTCCAGAATTGAGGGCAATGAAGCAGGTTGGGAGACGGCTAGAGCGTAGGTGGAGGAAATCAAGGGATGAATCTGACCGAACACACTTAAGAGCCCACTATTGGGCCTATGCTGTGGCGGTGAGGGCGGCGAAAAAGAGACACTTCTCCGCTTCCATTGCCTCCTCACAATGCCGTCCGGCGGAGCTCTTTCGAGTGGTGCAAGGCCTGGTTCACCCAGGGCCAAAGGAAGAGCTGATTTCACCCTCAAAGGCCCGCTGTGACGACTTTGCCGAGCATTTTAGGGAGAAAATCGCTCAGATTCGTCACGAGCTGGATTCCACTATTGATTCAGAGGTTTTAAGGGAGACACCAACGCTGCCGTCTGGTCCAGAATTATTGGATGTATTTCAGTTATTGCGGCCCGATGATGTGGACAAGGTGCTTGGACGAGTACGTCCTACCACTTGCCTTTTGGACCCTTGCCCGTCTTGGTTAATAAAGGATTCCAAGCACGGGATTGGAACCTGGATCTTGGAAGTGGTTAACGCTTCTCTGAGGGAGGGTCGGGTGCCTGCCCCTTTAAAGGAGGTGGTAGTCCGACCGGTCCTGAAGAAGGCGTCACTGGATCCAGGGATGGCCGCTAACTATAGACCAGTGGCCAACATCCCGTTTCTGGGCAAGGTGTTAGAGTGAGTGGTGGCGGGACAACTCCAAGCACTCTTGGATGAAACTGATTATCTGGACCCATTTCAGTCCGGCTTCAGACCCGGGTACGGTACTGAATCTGCCTTGGTCGCCCTGTACGATGACCTGTGCAGGGAGAAGGACAGGGGGAGTGCGTCCCTGTTGGTTCTCCTGGACCTCTCAGCGGCTTTCGATACCATCGACCATGGTATCCTTCTGGATAGGCTAGCGGGATTGGGGGTCGGAGGCACTGCTTTGCAGTGGTTCCACTCCTATCTCAATGGCTGGTTCCAGAAGGTGGTGCTGGGGGACTATGGCTCTGCGCCATGGCAGCTATGCCATGGAGTACCACAGGGGTCCATTTTGTCCCCTTTGCTGTTCAACATATACATGAAACCGCTGGGAGAGGTCATCAGGAGGTGTGGGCTGCAGACCCATCAGTATGCTGATGATACCCAGCTCTACCTCTCGTTTTCCACCAATCCAGGTGAGGCAGTGGCTGTACTGAACCGGTCCCTGGCCGAGGTAATGGGCTGGATGAGGGCCAATAAACTGAAGCTCAATCCAGACAAGATGGAGGTCCTGTTGGTTGGCGGTTCGGGCTTCGGAGAAGGTGACCTGAACCTTGTCCTGAATGGGGTTGCACTCCCTCCTAGGGACAAGGTCCGCAGCTTGGGAGTGCTCCTCGACCCGGAGCTTTCACTTGAAGCTCAGGTGACAACAGCGGCGAGGAGCGCTTTCCTCCAGCTTCGGCTGATTCATCAACTGCGCCCCTACCTGGAGTACGACTGCCTTGCAACAGTGACTCATGCGCTGGTGACTTCCCGTCTTGACTTCTGTAACGCGCTCTACGTGGGGCTACCCTTGAAGACAGTCCGGATACTTCAATTGGTTCAGAATAGAGCTGCCAGGCTGCTGACGGGGACTGGACGTTATGTTCACATGACTCCAGTTCTCCGTCAGCTTCACTGGCTCCCCATTGAAGTCCGGGCCCAATTCAAGGTGTTGGTAATGACCTATAAAGCCCTAAACGGCTTGGGTCCTGGTTACCTGAAGCGCTTACATCCATATTTGCCCAGTCGCCCCCTGAGATCGGCGGGAGAGGCCCTTCTCCGGGAGCCCTCCGGGAGAGAAATTAGGAGGGTGGCTACTCGGAGAAGGGCTTTCTCAGCGGTGGCGCCTAAGTTATGGAATGCGCTCCCCACAGAGGTCCGCCTGGCGCCGTCGTTATTTGTTTTTCGGCGCCAGGCTAAGACCTTTTTATTTAAGCAACATTTTAAATGCTAAATACAATTGAATTTTATCTGGCCAGGGCGGCTTATTTTATAATGTGTGTTTTAATTAAGATTATTTTATATGGATTTTAACTTATTGTTTTATCGATGTTGTAAGCCGCCCCGAGGCTTCGGCGAATGGGGCGGCATAAAAATGTTTTAATAAATAAATAAATAAATAAATAAATAAAAAACTAACTAATACTAATACTAATTATACGTTTTAAAAAGTTCCTCATGTCAGTTCAGTAATTTGCTAATCCAAACACTACAGTTGAACAATTCTTCAAAATCATACAATTAGCTACATAATGGTGAAATGACTATTTGTTTCTGAACCTGGAGGATGCATTTGTTACATTTTGAAAGCTTCCCAGTGTCAAAACTTTTTAAAATGAATTCTGAAAATTTTCAGGATCCTACTAAGTATCAACAAATGACATGTAAATTAATTTTGCAAATACTTCAGTGGATTGTCCATTTTCCTGAGCTTTCCTTGTTATTATTATTCTAATAGTGCCCAAAGCTAATAAAAAGACAAGGCAGTTTAATTAACAAACTAGACAAAATAATTCAACCCTAAGTGTAATGCCTATATAGGTCAACTTATAAGTAATCTCAAATGAATTCAGTGGAACTTATTACCAGGAAAGTGCACATAGGCGCTACTCACACAAATAGTCTGATTTTATGCTTTACTTACAGTATTTAATACTGAACCTACACTCCCACTGTTTCTGTTGGGTCAATGGGAAACAATATTAGTGCTTCCTAAAGCAACCCAGAATTAGCAGAAATGCAACTTTCTAGAATTGAACAGGTGAGAAGAGCACCCATCTGCAAACTGTTGACTTACCTTTTCAAAAAATGAGCATTTTCATTCATTTCCAGTTACTTTAGGGGTGCTTTCTGGATGGGCTGCTGGGACAGTTTTGGATATTGTCCACTATAAGACAGTGGGCTTGCATTCAGACCATAAGGAATCAAAATTCAACACATATAGAGATGTGTAAAGTGGCTGCCCATGCTGTAAGCTGAAAATTACTACAATATGATCCAAATTTTAAGAACAGCATTACAAGGTAGTTTCTTAATATATCATCTGCTTTAAATCAAAGCTAAGCCATACTCCTCTTAAATCTTTATCTCACCATTCTTTTTCAAATATCTTTTTCACTCTTTCAAATATCTCACCATATTTCTCTCACCACTCTTCTTTACAGGTTGGTACATCTGCTAGTATATTTATATACTTACTGATGGTTACTGTAGTATGTAAAGCCTACAAAAGGTAGCTGGTTGCCAACAAATGCTTTTGGTATAGGGAATGTTTCCTCTTCTCCTTTATCTTCCTCCAAATCATCAAAGTTACTAGTGTCAATATCACTACTTAAATCAGGCACAACAGGTGCTACAGCTATCAATAAAATAAACAAGGATTACTAAAATGTTTATTAAAATGTTTACAAATATGTAAACATTTATTACGTTTAGAACCTTGCTCCTGTTATATAGGAAGCAAAAGAATGGATTGATATGTTGCAAGGTCACAGAACAACAGTTAACTCTTTTTGCTCTACTATATAGTTTATACAATAAATAAGAGGCCCCTACCAAAACTTTTAAACTTTCATGCTGTGATAGTTATAAAGAGAATATTCCAAAAGGACAATTTAGCTTTTCTAAAAGCAAATACAGTTTGTACCCCTTTATATATATCTTATCAATAGTATCTGACGCTGACATATTTTAAAAAATGTATAATCATACAAAAGGAAACTGCTGGCATTGTCTGTCTAACAAAGGACATTCTATCCAAATGTGGTAACTGTGTGAAAAGCAAGAAGGATCTGGAGAATTGTTATTAATACTAAAAATTAAATATTGAATTTAAATGAAAACCATAACCAAAATTACGTTTCATATTTTGTCAAATATATCAACCACCTGAATATACAAATACTAATCATGTACCTAATAACTTCAGTTAAAAAGCTACAGTTACCTTTGCAAGACTACATAAATCCTGTAATATACAGCCCTACGTCATCTCCAACCAAGTGGCTAAAAAGGATTTTGGAATTATTATTATTAGCAGCATACCAAGTAAGAGGATAGAAAACACACAAATTAAACAATATAGTAAAATCTAGAATGACAGATCATGCTAATTACTGAAAAACTAAAGTGTTGCTAAAAACTTGTTATCATGAATCTTACATTAAAGTCTAATCTATATCAAATAACAATGGGACATATGATATACTGCTGTTGCAGACCCACGGTCCTCATGGTGTCAGTGGGATCCACCACAAGAAGGAAGTATTTCCTAAAGCAACATTGGAAGTAAGAGCAAGTGCACCTTTCCAAAAAGGAAAAATCAACACAGCTTATTTTGTAAGCTCTGCTGATCTGCCCTGTTCTGAAAACAAGTGTTTCTGCTTCTTCTTGTTTGCTTAAAGATTTTCTAGGTTCCTATTGCACTAGCAATGTGTTCTGCTAATGTGCAGGTAGCACTGGATACTGCCCAATATTTATTATAATTAGAAGGAACTAAGGTTAATGTTTTTTAGTAACTTTCACTGTGTTGTGAAGATTCTGTGTGTGTGTGTGTGTGTGTGTATTTTCTATCCTGTATACATTTCGCGAGAATTACAGAACTAATTCTTTCCCACAGCAGCTTTGGACTTGTGTTTCTCCAACAACTGTGTTCCATACATGGAAAACTGAAGATGCGTTCACACACAGCTTGTGACATGGCATACATGTCTACCGTTCAGGAAAAAAATGTAAAAGATCTCACTGGCATTCCAGTGCACTTTATTTTTTCATATTCTAACCAGTATAAATCCATAAGGCAACCCAATTCCTTTAAAGAAGTTGCTTCTTGTATACAGAAAGCCAGCACTTTCTAATGTCTACAATAATATTTGATGTATCAAATACTTTACAAGTAAATACTTGCAAAAATAATTAAAAGATGCTATAATGTAGAAAGATACTTACTATCTCTAAGATTTTCCCAAGACCACTGGTCATTTTTGAAGAATGGATGTCGTTTGATTTCTTCCACACCATTTCGGCCTAATCTAGCTTCCCTGTAAAAATAAAGTATTTCTGAAAGGTATAAATGCAAAATCTTGAGGTCAATCTATACATGGCAGTCAAACCTGTATCAGCCTAGACCAATTGGCCCTTTTAAATTGGAAACTCAGAAACAGGGTATTCTTGAAATAATGAAACGACAGGAAAGAAAAAGTGCATAACACTTCTACCATCAACTAATTCAATCCTTCAAGTCTGGGGTGGGAGAGCAAATTTTCTTCCCCTATACACCAAGTGCAAGTTTGCCCTAACAAACAGGCACTTGGAACACCAGAGAAAAGAGAAAAAATAATATACTCTACCACCACCACCATTAATCCACTTTATGCCTTTAACCCCTTCTAAAAGATTCATTCATTCTAATTTTTAAAAGGTCATTGAGCTATCATTACATGTAGCCAAATTCATTTAGTTGTTCATTTCAGAACATGAAAAAAAGTATTTTTGGAAGCTTCTACAAAGTGAAGAAAATTTTGTGGCACTGCCCTCTACACACATATCTTCATCCTCCAAAATGAACTACTATTGACTATGGATCAGATCTAAACACCATGAGTGGAAAAAGTTATTTTTATTACCATTTTTCATGAGCTGTTGTAAAATTGCTAAAAATTCATGGAACTAAATATCTGCTGTCACAGTATACAAATGATACTGCATCAATATATCCTGCCATGGTATTAATACAGTTTCACACTGCAACAGAAATTTAGAGTGCAAACAGCCCCTGAATGGAAAGTACTTGGAGAAGATGAATACCCCAGCTATTGGATCTTACTTTGCAAAGGATAACTGTATATACTTCAATCATTAGTTTGCAAAATCCACACCATGTAAGTGTTTTAACTATAAACAGTTCCAAGATAAAGAATAAAGAGAAAAAATAGAAATAAATATTGTGCAAACAGTTATGGAAGCTCTTGCACAACTACAGTTCACTTTGCTCAAAGCTTTTTGATCTATCAGAAACAGCTACTCCAGGAGAAAAAGTGGTATATTTGTTTCTAAGCCTATGAAATTTCAATTTCAGGAAACATGAAATTATTTCACAGATGAAATAAATATGCATTCTATTTATGGCAACAGTTGAGAAATGTTGGTGCAAGGGCCTGGTCTGCCTCCAGACCAGTGGTTCAGAATCTCCCATCAATCAGCTTCCTGGATAACCTCAGATTGTAATATTATGACACAAAAAGACTCCCTTTTGACTTTCTCCATGCTTAATTTTGTACACCTTCCATCTTTCCCCTTACTTAATGATTTTTCTAAGTTAAATTGTTCCCAGTTAAATTAGAACCTTTCCTCATGGGAAAGTTGCTCTCCTGATCATTTAGTTTCTATTTTCTACATTTGTTCCAATTCTTTACAGCAACAAAATATGCCTATTTAGTGAATAAAATGTTAGTGATAAAGTTTGGAAAAAAATACTTAATTCAGATTAGAAACCTGTGTAGTTCAGGCAATAATTACCCTACATTTTGGAAAAAGAAGTATGGGTATTCACACAGAGAAATGAGATAACAGATTCATAAATGCATGTTTTAAAATACAGAAGTTGGAAACAATTTCTTAAACTTTGGGATGAAATTACACATTCTATTTTGATGGTTAAATAAGTAGGTAAGGTATCCTATTTAATCATTTAAAAACACTATTCTGGGTGTTTATGCAACCAGTCATTAACATATGATTACTAGTTAACAAAGAACTTTATTAGGAACCTAATTTCAAGATACTAATTGACTTGAGGCTTCCTTAGAAGTTTTCTGATATAGGGTATTACTATATCAACATCACCATATTTTATTAGCAACGTAAGGCATGACCTAATAGGGATAAAGAATTTATTAAAACAGGTAAAAATACATACACTCTGGTTATCACTAGTCAATGAAACGTAGTATTCAAAAAATCCATAATACAAAACACCATGTTTAGATTTAGAACATGTACATTTTGTTTTACCTGTCAGTTAAGAAGCCACAAATAAGATTCTTTGCATCTTTAGAAATATCATTATCATCTGGGAAGCTAAGAGAATTTTTATGATTCATAATTTTACTGTATGTTCCAACTAAAGAATCTGCATAAAAAGGTGTATCTCCTAAAATTGAGAACAAAAGAGAAAAAAAATGTGACACAACTGCTATCTAAAGTTAATTCAATGCCAGAAAAGAAGCAGAAAAAGTATGAACTGTAGAAGGATGCAGTTTGTGTTAACTAGAACCTGAAAGAATTGAAATGACAAATGCTGATACTCATGCTATGATTTTAAGCGGCTGAGACATTCGTATTATCATATATTTATTAAAACAGTAAAGCAGAAAGAAACCTTCTTTGGAATACTAGGAATTCAAGAGTGGATCATGTTCATCTAATGAGCATGTTGTTACAATTCTAAACAAAGAAGTGACATCCAGAGACACTAAAAACCTTCCAGTGCTATGGGGGAAGGTATACTGGTGATCCTAACCTTTACAGAACTATCACTAAGAAAAAAACCAAATCAAATAATCAGTTTAGCATATTCATCAATGAAACCAGTGAATGTAGTAGTATTTCATTCCAAGTAAACCTTATTAGAGCAGGGTTACAGAGGTTAGTTTATATAATAAATCATTAAAATATTAATGAAACATTATTATTTCATGTTCATAACATTATTTCATCATCATTATAGCAGTGGAACAAATTTAAAAAGGATGCATTCTCCTGATAAATAATTCCAAAATCCTGGATAAAGTTTACAGCTTAAATAATTTATCCTATTGCTTTGTACAATGCTTAAAGTAATACAATTATGTACAAAACAAATCAACTCCTATTTCATTATTTATAAATAAGATATTTTTATTTAGCAGAATCTACATTAGTATCATTTACAAAAGGAGGATTATTCTGATGCTCACCAACAAGCATTTCATACAAAAAGACACCAACTGACCACCAGTCACATTCACGTCCATAGTAACCATCACCCCCTTGAGATTTTAAGACTTCTGGGGATATATAGTCTGGCGTTCCAACTGCTGTATCACATCGTACCATACCTTCCTATAAAGAAAAGGGACAGTTATTTAAAAGAGTCACTCCTGGGAACTATCCTGGTAGAATCCTGATATCCTAGTAGGGTAGAAACAAAGGAACACTCGCACCTCCACTGACTCCTTTACACCCTGCCAATTACAATCTACAATAGACCAACCATATATGGAAGGAAAATCTAGAACATTTGGGGCATCAAGAACTGTGAAGATATTTGTTTCTGGAAAGGGCCAGGTTAGTGGAGCATTTGGCAGGGAGCTCCTCTGACCTGCTCCCATTGGGAAACAAGCATTTCTGCACATTTCAGAGCTTTCTGAGAAATGCTAAATCTCTTTTACACTTGTGCAGCAGAATCAGTGAGACCCATTGCCCACACAACAGAAGCACTGGGGGCGGGGGGCAGAAGAATCAAGAGGAGTGTATGGTCTTCACTGGATTCTGGCCTTTGAAGCAAAATATCTTCATAATTTAGTTTGGAATAATCAAAAAGAAAGCTAAATTCCAACAACTGCTGTTATCCAAAGAACATCTTTATTATTATTATTTTATTTATAACATTTCTATGCTGCACCCATCGCTGAAGCCTCAGAGCGGCTCACAAGGAAAACAAATAAACAAAGCATAGAACAGAGAAAGGATTTATTTAAAATATTTATATGCCGTCCTGTCACGAAAGCCTCAGGACGGCTTACATAAATGAAATACAATAAAATAAAATATAACATGAATAAATCATTGACCCACACTGGCTGCAGTTAAAAACATATAGGACACAATATTAAAACTTATTAAAATATTGCTGAAATAAAGGTCTTAACCTGGCACCGAAAAACAAATAATGACGGAGCCAGGCAGACCTCTCTGGGGAGTGCATTCCATAGGCGTGGTGCCACTGCAGAGAAAGCCCTCCTCTGGGTACTTTGCCTCCTAAAGTCTTTCACGGAGGGTTCCCAGAGAAGGGCTTCTGCTGCCGATCTCAGGGGGCGGGAGGGCAAATATGGAAGAAGGCGTTCCTTTAGGTATCCAGGTCCGAAGCCGTTAAGGGCTTTATAGGTAATAACCAGCACCTTGAATTGAGCCCGGACTTCGATGGGAAGCCAGTGAAGCTGATAGAGGACTGGGGTTATATGAGAATAACGCCCAGTCCCCGTCAGCAACCTGGCTGCTCTGTTTTCTTCCCAGAAGTACAAAGGATAATACTAGAGTAAAAAAAATACCAACCTTATTCATCTTCATACAGGTACCAAAATCTGCTAGTTTTAAATGACCAGATTTATCTAGCAGCATATTATCTGGCTTGACATCTCTGAAAAGAATGAATTGAATTTTAGAAGAATAATTTTTTATCAAACTAAAGGTGCAATTATTTATTTACTTAGAATACTTAAACACCAAAAATGCATTCTGGAGTTGTGAACAACAAAAAAGATAAATAAAGATGAAAATAATAGAACAGTATGTTTAAAAAGGATCAATAAAAACTGTGGCTAGTCAGACAAAAAAAAGACTTTCTGAAATAAAAATGCTTTTAGGATGGGCTCTAAACAAAGTGTTGATTCCTGTCTGAACTACAGAGGCAGAGAGTTCCTAAGAAAAAGATCCTCTCTGGGTGGACAAGACTTGTGGGGAATCATCAGGTGATCCAGGCAAATATGGTAAAAGGCACTCTGAGCCATGGCAGTTATTTGGACTTCAATGATAGATCTAGGAATTCCGCCAGGCTGCAAACCTGATCTTTCCAAAGGAGTACAACCTCACCAGGAACAGGAAATCTCCCTGACCTAAGAACCACTGAGTACAGGATTCCATCTTGAAGGAAGGATTAAGCTTCAATTTATTGACTCTCATTCAGCCTATCACTGAGTCTAGCCACTGCATAGTCTCACTTGACTCAGATTACAAAGGAAGAAGAGTTGTGTTATCATCATAATACTGAAGGCATTTGACTCCAAAATCCCTAATAACTCCTGTGGCTTCACACAGATGTTAAACATCACTGGGGTCAAATGGTACCCTCTGGAACACCACAGATCAACTGTTCAGGAGACAAGGAATAGTCACTCAGTGTTTCTCTGAAATCAACGCCTCAGGTAAGAGTAGAACCACTGTAATACATTGCCTCCTATGTTTAGTCCACGGAGTTGGTTCGTAAAAATATCATGGTTAATGGTGCTGAAAGCCAAAAAGAAACTGAATTGAACTCTCCCTGTCCATCTTTTAGTAAGTTCATTCATCAGCGTGACCAAGGCTGATTTAGTCACATAATAAAGTTGAAACTCAGACTAGAATTAATCTAGAATTCAAAAATCCATTGATTTCCATCTGTCTCAGGCAGCAGGTCAATCAATTCCTATGTTTAGATATAAACTATCTTATAACTCTCAACATGTCCAGCCATATTTTCTTAGACCAACTTATTATTTGCCAAACCAGCATTATAGCTACCCAATGTGAAACATCAGCCTCTATTTCATTTTTTATGTGCATACACAGCAAGCTACAGAGTTATTCTTCTACTGCTATTGCTTTCTGACTTGTATGTATTGAGATAGTGGATTTTAGCTTTACCCTGTTTACAAGGTGCCATATTACTTTGTATAACCAATGGAATCAGTTAAATGATCAGGATTTTAAATAAGTTCTACAATCTGCTCTGTTTTCAAAACACTAAATCTGTTCAGCTACATTCTTCTAATTAAGCTTAAAATGCCCATGAGCCAGTTCATATGCCAGGGCACCAGAGCCTGGGTTGTTTAATTTATGGATTACTGGAATGAACAGGTTTCTCTGCTTTAATTATGAACTGCCATCTTTCTTACCAGGAATGCTAAAACTATTGAAATATAATCATTGTCCACCTTTAGTTAATCCATTACATTTTCTCTACCCAAAATAGATACAATGGGTCAATACACATAATTATATTTATGTAACAAGGATTTGGTTGCAACACTGTTTGTAGTCCTCAATTTGTGGTGAAAGGGTCATGTAACTAATTTACCACAAGCACAGATTTATGGCAGGATTGTTGGAACTGAGTTTAAGAAAATAGGTGCTTAATAACAATGCCTTGGATCCTAAGTAATGCAAGTAGAAAGTCATGGTAGGAGACACTACCATTCCTTCTCTAGACCCTTCAAAAGTCCATCGCAAGGGTCAGTGGATGTTCTGGAACAGCGTGGGATTGGTTTGGTGGATTGCTATATATGCGGGAAAAAATGTCCCAAATACAGTGTCATCTTTTACCCCATCCTATGCTGTTCAGTAAAGTCCCCTCACCCTTCAGAAAGGTTAGAAGGAAGATCAATGAAGTCCCCATTCATATGCTCCCTTCCACTCATGCTACTTAGGATTCAAGCCACTATCTGATCATGTGTGAGCTGCTTCATAACAGTTTCATCACAAGCACCTAGGATCTTGCATGACCAAATGGGTCATGTGGTCTTTAAGTTAGTTTAAAAATTTAGGGACAGTTCTCAAATAAAACTTTACTTTCTAGTTCAACCCTTTTGTACAGTGTTCTGGGGAAGATAATGAGTCAGAAAGCAGTTATGTTTCTACATTACTATTGATGAAGTTTTCATACTTTCTGATAAGAATATTGAGAGTCTCAGTTACTAAGAAAACTTTAATATATACCTGTGAATAAAGCCCATGGAGTGAATTGCATCTAATGCAAGAACAACTTCTGCTGTATAAAATCTTGCCCATTTCTCAGGAACATCATAGTTGCTCATTAAATTCACAAGGTCTCCACCAGGCATGTATTCCATTACCATATAAAGATAACGGTCATCTTGGAAAGCATAAAATAACTATGGAAGAAGGCATACTAAAATTACTTCAGGTTTAAATAATATGTAATTAATATTATTGCTTTGTTTTGTTAAACATAAAGCATATTCACTTAATCATAATGATTATTAAGATTTAACAGTTAACAATATTATGAGATGGTGCTGCTGCAAGTCTCTCTCTTACAAGTCCATTGCTCTACGGACTTGTATAAATGAATCAAGCAAAAAATACAATAATCTGAAATGAACTCATTAAATGCTGTATTTTAATCACACAATTGAACACAAATACCATTACAGGAGAAATGCCTAGTGTTCAAAGAAAGTATGTGGACTATAAAATCTCCTTTTATATAGCTCCTTTTATTTTCACAACACAACCCTGACTGAAAATGACTGGCTTTCACTCATAAAAGTCAGTCACTTTCACTCAAAACTGACTGTCATTATATGAGAATAGCCCTTTAGGGAGGGGCACATCAACATATACACACACCTCTTGGTATATGGGTTCCATGGAAAGAGCAGTACTTTGTTTTGGTGAGAAACTGTGCTACTAAACTTAACTAAATTACATTGCTTGCTTAAAAGAAGTCCAAAACAAGTATTATTTTCTCAGTATCTCACTCCAGCCCCATGCCCAGGCCTTCGAAGTAGAATCATTTTGTCTTTTGCTCCTGGAGCTGACGGTACTTACCCCTAACAAGGTTTTTCAACTTCTATCAATTTCTAACTGGCTGATGTACAACTTCTGAAGGGGCCCACATTCCCCACCCCTGCTATATGCAATGAGCTCATTTTATGGAACATCTTGTATCCCAGATTTCTCTTTGCAAAGCAAATTTCTGCCTGGTTGCCAGCACCACCAGCCTTGACTGACTAAGCATGAAAATCTAAGGGCAGAACTTCCAGCAGCAGAGTTGTTTCTGAAGTTTACATAGCTTCTTCCCACCAGCTATTGATATATAAACCAAGTCAGATCAACTTGTGTAGGGCAAGAAATGTTCTTCCTGCTTTGTCTCCAGAAGTGGGTGCTTAACTCATAATAGTTTGCAGTAAGTATCATTCAGTTTATTTTCTCCCATTATCTCTTTCCTGATGAGAGCCAGTGTGGCATAGTGGTTAAGAGCATGGGACTGGGACTCAGGCGATCTGGGTTCTAGTCTCCGCTCAGCCACTGAGCCAACTGGGTGACTTTGGGCCAGTCACAGACTCTCAGCCCAACCTACCTCACAGGGTTGTTGTTGTGGGGATAAGATGGAGGAGGAGGAGGATGTAAGCTGCCTTGAGCCCTTTGTAGGAAAAAGGCAGGATATAAATCAAAAAATAAATAAAATAAATAAAAATAAAAATAAATTTTCTCAGTCTATGTAATTTATATATAAAATAAATTACAAGTCCCCAAGCAAAAATATTAACTATACCAGTGATCATTTAATTTGTTGTAAAGTAGAATTTAGAAGGTTTATGAATGAATTTCTCTGAGGGTTAACTTCCTCCAATTACTAGTTAAAGTTACTTAATGTGGCTATTTACTTTTCTCTTATATAGCACACCATATAAAATTATTTCCAACTTTCATAAAATAAAAACTGTTAAGTTTCTCTCTACTTCTGTTTTCTACATGCCAAGGACCCTGTGTGCTCTACGTAACGATGGAGACAGAGGGATTTTATACTTTCAAAAATACGGGAGGAACTGTTGTTTGTTCATTCTGTCTGCAATAGAGGAAGACCCAGGTGCAACCTCAGACCATCACCAAATACCTAGTAGAGTCAAATTTGAATGTCTGTATATAGTCAAATATATATTTCACTTTAAGACTGATCATGCAAAATTTGTGATCATGCCTGCTTTCTTACACTCTACTCTCCACCTTCTCATTTCAACCTTTTTGTAACATCTTGTCTGATTAAGAAATCTTAAAATCATGAAAGCCTGCACATTTCCGTATTGAGGCAAAATATTTTAAAAATTATTGCTTTTCATTTTTAGTAGACTTTGATTACTTAAGAAAAGACTTAGTAAACTTTGATTAAGTACTCAAGAAAATGCAAACATACTTGGAAATGGTTTAATATTGCTTAAATCTGTAAGTAAACCACTCAGTTTGTATTACTGTTGCTGATAAATAGATATTATTAAAATGGATAAATAGAACTTACCAAATTATAAACTCATTCAAGCACAGTTTTTACCAACCTGCTAGCAGTCAATCAAAATAAATCATTCAATATACCTGCACAACCCAAGGGCTATTTGCAAATGCCATGATGTCTCTTTCTTCCCAAAAGAATGCAGAATCTGATCTTTTTATCATTTCAAACTTGCTCAAAAGTTTCATAGCATAGACCTTTCGTGATGATTTGTGTCTTACCTTTAAAAACAAAAATTTAAAAATTAGCATAAATGAGAAGGTACAGTATATTTCTTCATATGACTGAGCAACAGTAATTTATTTGCCTATTTTCTATAGCACATCTGTATTTGTCTCTATTTCACAACTAAGTCTCTGCATATGAAATTACAGGTTTGGTTAACAATGAAAATCAGAACAATGTAAGTAGGGATCTTCCCTTCTTTAAAACAAGAGCAGGAAAAAACCACTTGAAAGTTTATAGCATGTGGAATAGTAAAATAATTATACGGTATTAAAACATTTTTGTCCTTAATGATAGGTTTTTAATTTTCTCTTTTTCTCAGCCATGGTTCTTAAGAACGAATGAGATAAGTAAACATGAATCTTTGAGTAACGGATGTTGACTCCTCCTAGTATAGGAGGCGATCTTGATAGGCTGGAGTGCTGGGCTGAAAACAGAATGAAATTCATAGGAACAAATGTCTATTGAATGACAACTGCAAGCACCTAGGAAAAAGAAACAAATACATCATTATAAGATGGGGAGTACTTGGTTGAACAGTACTGCAAGTGAAAAGTATCCCAGAATTGTTTTAGGTCATAAGTTGAATATGAGTCAACAATATGATATGGCTGCAAAAAGGGCAAATGCTATTTTGGGCTGCATTAATAGAACCAAATCCTGTGAAGTGCTAGTTTCCCTTTACTCAGCATGAGTAGGCCTCGTCTGGAGTACTGCATCTAGTTCTGGGTTTAAGTTCTGTGATTTAAGAAAGATGCAGACAAGCTGGAAAGGGTTCAGAGGGTGATCTGGGGACTGTAAAAAAGTCCTGTGAAGAAAGATTGAAAGAACTGGGCATGTTTAGCCTCTAGAAAAGAAGACTGAGGGGAGATATGATAGCATTATTTAAGTACTTTAATTAGTGTCACAAAGAGGAAGGCCAGGTTGGATCTCTTCTCAATCATTCTGGACTGCAGAACACAGAATAATGGGCTCAGGTTACAGGAAGCCAGTTTCCAACTGAACATCAAGAAAAGCTTCCTGACTGTCAGAGCAGTATGAGAATGGAACCAATTACTTAGGAGGTTGTGGGCTCTCCCACATTAGAAGCACTCTAGACGCAACTGAGCAGCCATCTCAGAGGAATGGTTTAACTTGGAATCCTGCACTGAGTAGGGTGTTGAACCTTATGGCCTTCTGGCTCCTTCCAACTCTACAATTTTATGATTCTGTAACAGCACTTGTGGAAATGGACTTTCCCACATGTTCCTCCCCACAGGAGTTGTCACAGATACCATGAAAAACAGAGGGAAATCAGCAAAACTTCTATCTGATTGTCTATGACTTTGTGACCTAGTATGCTTAACATTATAATCCACCATGGGCAGGTAGCCATACTGGGTTGTCTGGATGTCCAAACCTGGAATATTTCCTCAGTGCAGCTTATTTTTCAGGAACAAGCCATACCATGAGCCCATGGCTTCTTGTTCTTGTCCATGATAGATTATCATACTGTCCAAAGACTGAAGACCAATTTATTGTGCATTTCAGTGACAGACTAGAGCAAAGTAAAAACGGCCCATGTAATTCATGCTTCATGATCTTGCCAGTGACTGCCCTTCTTTGTTGTTTTGTGCCCTCAAGTTGGACCCAACTTATGGCAACCCTGTGAATGAAAGCTCTCTACAATCCCTGGTCAGCTCTTCTAAATTCAAGGCTGCATCTTCCTTTATGAAGTCAAGCCAATTCATTTTTGGTCCTCCTTTTCTTCTTCTGCCTTCTTTCTCTAGCACGATTGTCTTCTCCAGCAAATTTTGCCTTCTCATGATGTGCCCAAAGTAAAACAGCCTCAGTTTTGTATTTCTTTTTGCTTCCAGGGAAAGTTATAGTTTGATTTGATCTAGGATCCACTTGTTTGTCAAATCAGGGTGTTCATGGAACCACTTGTTTGTGTGTCAGTCCAGGCTATTCACAAATTTCACCTCTAGTACCATATTTCAAACATATCAATTTTCTTCAGGTCAGCTTTCTTCACAATACACCCATACACAGTGACTGGGAATGTAATAGTGTGGAAGATCGTGGCCTCAGCCTCTAGCAAAACATCCTTACACTAATCTTCTCTAGTTCCTTCACTGCTGTCCTTTCAGGGCTCAGTCTTCTTGCCTACACTCTCTAGTTGAATATGCAAAGCTTTCATCATCTCAATTTCTTAACTGTTAACTGTAAAGTTTTTTAATTTTCTGCCGTCATTGTTTTTCTCCCTTAAAATTTAGCTTCAGTTCTACTTTTGCACTTTCATCAAGAGAAATTACAAGTCATTGCTCCTTTCTGCCAGTAATATATCATCTTAAATAACTTATATGCCTTCTGCCGATCTTCACTCTTTCCTCTGATTCTAAACTAGCTTATTCTCCTGTAAGTTCTGTGTTCAGATTGAAAAGATAGGGAAATAAAACACACCCTTGCCTTATGCCTTTGCCTATAGGAAACCACTCTGTTTCTCCATATCCTCAATGTAGCTTCTTGTCCTCAATACAGGTAACACATCAGGGCACACCTATTTCTTTAAGGTCTAGTCTTTATTTATTTATTATTTGGGCACACCTATTTCTTTAAGGACTAGCCTCAATTAATTAATTAATTATATTTCTAGCCCTCCCATCTACCCAAAAGCTCCTTCTTGTGATCCACACAATAAAAGTCTTTGCTGTACTGTATAAAGCATGCCAGGATCTTTTTTTTTTTTTTCTGAAATTCTTTGGCGCACTCCAGAAGCTAACATATATTTGTGATATGATCTCAAATACGTACCTCTTCCTTTTTGGAATCCAGCTTGAACACCAGGCATTTCTCATTGCAGGCAAGGCAATATTCTTTGCTGCAACATCCTGAAGCATTGTTTTGCTTATATGGAAAATCAATGCACTAGTCCTATAGTTACTGCACTGTTTTGCATCAATTTTCTTGGGCATTGGGATATATATTGAACATTTCCAGGCTGCAAGCCATTGTTTTGTTTTCCATATTTGCTGGCATATACTTGCTAGGATTTGGACGGATCCATTCTCTGCAGATTTGAATACTTCTATAGATATCCCATCTACTTTGTTCCTTTCAAGTACTTTCTGAATAGCTTCCACTTTTCTAATACTGCAAGACGTTCCTCATAGGATTCCTCTTGGAAGGAGTGTGTCATCCTTTAATCTCCTCTGTACAGTTTTTCAGAAAACTGTTTCCACTTTCTCTTTATTTTCTCCTGGTCAGATAGTGAGACCCCTTGTCTTTAACCATTCATAATTTCAGTTTGAATTTCCATTTGATTTCTTGGATCTTCTGGAAGAGATCTCATTTTTCCTCCTGGAAGAGATCTCATTTTTTCCTCCTTTGTTGCTCTATTTCTTTGCACAGGTCATTATAATAGCTCTTTTTATCTCTATGTGATAGTTGCTGAAAAAATGCATTCAGGATTCTAACCTTTTTGCTTCTCACCTGTCCTTAGCTACAGCTAGTGTATCTTCTGTCATCCATCTTACCTTTTCTTTATTATTGATACAGGAACTGTCTTTTGGCTTTCTTCCCTAATAATGCCTCTATTTTCAGTCTGCAGTTCTTCTATTAATTTGATAAATGAGTAAGTCAATTAAGTTGAGTAATGGAGTGTGGACTTTAAATTCCTTAGGAATGTTATTCATGTCACAATTTGCAACTATGTTTGTGTTAATGACCTTTTTTTTAGCTTGACTCTGATTTTTTTATATTATTTTGACCATCCAATATGGTCAGCAACACAATCTGCTCCTGGTCATCTTTCTGCAGGAAGAATGCAAGTTCTCCATCTTCTGCTTCCAATTATATATTCTATTTGATTTCTGTATTGGGCATCTGGTAATATACATGTATATGGTCATCTGGTTAAAGTATGTATTTACAATACACAGATTGTTAGCTTCACAGAGTTCTCAGTCATTTTCCTGCCTCTAGGCTAAAATTTCCTACAACATTTGATTCTGCTTTGTTTCCTACTTTTGTGTTTCAATCACCTAAGATCATCATTATGGTTTTACTGCATTGTTTTATTCTATTATCAATTTCCTCTTGAATACCTGCATAAAATTTTTTGATTCCTTCTTCAGCATCTGTTGTTGGAACAGACCTGAATGATGGTTATGTTGAAAAGCTTTCCACAAATTTTATTACTTGGTCAGATTATGCATTATTGCTGTATGTGCTACATCATTCCTTAATATCACTCAATTTTTCTGCGTTTGTCATTTCCAGAGTAAAACAATTTGTGTTTGTCTGACTAAAGATGTCCCATTCCAGTTCACTTTAGTTTGCTCACAGCATGTATCTCAATGTTTACTCCATTTCCTTCTTTACGGTTTCCAGTTTGCTTTGATCCATACCTCTCATGTTCTATGTTGCAATGGTATGTTTTGTGCAGCATCAGACTTTCTTTTTATCTCTCTGAATATCAGCCACTAGAATTACTTTCAGCTTTGCTTTAGTTGTGCCATAGCACTATTTCTATTTGTCTTTGACAGGGCATCTACATGGAATGAAGCAGAGATGTCAAAGCTGGTCCTGCTAGTACCCCTGCCCTGTTCTACAACTATCTGTTTTTTTACCTGTTGTGAATATTTGCAGGGTTTTGGACTGGGAAGTAAATCAAAGAGGAAAATGGGCAAATTTAAAATCTAAGAAGAAAATGCAGAGAAAAGCTGCAGAAATATAGGAGCTGGGAAGTAAATGGACAGGAGATGTATGCATCTAGAGTGATGGTCTATATAATGCAGATGCACAGAATTCTCCTCCATTATTTCCCAATCTTTAGATTTGAGAGTATTTCCCCTCCATTTATTTTTGAGCCATTAAATTTGCATACATTTCTGAGTGCAGTTTTAGAACTATCAAGGAACTGTAAGAGCTACAGAAGTAGTTTATCTGAAAAACAAATGAAAAAGTGGTGATGGTAGTGAGGAGTACCTCCCTTTTCTGGAGTAGCTGGAGCCTAGAGAAAGTGTTGAAAAGATGGACAATAGCAAAACCTGTAAGTTCAACATTTAAAACAGTGAGGATTACATTGCTAAGGGAAAAAACGGTGTTCCCCCATCATTCTGGCATACATTATTGGTAGTTTTCAACTGACAACTTCAAGTGGTCCCTGACAACTCTGTTCAAATCAATCTAAATATAGTCTTGCCTTGTCCTGCCATTAACTACTTCACAGCCCTACTTACAGTTGAAACAAAGAAATTAAGCAGAAGAGGCCACACAAATAGGACAACAGAAAGGTTGACCATCATAATAGCAGCAATAATAATTTTAGTATGAAAACAGTGACACAGTTTTCAGGGACAAAAAAGCCAACTGAGCTTCTATATAAAAGAAGACAGAGAGCAAAACGGAGTAGCAATCAAGGTGCAGAGGGGGAGATAAGATGGGTTGTGCTACAAAGTCACTGTGAAATGTTCTGAAGGAATGTAGGGGAAGGGGGGGAAGCAAACAACGCATGATCACCCTGAATGTCTACTGGGTGTATTTTGGATTATCCTGTGAACAACCAGCCCAATGTAGCTTCCTCACAAAGTGGTTGAATGAGATGTGCAAATGCACCCTTTTGTAGCATGCTAAAGGCCAGAGAGATGGAAGGGGAAATATGCGTTGATCAGCCCTTTTATGCACATGTAACTCTCAATCTAACCCATTTTACAATAGTTATAATAACAGCTAATCTTATTCCTATAGAAAATAGCAGCCTACCAATTGAACTTCCCCAAATGCTCCTCTGCCAATCACTTTCACCACTTCATAATCTTCAGCTTTCATACGGAGATCTCTTATTTTGTTTATTGTGTCTTTATCTGTGAGGAAAATACAAAGAGAAAAACTGAAGTACATGACATAATAAGCACATGTATACTGGTCTAGAAATATATTTTCTAAGAAAGATGTACTCAACAAACATGTCACACTATTTATATTCCATTTGCTGGTAATTTCTCACAACATCTGTTGCTTGTTAAAAACTCAAATTATTTAAATACAACAGTCTGTTCCTTTCCCAGCTCTTTTTCTGAGCTGCAAATATCTCCCTTGAATCTTTGAATGGTTAGTTTTATTCCCATGGCAACATACAAATGTCAAACACATAATACAACTTCATGGCAAGAACAAATCAGGAGCAGTTTAATTTTAGTTTGATACTTAAAATATTTGAAACAACTCATTATAACAGAAGGTTTCTGGTCATCACTTTATACTCAAATCTAATACTCTGCAAAAGTACTATTACTAATTGAAGCAGTTACAGTTCAATGTTTAGCCTTTCTGCTCTTTTCATTTTTTTAAAAAAGCATAGCTTACCATGAAAATATAAGCATGTCAGCCTGCATTTTTTAAATAAAACTATCTGCCAATAAACTACAGTAATCTAAATTCCCAGTTGTCGGATATTCTAACTCCAAATTTGGTAACGTGCTATTTTAATCTACATGGGTCAACACTGGCATGAGATTATAGAAAAAGCATCACATCTCAATTTCTGTAGTTGTAAAATGCAACTATTAAATAGCTTTTTCTAATGAAAATTCAAAGGCATAATATTTGTATACTAGAATTCTGAAATAATTGGACCTTTAGAAAGAAATATAAATGCAAGCTCCCTCCCACAGCTCTTATTACTGTAAATTATCAATCTAATTCTCCTTGGGAATTGGTGATATTGTACCATTTACGAACATAAAAAAGATGACACCAAGTAGTTTATCTATTTTCAAAGAATACAAACTGAGGTCTGAAGAGGAAGTAAAAAAGCCAGACCTGGCTGTATAATTTTTATTCATTTATTTATTTTATTTAACGCATTTCTATCCTGTCCTGTACAAAAGTCTCAGGATGGCTATGCCTAATGAACTACACTGAGACTATTAGCTCAAGGAATAGACAACTTAAAGAGAGGCAAAGTGGCTTTCTTAATAGTGGTTTTCTTCCACTCCAAATATCAATTTAGTCTAATTATCTGCCTCAGGTTTTCTGTAACTGCTCAGGTAGAGAAAGTCTACAAGAATTCTTACATCTCTAAAGGTTTTTTCTTCTTGCAATTACCTCTAACTGCAAACTTTACCTCCTACAAAGGGGATTCAGGAAAGCCAACTGGCCCACTCACTCTCTTTTCTCCAGTGCATGCTTCTACATGGGCTCCAATACTCCTCTGAGGGTGAAAAGAGGCTGGGGAATCACACATGATAATCAGCTAGTTAAACTTGTTTGTTTGATTGTTTAGGGGGTTGTTCCTGCCTGATAAGTTGGAGGCTAGGGAGAAGCTGGTAGAAATTGGAGTGCTCTGTGAGCCTTATTATTTTGTTTATGCTTATTTGGAAAATGTGCATGTATGCATACTTGATTGTTTTAGGGGATGTGTAATTGTTTTATATGCCTCTCTTTTTAGTGGTGTAGTTTGGCTATTTGCCTGCTTGGATTTTGTTTGGAGGCTGTAACAACGAATGCCCTTCTCCGGGAACCCTCTGTGAATGATATTAGGAGGGTGAGTACCCAGAGGAGGGCTTTCTCTGCGGTGGCGCCTCACCTATGGAATGCGCTCCCCAGAGAGGCCCGCCTGGCGCCATTGTTATTTGTTTTTCGGCGCCAGGCTAAGACCTTTTTATTTAAAACTTATTTTAATTGTTAAATTATTGAATTAATTAGGATTTTAAAATTTTTAGCCGAGAATGCATCAGGGGTTTTTAAATGGTTTTTTAAAATTGTTATATTATTATTATTATTATTATTTATGTATGTTTTTATGTATTCTTTGTGAGCCGCCCCGAGGCTTTGTTGCGATAGGGGCGGCATAGAAACGTTTCAAATAAATAAATAAATAAATAAAATAAACAAGGTTATTTGCTTAGTTGTCCACCAAGACAGTCATTTTGTGGCAGTGCCCGTAACAATTTATCATCTTATATAGTTCTGTAATTGGGATCTATGAAAATGAAAATATTACTCATAATTAATTATTCATATCTATAAAGGTTATGAGACAGAGCGTAATTAATTCACCTAATTCATCTCTAAGACTGCATTCCCTCTGTAGGAAAAGCCATTAGGAGATAATGATCACACCAACAAGATGTAGAAAGGAAATATAAAATCAACTCCCTAGAAAACTAAGCACTACACAGACTACAATGCTGTTCTTTCTCATGAACTCAACACCCCATATGCATCCCTGTTCACGACTTGATTGTTTTTTTATTGCCTGATATGACTGTGAGATTTGTTAGATGGAATGCTCTACCTACCGTTAATGCAAATGTCTACAAATACTGAATTTGTCACATATGTATACAACTCTTTTAAAAATCCAACAAAATACTAGTTTAAAGACAAGTATGTGCCTTGCAGGATCGAATAAGGAAGAAGTAACATGGTATAGACTGGAACATCATCATCAACATCAGAAATCCACCGACATATATACTTACATTTATTTAAGAAGGTGTCTATGTTTTTATTTTTTCTTAAAGCAGGAAAATCCAAATCATACACCAATGCATCTAATCCATCCTAAGGAATAAATCAGATTTTTAATACACAATTATATGTACTGCCTATACAACTTTTCATATACCTTGTTTTAACTGTTTAAAGGAAAGTTCTAATTTAAAGGATTTTTCATACTGAAGTCTATAATTTTAGGTGTACAAAAATACCTTCCATCTTACACAGTAATCATTTTATTTCTTTATTATACTGTGGTTCTGCTCTGACATAACAACCAGAAATATGTTAAATATTCTCAGTTTGTTGGGACATAGAAATATTTGCAAAATGTATAGCTTCACTGTCAGAAAACAAATACATGTGAAGCAGAAAGATGGTCTGATTCAGTGCCTCTTGCAAAATGCATTCTTAATACTAAACCATTAGAGCAATCAATCCAAGGGTGCCAATCTATATGACAACAATGCAAACCATCAGCCCCCTGTCTATGACAGTGATTCAGTCACTACAAGAAAAAACATGGCACAGTCATGGTGTATGTATATAGGCTATATAACTAAAGCAAAGGCATCATTATGTTTAAACTACAGTTTGGTAAATAAAGGCCATACTGCTTTGTAAGATGGCACAGTTGCAACAAAATATAGTTACATTAAAAAGTTCAAATTCAAATCCAGGGCTCCTCAAACTTTTTCAGCAGGGGCCAGTTGAAAGGCGGAGGCGGTGGGTGTGGGTGTGGCAAGGTGGTGCATGTGGCAGGTATGGGCACAGGTGTGGTGAGGTGGCAGCGGCAGGCACGGGACTGGGCATCCCCAGCCTGGCCGCCCCCGGGCTCACATAATCAAAAGGCCAGGCGGATAAATGGGCATGGCGGGCCAGATTCAGCCCATGGGCTGTAGTTTGAGAACCCATGTTCAAATCACTATAACAACATGCGGGTCAAATCAGTTCAGTATCCTGAATTTAATAATGTTGAATATATTTTGATCAGTTTCTCTGTAATATATTTTCAATATTATTATATAGTATTTGCACTTTGTAGAGCACTAATAACACAGCAAACACTGAGCTTACCTAGCCATGGTATACACAGCATCAAAATGGATGGATAAAAGTAGATTTTAAAAAAATAAAGTAAGATTTTGAAAAAGAATTGCTATAAAAAGCTTCTCATTTAAAAACAGATTGGCGTAAAAATGAAATCTAATAAACACATATACAGCACAATCCTATGTGTGATTATGTGGAATTAATTCAAGTCCTATTATGTTCAGTGGTGCTTATTCCTCATTAAATTTGTAAGAAAGTTGCGGAGGCACCAAATAGAATAGTTATGGGTAGGAGGAGGTTTGGCATTTAGGATGGAGGTGGCTAAATAAGGGGAACTTGGAACAGACGTCACTAAAAACATAATAAGCCAATAACTGCAAGAAGTTTGGAAATGTTTACAATTAAGCCACTGCCATTGGGGAGCCAACTGAAATCTTCTACTAGATGCAAGGCCAGATTAATTAATCCATAGCACGTTGGCATGAGCTTACTTAATTATCTATTACATTTTTAATCTGACTTTTCCTGCAAGGAACCCAAGGCAGCTTATGCAATCATCCTCTCCATAACAATCCTGAGAGGTAAGTTAGGGTACAAGTCAGTCACGGGCCTGGTCACCCAGAGTGCTTCATAGCTGAGTGGAAATTAGAACTCAGATCGCCTAAGTTCCAGTTCAACTTCACTATAAGGAGGTTGCTGAACCTACAACAGACTGTTGTATTATCGGAACCTGGGATACCTCCTAAAACCAATTTGTGGGTTCTGGAAAGCTGAGAGTAAGCCACCTGACAAAAGTGGCAAAAACGTTTTGCTGCTCTTGGTGATCTTTGCCCACTCCACCACCAATGAAAGCCATTCCACCCTGCAAGTCTTTAAAAAGCACATACACTGAAAAAAAGTGTATACCCTGAGCCTAATCCTATTGGATTTTTTTCTGTTTCATGTTCATTTTACCCACTGATTTTTAAAGTACAAAAATTAATAGAAATTGGTAGTATATAAAAGTTAAAAAGCTACATTCCTTTGGAAGATTGGATGTGTCCCAACCAAAAATGTCATTATATATTGTCTTTTCTTAGGGAAAAAGTATAATATATGTTTAATATATTATCTTTTTCATCCAAATTTAATTACCATTACAGGTAGTACTACTACTAAGAAATAAGTTAGGAATAAACTTATTTTTGTTTATGCTTAATATTAAGGATCAAGTGGGCCTAAAGTACAAAATTCTCAACTTATGTTTGCTCTACTAACAATTATCCAATTAAACATTTTCGGCTTAACTCACCATTAGATCTTGGTCACTCTTTTATAAGGGTAGGCCTCAGAGGGGCAGAGACAAAATTCAAATTTTAATGTAGCAGCTCCCAGAGATACCTGCTTCTTCTTTTTCATTTTTTTCAAGTCTTCCAAATAATATTAGCATTAAGTATGCACCATTTAAACCATAACTGAAAGTAGTATCAGCTACTGAGTTACTTTCCACATCTCATTGTTAGACCCTGATCTCTTTCCAACCTTTTATTGTCTATAGCAGATAAACCCCAAGTGACAGCATCTTAAACTGCCATTCAGAATAATTTGTTTTAAAGACTACACCATACCTGCACAGATTTAAAATTTGAATGAGATGGACTAAAGTTGTGACAAAGACTATATGCCTTGCAGTAACTCTTTATATATTGTTGGTTTGGCTTCGTTATCCAAAAGCAGATAATTATATGATGAATGTATAGAGCCTGGGCGATCAGGTTGCTTACCTGTAACTGTGGTTCTTTGAGTTGTGAACTCACACATATGGGTTTAATGCAAAAGTTTGAGAAAAGTCATGCAAAAGCTAAACAGAGTTTTAAGGCATAGCTCCTACCCACCTCCTCTGTACATACTTTTGAATCCTGCTTTGTTGGAGTAAGAAAAGCTTTCCACTTGACAATGCATGAGGCCTAGGTAGAAGCTTTATTTGAAGCAGTTGCTACTTCCAGGAGCTTTTTGAAAATTTGATTAGGTTGTCCAATTTCCAGGCAGTGAAATGCAGTGTTCACATCTGGGTACCTAATCTCCCAGTTTCTCATTTTGAGGAGATGAGGGAGATGGAAAAAATGTGGCTGGATACAAGAAATATCAAAACCACATTTGTCTTGGCCACCAGAGGATTTTCAAAATTAAACTGATCCCTATCATCCAATACCTAGTTCACCACTCATGTCACTAAAGGGAAAGAGTAGAACAAATAAATTAAAATGCCTCTCCAGTGACAGAGGAAAATGTCTCTGATTCTGAGCTCTGATCAGTTGACCTGCAGGAAAAAAATGTATTTTCAGTTTACTGCTGTAGCAAAGACATAGCAAGTTCAGATACCCCACATCTGTTCAAATGTGACTGTTGGAGAGAGCTACTACTTGTGTGGAGTAGTTCCCCATCTGTGTGAGTCTGTAAGAATGCTGGACATTCCTGAGAGGTGTTTGGTGACTGGTGGTAAAGCGTTCACTCTGTCGTGGGAAGTACCCCTGTGAATTGTTAGGTTTGAGATACGATATCAGGATTTTTCTTTGTTGACCTGCAGGACAAGAGATCCCAGAAGGAAAAGAACAATGTTGATGCTGGTAGTAATGAGAAGGGACTCCAAACAGCGAGTGGAAAAATGACAAAACCATGACATTTCAGATGTGCTATACTTTATAAACAATCTCAGAGCCATGGCAAGGCAGAAATGGAAAAGCTTTTTGTCCAAGGCAAATCTAAGAAAAGTACAAGTAACAGGATATCTCGGATCCACCATAACAAACCAGTCTCCCCAATGCAAGAGGAGAATGAGAGAGCACACAGTCATCCTGAATTTCTTCAGACAGATTTTACAACTGATGTCCCAAAAGTCAAGTATATGTTGAAGAGCACAGTCCTTTTTTGGTACTGTAAAGTAAATATGAAACAAATTGGTAGCCATAAAAGGGAGCATTTCCATCGTGCCCATGTTCAAGAGAATAGCGATTTCTTCTCTTAGAACCCAAGCAGGGTAAATAGAGTAGAAGATTCCCATGTCTGTGGAATAATGTCTGTGGAATAAATGGAATAATTTCATGAGATGATACAGAGTACCCACTTAGCAGTGGTGATGGACATCCAGGCTGGAAGAAAAACTACCAAGCCTGTTCTGGTGAAGGTGAACCAGAAGTGAGATACCTCTGTAGAAAGCAAATAAATTTAGATTGATTGGTTTTTTAGTATGAGTAGGTTGGTGGTTATGGTTCTGAAAAGTCCTCCTGTTCAAGCCTTGTTTGGAAACTTGGAGAGCCTGAGCTGATTGGTGCTGAATTAAGTATTGATATTGCCAGAACAGACATGGTCAGAGGCTGCTGAAGAGGAAGATTCCAAGTAGATGTCTTCATTGTATAGACAGTCAAAAGTATCAAAATCCTTCAATGGGAAGTTCTCCATTCCAGATCTAGCTTCCCGGTGGAGTCCTACATATAAAGCTTGGAACGGCAGTGAAATTTAAGTGAAATTGGAGCTGCAGTGGCCATGTGACAGGCTGTGTTAATTTGTTGCCCTGCTAGTCTTTTGGCTTCAGTCTGGAATATTGATAGGTACTTGGTGTCTTCCATGTGATGGCTGAGGAGGGTAGCTGCTTTTTCTCATAACAATGTTGATAGGCTGCCATGCATGCCTCACAGTTCACTACAGAGAGTCCGAGGGCTTCAGTGGAGTAAATCCTGTGTTCCATCAGGTCTAATTTTCTCCCCTCTGAATTGAAAGAGACAATTTTGTCTCATGTTTGATGATGGAAATGGTGACTCAGTTTATCTCTATCCCCATATTCATAACAATGTCATCTTGCCAGTGAATGCTCTTCATAATAATAGAAAGAAGACCTATAAAAGTGGCTTTGCCAAAGCACATCATAGTGATCATGAAGAAAACATCCTAAGGAAACCACTGAGGTCTGTTGTATCAAGGAAATCTATACTTGGAGAACATTCCTGAGAGAGGTCAAGTATGGTTTTCATGAGAAA